TTGTCAATACTGGAAAATAAATGACAGAGCAATTTGTTAGCGTCATGTACAAACTTACTGTTGGAAATGCACAGCAACGGAAGATACATATTTGTTTTTAAAAATGTGAGCGCAAGTGCGAACTTGTAGTTGCAGCTAGGAGCTGCAGATATGTGTGTGTCCCCAGCAAGAAAGATTGCTGCCCATGTGGCCAAAGTGCAACGCAGTCGTCGTGAACGTCCTCAAGAGCGTCGGTTGCTGTGTACAAAGTAGCAGTCAAGCTTGAACGTCGGTTGTAAATGGAAGTCGTGTAGCTGGCCAGAGTCAAGGAAGCACTGTCGCAAATCGTTCAAAAGTCGCGCAAGCGCAGCATTTGCAAGTCGTACGCATTGGGGGCAGAGAAGTAGTGTGCAAAGAATTGAAGTTACTCACACAAAGTAGCAGCTAGTCATCGTTTATTCTCATCAAAGTGTAAGACTAAAGTAGATCATCGCATGCCACTTGTTTCACATGCAAAGACTGAGTGTGTTGGTGCACAGAGTAGAGTTGAAGTGAAGTCGCCGAGTCTTTCTACGTCTGATCTGATTGAAATCGATACTCGCGTCACTTGAGGAAAAAGAAAACAGTATGCCGCTGCCCACGGCACTCGATGTTCATAAGGTTATGAAAAGGGTGGAGTTCGACATGCTGCGCGAACACCCCTTTGATGTGGCCCAACAACTACCCGACCCGGCGCAGATGTCGGAAGACAAAATAAAGCGTGCACATGCGGAGATGAAGAGGTGGCACGAGGAAACGGCGTCGAGATCAGCAGACCTTTTCTCGCAGATCGACAGCAGGATCAACAAGCCCAAGACTTGTCAGAAGCTTGGCTTGTGGGAGCTCTTGGGGCAGAGATACCACGGCAGCGATCCCTGCGCGTGGCGCGTGTGGCTTCATGGCCTCTCCATGATTGGAGAGCGCCAGGTGGATCCGACATGGAGTCCGAGAGCAAGGAAGGACCGCATGTGCGACGACCCCAGCGCTTTTAAACCCAGTAAAATCGTCGCCAAAGTGCTAGAAGGAGCGCATGCAAAACCGGCGTGGTCGGAAGACGATACTCGTCTCGTCTGGGAGAAGTCCGTCAAAGAGACGGCGGTGTTGCCCGAACTGGGATACGCGCTTTTAGACGGCCCACATGAAGTTCCAGATGATATCCGCACCAACAAGTCTGCGCGAGAAGCCATTTATTATGGCATGCGGAGATTTCCACGGCACCAGGCGAAAAAAGTCCGGCTGATAGACCCGGCGTGCAGTGCGAACCAGTGTTCGCCACTGCCGTGTCGAGTGCCAATACCGTCGGCACTCGACGTTTTGGCGAGCGCGGCAGTGGCGCGCGACCCCTCCTGCGCTGGTAAAAAAATTGTCCGACACAATCGCAAAGTACTGCAGAGGAGCAGGAAGCAGGAAAAACAGTATGAGAAAGAATTTCTCAGATACGTGTCCGGACAGCAGGAGAAGCTCAGTGAGGAGTTGTTAAAACCAGGAGCAAAGCAGCCAGCGTTTGCGGATAAGGCGGCGTTTGCCAGCGTGGACGAGGAAATGTCGAGCAGGAAATTCCGGCGTGCCATGAATGTTGTAAAAAACGAGCTCGACGTCGTTTTGCTCGACATTGCAAGGTGTTACAACAACATGATGGTGAAGCCGGAACATCGTTGTTACAACACCATCCTCGTCTTCCACCCCGAGCTGCGGAAGTATTTTTACTTCGTGGGAGTGTCTGCCATCTTTGGCAGCAGACACTCCGTCACGGGCTGGTGCAGGCCGGGGAAACTGCTGCGGAGTGTGCTCAGGAAGCACTACGGGATCAACTCGGAGGATTATGTGGATGATTTCCCGAATTTTGTGTTGCGAGGATTAGGCGAGTTGGTCCGCGATGTGCTCCTGGAACTGCTGCAGATGTTGGGATTGCCGGCGATGACGGACAAAATCAACGTGGACGCGTTTTTAGAAATATTGGGATTGCTTTTTGATGTTAGAGGAGATCATCCTACTGTGCAGCTGACCGAGCAAAAGAAGATGCAAATTGTGCAGGTTTGTGATGTTGCGATAAACACGTTGATTTTGGACATGACCACCACCGACGCGTTGCTAGGCCGATTGACCTTCTCCTTGGCTGCGGTGGCAGATAGGTCTTTAAGCCCGATCATGAAGCCGTTAAGGCTGCATCTGGCACGGGAAGAAGTCGCGGTGTGTGAAGATGTGAAGAACGCGTTGTACGCCATCAAGCATGTGATGAGCTTGCCGCTCAAGCGCAGTGCGCAGTTTGAAGATGCGACTTCGAGCAACCTGCTGCTCTACACCGACGCACAGTGGAGCGATCGGAAGGGAGTTTTGGCGGCGGTCCTGGTGAAAGATGGGCGGTTCAGGTGTGTCCGACAGCAGTGTACAGCAGCACAACTACACTCCTCCTACCGCCTGTACCCGATCAATGTGTTGGAAACAGCTGTTGCCCCCCTGGCATTGCGGTACTTTTTCAAGGAGCTGCAGGGGAGGAGGTTTGATCACGCCATAGATAATACTTGTGCTCAGCAAAATTTGTTAGCACAAGGCAAAAGTAGCAAGGAGCAAAAGTGGGTGTTCACACGGCTTACAGCGGAACTTTGGTCGATTGCGGCGGAAGGTGATATGAAGCCGTGGAACACCCGCGTCCCTACGCACTTCAATCTTGCTGATTATCCTACCAGGGACGAAAAAATGTCAATTTTGTTGAAGCTGTTTCCGAATTTATTTGATGAAATTGTTGATGGCTTTGGGATGGATGATTATTATAAAAAACTGTTAGTAGTTGATGTGTCCCCAGGCGTGTCACACTTGGCCGATGCCTTGGCAGCCTGGCAAGTAATGCAAGAAGAAGGTCGTACTGGTGATCGCTCTTCAGATGAAGAAGTGGATTTTTAGACATTGGATCGCGACACGTGCATTAGTATTTTTGTGTAGAGTCTATTAAAAAAATGGGTGCAGTTACATGTGCTGACAGCACGATGTGCGGACAGGTGTACAGTACGTAGCAGCATCAGCAGCTGCAGCTCGGGTGATCTCTGTTCGTGTGGTTCGGTGTGGTGATACGGAGGTGGACTATAGAGTGCCGATAGTCAGGCTTTTCTGGTTCTATCGCGGCGCTCACTCAGATCTCGTTCCCGCAGAAGGGATAGCTTCGTTAGCTTTCAGGCGTTTGTGCAGAGAGGGTGTGCAGAGCGGCCCTCCCCCGTGGTGTTTGGATTCGACGTGCGAAACGCCTTCCGGTCTGCGTTGCGAAGCTGGTATCCCGTCGGCGGGCTCGACGATCGTTTCTCGCGTGGCCAGTAGTCCACATTCGTGTCATCACATCAATGTAAATGTGCACCAAGCTAGACATGCAAGAAATAAAGGCGCCAGTGCCTCAGGATTTAAAAAAAAACAGATTAAATTTCATACTGTAGTGCACTTTTTTTGAACAGTCTTCATTGCTCATTTTAAATCCCTTATATTATTATATTTTTTTGGGTTATTTTGTAAAAAATCAAAAATTTCCAAAGCTTCTCAATGGGTGACTCTGTGAAAGGCCTTCACCTGTAGGATAAAACTAATCAGATATCAAGCATATTAGAGGGCTTATCGGCCATCTTTTATCCCATGCGACTAGTCAAGACCACACCAAGAGGAATTCTGAGAAATTTCAGAAAATCGAGAAAATTTAAAAATTTTTATCATGATGCAAATCCCTTAAATTCAGACGGAAGATAGTTGGTAGATGACACATCTCTATCCTTTTGTCAACGTATTTGATCAGCCATCTCATATCTTGGCACACCCTTGGGATTCTTCTATAATTGCACACAAATTTCATTTTTTTTAATTTTTTTCTTGGAGAAGCTTGGTGCCCACCCTCCATCTCAGAGCTCATAGAAGTGCCATTGGGTGCACATAGTATGTCTTTTTAAAGGTGTATGATCTGCAAAAGCCGACTGCAGCCACTGCAATCATATTTGTTTCCCTTTAGGAAAATGGAAACAAATTGCACTTTCTCATGGTCGGACGGTCCTGATCCGGGATCCGGCCGGTCGACGCCCCAGAAAGGACCATGTCTGTCGGATTGCGCCCCGTTTCCATGCGCAGGCGCCTACGCAAGCCGCCGGAAAGGCACCTGACGCACGGCTTAAAAAGCCGCAGGCCTGCCGCGTCCGCTTTTGCCGCCCCTGGAAGCAGGGTCGCGCTTCGGCTAGGGGGCCCGGAAAAGGGCGGGGCGGCCCGGCGGGAAAGCAAAACCGGGCGGGAAATCGCTGCCCGGCCGCACGCGACCGGGCGTCCCCGCGGCCTGCCCTTTGCGGCGCGGGAACGAAAGGCGACGGCGGCGCTTCGCCGTTTCCCTGGCGCACTGGAACTAGGGCAGTCCGGGCGACGCGGTGTTGCATATCCATAGCGGGGCCCCCTTTTGTTCGCATCCCCACAACGGTGCTAGACCCTACTCAAGCAGGGGGTCCGGCCGAGGGCCGGGCCGGCGGCTTCGGTGCCAGCGGCTCCCGTGCTCCTGACAGAATCCGCATCCCGGCGGCCCAAATTTGCCCGCGGCAGCAGACCCGGCTCCATCTCGGGCGGTGGGGCTGCGGTTCTGGAGCCTTGCGGCGAGCCGGTCGCGCCACGCTCCGCGCGAGTCCGGCCCCGGGCCTTTCCGGCCTTTCGCCTGCCGGCTTGGTATATTTGGGCAGCGTGAAGAGCGGCGCGGGGGCACGCGACTTCCCCCCGGGCGGGTTTTGTCGGAAAATTGGCGGGCGCAGGCTCTTGCGGTCCGCTAGCTTGCAACGAGACTGGCGAAGCCGGGCGCCTGATCTGCGCCACTTCTGTTGCGCGGCACCCCCGTGCGCCCCACGTTCGAACCAAGAGCGCGAGAGAAGAAACAGTCCCCCGGGTTGGAGAGCAAACGCTTCGGCTAGTACTTCGTCCGCACGGAAGATAGAAAACCGCACCCACTCTACTCTTGCTGGCGGGCTACTTACTACATTCTCACTTGGTCTTTGAGCGAGTGCTTGCGTGATTGCTTTTAGCGTAGGTCCTCGCCGGGGTGCAACTAATACTCATCATTTTTCAACATCTGTCGCCAAAAGCATACGCCCTACCTCGTCCAGCAGCTCTGCACTTACGCCATAAGAAAGTCTTCAAACTCACCCAACGGATCATGGAGCGGCGGCTGGCGCTGCTAGACGAGTTCTGCGACCGGTCGGAGGCTTTATCAAATGCAAAAGTGTCTGGGTCTGGAACAATGCAACTTGTCATGCTAAATCTGAATCACGTGAAAATCTGTGTTGCATGATTGCCAAAAGCTGTCCACTTTTGACTCAATCGAGAGGCAGTTTCTCATGCGGGATAGGCATGATAGAACTCTCACAGAATCTGTCATGCTATGTCCTACAAACCAGACCTCATGGGTCATGGAAAACCTGCGGGAGAAGTCTGGCATTCTTCCAGACCCAGACATTTTTGCAGTTGATGGCCTTTGGTGTTTAACCAAGATGTGGCCGCCCCCGGTCCGCGCGCTTCGGACAACTCGGAGGACAGCAATTCGTCCGATGGGGACGATCGTGATTCCGCAGATCATCATGATGAAAAACAACAACTACTATCGAGCCCGGCTTGCGGCGGTTCGCGCGAAGAGATGAACATCACGACCGGTAAAGACAAAAAGAACAAAGCAAAAACTACTTCGTCCAGTTCGAAAAAAGACTCCCCGGCGCGGTTGCTCTTCTGGTCGATTGGAGTGTTGACCGATTCCAAGACCGTGGAATGGAGTTTGTTTTCTTTGCTCGTCGATCGGCTGGAGAGGAAGCTGAAACAGCTGAAGGCGTTCGGACCGCCAGCGGAGAAGGTCGCGGCCGCCGAGGTAGGCGGTGGCGTCGGCGGGAGTAGCAGTAGCAGCAGTAGTAGTAGTGGTAGTAGTAACCGCACCAGCAGAATCGGCTCCAAAGAGCAGTTGCCGAGCAGCACCGGATATCGCAAGTGCTCTTGTTCTTGACATCACCACCAGCTGTTGCTGTTACGTCGCCAAGTTGTTGTTTATCTCGTGCATACCTACTTACAGAGGCACTGGCACAAGGTCTTTGTGACATTTTGTATTGCTGCCCCTACTACGTACACCAGCGTGTCGTGGCCGCACGAAGTCGACGCATTGTGAATTTGCGAAGAAAAATGCTGGTCGTGTAAATGTCTTTCCATAGGATCTCTTTGATGAAGCCGAGGACCTGTATGCGGAAGAGCAGAGAATCATGGAAAAGTTGGAGAAAGTGCGGAAGCTGAAACGATATAAAATGCAAAAATGTCTGGGTCTGGAAGAATCCAAGGTTTGTCATGCTCTGCTAGCATGACTCCAAAGGCTGTCATGCACATTACCCAAAAGCCCCATTTTTCTGTCATGCAGAAACGCGATTTGTCATGCAGAAGACACACAATAGGCACTCAGAAACTTGTCATGCTGAGCTGCAAATTGAGGCGTCATCATGATTGTCCTACCCGCATCACAAGTTTCCAGACCCAGACATATTTGCAATGCATAAACGAGAATTGCTGGCAAAAATGAAGCAGCGGGACGTGTTCCGGGACGTGAAAACGCTGTTCAACTGCGTCTACATGCACGTATATTAATGATTTTGATTTATTTTCGTTTTCGGGATGAAAAAACGTCCACCGGTGCGCACGCACCAGCAGGCGCAATTCAGTCTTGAGTGGTGCGGCTGCTGCGCTCTTTAAGTCTTTTTGGTCTATTAAGGCTTTCGGGCCTCATCTTAAGTCTTTCGGGCCTCATCTTAAGCCTTTCGGGCCTCATCTTAAGTCTTTCGGGCTTCGTAAGTCTTTCGGGTCCGTTAAGTCTTTCGGGCTTCGTAAATCTTTCGGGTCCCTTAAGGCTTTCGGGTCTGTTAAGTCTTTCGGGTCCGTTAAGCCTTTCGGGTCCGTTAAGTCTTTCGGGCTTCTTAAGTCGTTCGGCTTCGCTTTCAGCCGCTCGTGCTTTGTCTTAAGTCGTTCGGCTTTTTCTTAAGTCGTTCGGCTTCTTAAATAGTGCGGCTTCTCAAATAGTGCGGCTTCTTAAGTAGTGCGCCTCCTTAATTCGTTCGGCTTCCTAAGTAGTGCGGCTTCTTAACTAGTGCGCCTTCTTAACTAGTGGGCCTTCTTAACTAGTGCGCCTTCTTAACTAGTGCGCCTTCTTAACTAGTGCGCCTTCTTAAGTCGTTCGGCTTCTTACGTCGTTCGGCTGCACCTTAAGTCGTTCGGCTTCTTGATGAGGCGCCCACAACGACTGCAGCCTTTGCTACCTCCAGTACGGAGGGTCCATTTTGGCACCATTTTTAGCATTTGTGAAAAACGAAAAACAGCTCCTGGTCCTTCTCGACGAGGAATCTTCTGGGACAATTCCCAGCACGGAGATCATAGCGCGGCAAACCAGCCGCGTCAACGACGAGGATGATAAACATGCCACCGCTACTCTGCTACACAAGTCCATTCGGCAATTGTTCGACTTTCTCTTGCAGATTTGGACGGACACCGCGAAGTACCCCATGCTGCCGTTGCGGAAAATTTGTTTGGCGACGACGAAAGTTCTGGAGGTCATGGAGAGGGGGATAAGGCTAAGCAGGATAACAAGCATGGCGGGTGATCAGCGAACTTCTCCACCTGCCATCGGAGTACAAGTGGGGACGTCCTCCTCCTCTTCCAGCTCTTTTTATCGGGATGAAAATCGTAAAGACACGGCCACGGGTGAAGATCATGTCACCAATAATTCAGGACCGCGAAATTTCTTTTATCAGCAAGAGCAATACGATTTTCAGTCCCTGCAGGCACTTCTTACCCACGAACAGAAGTTAAAAGAAAAGTACCCAAGCGGGAGTAAGCCGCCAAAAGCGATCCGGGAGGCGCTGGAGATCATTGAAAGACAGAAGGCACAACACTTGAACATAGAACAAAACGGCGTGTGTAGCAGGAAGTTTAACTGCAAAACCGATGGTGCCGGCGACCGTGCTTGCAATAGCAGCCTCAGTGGCGCCGGCATGCCAACAGAAAAGAACAATGTGAAGCTGTCCTCGTACCAGATTGGGTTACTACTCCAGAATCCGGTTACAAGGCAGAGCTTGCTTGAGCAGGAGTGTAGTCAGAAGCAGCTAGTTTCTTCTGCGAATCGACACAGGGCTGGTACGGCACTGGATGGCAACGGGCGGCATGAAGACTACACTGGTTTTACTCCTGCTGCTGCTGGCGCACAGAGCTCCTCTGTTCAACGACCAGATACCAACCCAGCATTGATCCTGCTCCAATCCTTCGGGCCCACTGACCAGCTCTCCGACTTCTGCATCTTTCTCCTGCGGTTGCTGCTCACCTCCTGCCAGTCCTACGCATTGCAAATATGTCTGAGTCTGGAAGAATGCAAGGCTTGTGATGCACAGGTAGCATAGCTCTCAAGTCTGTCATGCGCACCACCCAAAAGTCACATTTCTCTGTCATGCAGAAATGCAGTTTGTCATGCAGATAGGCAACACTACAGCAACTCCAAAACTGGTCATGCTTGGCTGTCAATGAAGTCGTCCACATGGTTTGCCAAACAGCATCACAAGTTTCCAGACCCAGACATATTTTCAGTGGATAAGTCCTCCTCTACCGCGACATTTTCCGCGGGCGTGGATTTGATGCAGGAACTGAACTTCGACAAGGACTACGAAGGAACGAGAAATAAAACTGCAGATGACAAAAAGCTCGGTAGCTCGACTAACGGAAGTTCTTTTTCCGCGAACAATTTATCCACCTCCCCTATCAAGGAAGCCAAGGAGAAGCAGCAAAAAGAGATCGTCGCCTCCGCCTGCGCGAGGTTGCTGTTTTTCCTGCTGGATAAGTTGGAGAACGACGCGTTTTATGCAATGCAAAGGCATATGGCACGACTAGTAGTAGTTGCAGTACAAACTTGCTCAGCTTAAAAAATCGAATTTGTAATGCCAGTTGACCTTGGGGAAATGATTTGTCTTGCAGGGCTCGGATTACTAGTACGAGTGCGATGCTTGTGCAATGCATACGGTTGCCTTTTTCAGCAAGGCCATGTTTGACAGCAACGGAATTCTGGTTTTGCTGAAATACTTGAACCAAGATTTCCTCTCCGCTTTTAACAACAACAGTAGTGGAGCTGGTGCGATAGGTCCACCTGGGACATCCAGCGGCTTCAACAGCATGAGTGGTTTAATAAATGCGAACAATTCATCAAGGACATCTTCCGGTGGCGTGTTTCTCCCCACGCCCGGGCAGACAAACCACGGAAGTTGTTCTATGCATTGCAAAAGTAATATTGCACTCGTACAAATGCATTACAAATTTCCTCAGCGTGAGAGCTGGAATTTGTCATGTTGTTTTACCTTAAAGACAACATTTGTCATGCATAATTGCAATTAGTACGAGTGCGATACTTTTGCACAGGATGGTGTCCTTTGAAAACCCGTTTATCGCCGACATTTTCGAAATGGAAATGAAGTTTTCAACAGCTGCGGCGGCATCGCGTACGAACAAGGAGGCTTTTTTTTCTGACAGGACGGAAACGGAAACCACGAGCGAAGACGAAGAGGAGGAGACCACAGCATCGGGGGCGGAGGAGGTGGAAGCAAAAGCAAAATCACAACCCGTCGTGTGGGAAGATGATAATACCGAGTCCGAGTTTTTCTCAACTACAGCCGCACTATTCATCGAAGACGACCAGGTCGTGCAACAGGACGAGAACAAAGAAGGAACGAAAACCACGAAAAAGAGGAAGAAAAAATCGGGATCAAAACCTGTTTCTGCTCTTTCGAAAAATAACTCATCCTATGACGGTCTATATCTATCTCCGCCGAACTGGAGTAATTTCGCCGCCGAGTACCACATATCCTGTGCAAATAAGTATCGTACTCGTATAAATGCATTACAAATTTCCTCTGCGTGAGAAATTGTGATGCTGATTGACCTCAAGAAAAAGATTTGTAATGCATGATCGCAATACGAGTACGATGCTTTTGCAGTGCATACCACAAAACCCGGCCGATCCAGACCTGTAAATGCCTGTTGGACGTGTTGTACCTCCTCTGTGTGGACGAGCCCGAGCGGGTGAAAAAGGTGCTGATTCACTACAAGGCGCCTTTCATCCTGAAAAGGTTCAACAACCACAGCTTGACGAAGCAACCGTATTTGAAGTTAATGAAGCTACAGTGCCGGGTGTTACCGAGGAAGTGGAAGAGCCAAAATATGACGATCTGTTCGGACATTTATTTGAACCACGATGGGATGATGAACCCGATGGCCGCGCACCAGGAGCTGCCGGGTGGTTCATCTTCTCATGCAGGACCACAAGGTGCAGGATCAACAGGAACACTCTTCTTCAACCGGCAGAACAAGCTGGAGCCACCCTTGGTCGAGGATTTTTTGTTCGAAGTTCCGGAGGATGATAGTTTCGGCGGTTCGGACGGCGATATCACTGCGAGCTACAACCGCGATCTCTTGGAACTCCCCCTGTATTTCCTCGGGAAACACCGCGGGTTCGGGATCGAGAAAGCGGTCGCGGACTACTACAGGATGGACTTTCAGGTCGGTAGCGATGCTGCTGCGTCGGCGCTAGGGGGGACAGCGAGCGGGGGGAGTTGTGCGGACGTGGAATTTGAAATTTCGACGGGAGATGAAGATCTTGACGAAATAAAGTTTAGCGGTGGCGACACTACTGCTTTTGAGGATGACAAACCCACGACAATCTGCCAAGAGTTCCAGCGCATTTTGGACACGAACACCACTCAGTCCTTCCTTGCAATTGACGTGCAGGAAAAGCTGTGCGCTTTTTCCGCTGCGGATAGAGTGGTTCCAGTGAAGAACACGGAGGAGGATGACATTCCGCGCGATGATGCTGCTGATGATAATGATGATGATGACGAAGCTCCTCTTACTGCTGAAAATGAAGCCGCTCTACGTTATTTCTCCGAAAACTTCCTGCCTCCCTGCGGCTACAGTGACATGTTCTCGGAGGAAGATTTGAGAAGATTAACGACTATGCGCAGTATAGAAGACTTCTGCGAAGACGTCGAGGACGCGTGTTTGACCAAGAAGAATCCCAGTTTCGTCACAACCACTTCCTCGATTTGTAGCTCCAAAACCACGTCCCCAGCGCAGGACTCGGAAAGTGAGTACGTGAATTTGAAGAGCTTTTACGCGAATGAGATTGAGGATCTCCTCGACGCGCACGAATTGGATGATGTGTTTATCTCGGACGAGAAAGACGCCGCGGATGATTTTTTTTTCCCTGATGACGCGGATTTTGTGCATGTGCTGTGATCAATTTTTGAAGGTGCGGCTGGCTTTGACAATATGAATGTGACGGATTTTCGTGATTTTTGCATTCTAAGTACTACTTTTGGTGGGGAAAACTTTTTGGAACGCAACAACCAAATGCATGTAAATTACAAATTTATAAAATGGTCACCGGCCCGCCGGGCGAGATCAAGACTCGCCTGTAACTTCAAATCAGGCTTTCGCTACGTCCTCGACTGTTCGTGCGTCTCAATGTCTTGTTGGTTCTTTTCTTGAGAGAATTGTGCTTGAGGTGTTTCAGTGTGCGTTGGTTTCAAATTTTGAACAAAAAAAGCTTTGTTTCTCTTGTAAGGTTTCTTGCTATGGACGTGAAGCACGACTGGTAATAGCTGTACCAAAGACGACGTGACTCTTCTCTTTCACAACCGACTAAGTCCTTCGTACCTCAGTCTATACAATGACAATCTATTTCGTTTAGGCCGCGGGCAGGAATAGAACTACTTAAAGCAATTGCGCAATGTCGTGTTTTTTCAGATCGCACTTCTAAAACGAACTTTTCATACAATACCTATGCAGCCCATGTAAGATTTCAAAGTCGCTTTACAAAATGTAAAACCACTCATGTTGAAGACTACATCCGCACTAGCACTACCCAGTTCTTTTTGTTTGATTCAGCGCAAGAACAGGGCGGACCACGACCGCATTTGGTTCTAACGTACGTGACCGCGAATTATCGCCGCAGCCTAATATCCCCGTCGCTTGTTCGCTCTCGGGGGGTGCTTCTACTTGTAGCAGCGACCCGGATAATTCAGGAGCTTTTTCACCGCCACGAAGATGCTGACCGGCAACTCGGCGGCGCAATCGAGCACGCACCCGAACCCGCACCGGAGTAGTTTTCCTAGCAGTTCTAGTACAGGACACCAGCATGGCAGCTTTTCAACAACGGGAAGCAGCCCGGCTTCCGTCCCAGGCGGCGGGGGAGCGGGTTCTTCCGGAGGACCGAATTTCCACCAAGGAGGTGCTAGTGGCGCCTCTGCATCGTCATCGTCCCAGTCGGAAGTGGATCACTGCATCAACAGCTCGATATCGCGGCTCATGGAAGGTTTTTTTGGAAGCGGTACTAGTACAGTAGATGACCACGGAGGTTTTTTGACGCAGCCGCTCGACTTCACCATAGCAACGGTATTGTTTTTCGTCATGTTGCTTTACTACTTATTCGGATGACATGAAGACCACTTGCTGATGCAGCTTGCGCGGCGTGGCGTGATAGTTGACGACGAGAAAGAGAATTGATTGTGCAAAATATCAAAACCACTTTCAGGTGCTGCAGGCCGATTTTCCGTTGAACGAAAATTGGGCGAATGAAGTGCAAATTGGTGAAGATTTGATAGATGACGAAGAGAAGCTGGAGTACGACCCGGCAAGGCCAATACAAACGTCGCTCAACAACAAAACCCCGGGAGCAAGAATTATATCGCCACCTTCCGGGGGTTCGCAGAGCGGCGGCAGGGTCGCCAATGGTATTCCAGACGTCTACCCGGCTAATGCAACGCCGCCCAACACCAGCCCGGTTGATACCGGCGGTGGGGACATGAACACGCAGATGAAGAGAGGTACAGATACTTACATGAAGATTTTGTCATGCGCATCATGGAATTTTTCATACACATAGCACAGCCTCTGCGAAGACGAGAAAAAACGAAATTTATCATATATCAGACGGCGAACGCAAGCTCCTGGAAGCGATCCGCGCGTTAAATCTCCCGAAGGATCTGCAGCACCACAAATCGGTTGTGGAGCAAATGTATCAAATGTAAATATGTCTGGGTCTGGAAGAATGTAGGGTTTGTCATGCACAGCTAGCATGGCTCTCAAGTCTGTTATGCGCGCCACACAAAAGCCACATTTCTTTGTCATGCAGAAACGCAGTGTGTCATGCAGATAGGCAACACTATAGCAACTCCAAAACTTGTCATGCTTGGCTGTCAAAAATGAAGGCGTCCACATGATTCGCCAAACAGCATCACAGGTTTCCAGACCCAGACATTTTTGCACTCGATAAAATGGACTTGTCGAGTCTGTACCACGAGAAAAAACGGGTGAAGGAAAAACTCAAGGAGTTCGACGAGTGGTTTAAGCTCCACTACGGGCATATCAAATGCAAATACTTATGTCTGGGTCTGGAGGGTTGCAACTTGTGATGCTGCCTTTGGATTCTACAAAGAATCTGTATTGCGTGACCAGCAAAAGAGGTCCATTTTTTGCTACACGGAGAGGGCATTTCTCATGCAGTACAGGCATCAGAAAGCCCTCAACAGATCTGTGATGCTAGGGCATGCATCACAGACATTATGGGTCATGCAGAATGTGCATCACGACAAGCGCTGTTTTTTTCCAGACCCAGACATATTTGCATTTGATAGGGCAAGTCCCAAACCGGCGGGAGAAAGAGCCCATGCGACCCTTGTACACCTACTACAGGTTGGTGAAAATGATTCTCGACACGAGGGAGAAGTACAACCAGCGCGCCGGCGGTGGAACCGCACGACCTGCTAACAGTAGCCAGCAGCCGAGTCCGAGTGACGACTGGACAAAAATGGAGTCGGACTACGGGAACAGTAACCATCCAAATCCGAACATCAGATCCAGCCCCGGAGTTGCTGCAGTTTCCCCCGGCGGAGGAGCACCATCATCTTCCGTGCAAACGCAGCCGCAGAACCACCAGCAAGGGAATAATGCAGCAATTATGCACCAGCAGCAGCAACTACACCCCCCGGCCTCCTCCCCGTCCGCCAGCAGTCCGTCCGTTGGCCATCCGGGGGGAACCAGTAGCTTTAGCCCGGGAACTCAGAGTGGGTACACGGCGCAGCAGAGCCCGGGGTATGGGCACAGCCCGGTGTTTCGGGTACAGGACGGGCAGGGTTCGAGTCAGGGCGATTTCAGCCGCACGGAATCGGCGCTGACGCAAAACGTGCAGTCCTCACCGGAACGAGGGGGAAGTAATATTGCGGCGAACCTGCAGCCGCCCGGTGCCCGTGGGTCGCCGCCTGGTACCACAAGTGGTGGCGTGACGAGATTAACACCGTCGGGTGGGGTGTTGACGATCGGCGGCTCCGCGTCGTCTACCGGCGGAGCGGGGGGCACTACCGTGCAGCCGGGCGTGCAAGAGTACAATGTGTTTTCATGAAGAACATTCGCTCGAAGAACTGTGATGTGTGTCCTCTGTCCATAACAAATGCTCAGGATAATGCCTAGGTGTGCATCAAAAGAAAATGAAAAAGCAAATACATATCTTCACAGCCACCACACCCCAACCTCAAGCCACTTTCGCGAAGTGTACCCGATGCGCAGCCCTGAGTCACATTTGCGCGAGCAGCGCGATCCGGGGGGCTCGCGGGACCGGCAACAGAGAGAGCAGCGGGAACAAACGTATTCTTTTTTGTGATAAGTAGTTTCTGTACTGCAGAATACCATCAACATTTCAACATTGTATATGCATTGCTCTGCATGACAAACATCACAGCACCCTGCGCCACGCTCACGAGTACAATGAGTTACAGCGCAAGCACGAGGAGTTGCAGCGGCAGAAAGCGGTTATCCGGGACAAACTCCAGAAGTACCAGGACGATTTCCTGACGCAAAACCACCGGAAAATCAAGTACCACAAGGATATTCTCCCCATAGAGAAGGACTACCAGAAATACAAGGAAATCAAGAAAAAACTCCTGGAATATCAAATGTAAAAATGTCTGGGTCTGGAAGATTCTGAGACTTGTCATGCACGGTTTGCATGAGCCATGATGTCTGTGATGCATGCCCTAGCATCACAGGTTTTTTGAGGGATTCTTGATGCCTATTCGGCATGACAAATGCCCTCCACGCGTAGCAAAAATCAGAATCCTTTTGCTGCTTATGCAACACAAATTTTGTAGACATCCAAATGCAGCATCACAAGTTGCATTTTTCCAGACCCAGACATTTTTGCATTTGATATCGAAACGGAGCAAGCTTTCCGGGATCTGCAGAACACGGGGTATGGGACGGTAGAACCGGTGCCGCATGCACAGGATCTACATGGTAGTCAGCAGCTAGAACCTCTTCCAGCTGGCGGCGCAGCCGGGGCGGGGCGAACTGTTCCCGGTAGCGTCCAACAAGCGATTGGCGCAACGCAGGCGCGCGGCGGTGGTGCGGGGGGGCAGCTGGGGAACCAACATCATGCTGTAGCTCCAAACTTCACCAATTGGGAGCAACGCGGGGCGGGAATAAACGCGAACACTAACAATTTCCTCGAGCAGCAGCACCGCGCAGCGAACCAGCAGTTAGTTGCGCGGCCGAGGGTATCAACTGCAAAAATGTCTGGGTCTGGAAGAGTCATGCTGTTTCTGCATGACACAGAAGGTCTGGCATGGAAGCTCTAGCATCACAGGTCTCGAGAAGCTTCCGCAATGCCGAACCCGCATGACAAATCCCCCATTTTGGTGACAGAAAGTGAGTAGCTTTTGCTACCTATGCATGAGAGATTTTTGTGTGTTCTGAAATGCGCATCACAGGTTACATCCTTCCAGACCCAGACACTTTTACATTTGATAGAGGGGAATCGGGGATATCGTGCAGGACAGAGATATGGAACTGTCAGAATCGAAATCGTCAAAGTTGAAATAATTTGCAATGCATAAAATGCGACACAAAAAGTGACTCTATTGCAGAGGACCCACGGGAGGCAGATTGTAGTCCTGGTAAGGGTCAAGAGTTGGACTGCTAACTAGCATGACAGAAGGCAGCTCCTTTGCCCTAAACCGCATGACAGACTCGCTTCCAGGATCGGGAAAATTTGTCATGCACCGACTACAAACTGTAGGTCTAACTGGTATCCGTTTTATGCATGACAAACTATTTCAACTTTGACGATTTCAAACCTGACACATCCATAAGAGACAGGCGGCACAGGGATAACCCGAACGAAGGGTGAAAAAAAGGAGAAATCAGCGCTTTAGATGGAGAGTGCCAAACATGATGTTCTTGGGAAAAATATATGGCACTCGAAAACTTGTTATGCGAAAATGCATAGAAGTGACGCAAAAAGTCACGTCGTCGGTTTTTTTTGTCGAAAGTAACAAAGAAGTCGGAAACGCTGCAGCACGCTGCATCACAAGGCTCAACTCAGTCGTTTTTGTCACGAAATAAAGTCACAAACGGGCGTTGCAAGTAGCGCGCTTGTCTAGAGTATCTCAAAGTCACAACGTTTATCACCAAATCATCTTCTTTGGGTGATTGTCAAAAGATAGCGTCAAGAACCGGGTAAGTAGTACATCTTATCCCTCCAGTGAAACCATCGAATTTTGACGCGGCAGAAGTTTTTGTCTCGCGTGCAAAAGGCAAGAAGGAAATTTGAACTTCACGAAAGTATATGAACTTGCGACGACAAGAACTCCGCTGATGTAGTAGTGTTCTGGTCTTTGTCTCGTCTACACACTGAAGTCTCATCGTTTTCTATAGAATCAGGGTCCGACGAAGATGAAGTCAAAGTCAGTCAGGAACTGGAGGGACAAAAAAGTCCAAATCTGCCTTGGCGAGCTGAAAGATGCGCGTCCTCTTTTTGTTGGTAGAAGAGTTGTTGAGATGAGGACTGACTTCTGATGCTTTTTACGTCGTGCTAAATTTTGCTTTCCCACATCTTCAAGAGTTTTGACCATTTTCGGTTTGCCCCGATTTATTCACATCGATAGAGCTGCGAGCGAAGTGTAGGTCAGTTTACCGACTGTTTGTGTGAAGATTTTTTCTGCCGCTGCTACAAAGAATTTATGTTCGTTCCCGCTTGATTCATTACGCATACGCTTTCAGATCTATAATTTTCATCGCAGCCACTAAACCCATCACAAAAGACAGAATGCTCGCCCTCCCCGAAGCCTCCTCCGGGCTAATATCGGACCAACAAGCCGACACTTTTTCCCGCCCAATCGAGAAACTATCCGAGGAAACGATTAACCAAATCGTATTGAGAAGAAAAATCCCCCCTCCCCATATTGAAAACGCATTCGTCTGAAAATTTGTGATGCAGATTTGAGGTCACAAATCCTGTCTGTCTTGCAAGAAGGCAAAGCCAGAGAGTCCGCCGCATTGTGCCGGCGGTTTGTGATGCTGCTGGGCTTACAGAGCCGACATCTGCCATGCTAGTCCCCTACGTCAAAACCTCTCGACCCAGGCTTGGCATATGCCTGCAGTCCTCTCCAGCAAGACAGGCCTGATTTGTGTACGGGAATCCAGCATCAGAAACTTCGTTTCGATATGGGGAGGGGGGATTTTTCCCTTTGATAAATCGCCGCTGGGGAAGTGGTGATCCGGCCTTGCAACGCGTTGAAGGAGCTGATAGAAAACAGCATCGACGCGGGGTGCTACAATATCAACATCACCATCGGCGAGGAGAAGGTTTTCACGAGCGCGACAAGCAGTTCCAGTTCGTCTAAACAACAAAAGTACAACCTCCTGCAGGTGAAGATTGAAGATGACGGACACGGCATTCAAAAGCAGGACCTACCGATTCTGTGCCACCGGTTCACAACGTCGAAGTTGAAGCAGTACAAGGACCTCCAAACGATTTCCACGTTCGGGTTCCGGGGGGAAGCGTTGTCTTCCTTGTCCCATTCGGCGAGGGTTACGGTTGTGACGAAAACGAAAACAGCGAAATTAGCGAGCGAAGCGAAGTACTTGAACGGAGAGTTGGTTTCATCTTCAGGGAACATCAATAGCAACTACACAAGCGGTAGTACCAGTAACGGCATCAAGCAGATTTCCTTCACAAATCACGCTTTGATCCGGCAACAACTCTCGGGCACGACGATTGAATTCTCCGATCTCTTTTTCAACAACCCAGTCAGACGGGAGATTTTCAAACAACGAAATTCCATCTCGGATGAATATAGGAAATGTTTAGAAATTGTCCAGAATTACGCCATCCACTACCCGAGTGTGTCCTTTTCCATCCGGAAAGGTAATGTTGGGAACACGGTGGGTGGGGATTTGTCCAGCGCGATGAACAAGCCGTTCGATCTGAAAACGCCCGGGACGATCTTCACGAAGAAGGAAAACGTGATTGGAATGGTGTTGCCGGCGTATGGAAGAGGATTAGGAGGAGCTTTCTCTAGCAGTGGCGGCGGCGGTTCTGGTTCAAGCTCGTCTTCCTCCTCGTCTTCGCTTCTAGATTTAACCATCTGCCCAGGAGAGGAAGATGTCGATGACGAATTTGAAGTTGAAAACAACCTAAAAAATCACGACAGTATATTCGACGACGAAAAGGATTTCACGTCTTCCAGCAATTCCTTGCACGGTTTGAAAATCCACGCGATTATCTTATCAAATGCAAATATGTCTGGGTCTTGACGGTGGCAACTTGTCATGGTAAATCTGAAGCATGCAAAAATCTGTGTTGCATGAGTGCCAAAAGCTGTCCACCTTTGACCAAGTTGGAAGGGAGTTTCTCATGCAGGATAGGCATGGCAGAGACCTCGCAGAGTCTGTCATGCTAAGTCCCGCATTCCAGACCTCATGGGTCATGGAAAATCTGCATGACAAGTTTACACTTTTCCAGACCCAGACATTTTTGCACTTGATATATCTCCGATTTGAGCAACGCGACCGCCTCCGCGATGGGGGCATCGAATTCGAACCCCGCGAACAGCCAGAAATTGATATCGAGTGCAAATATGTCTGGGTCTGGAAACTTGTGATGCAAGGAAGGGAACAGTGAGCACCCTGTAAGGCGCTGCCAAGCATGACAGGTTCTTCGTCTTCCGTGGTTCTGAGTTGCGTACTCCGCATGAGAAACTGCGTTTCTGCATGACAGGCAGGCGCAGGAGGAGCTTCTCGCGGCCACGCAATACAGATTTCAGATTCATGCCCGACTAGCATGACAAATTTCGCAGCCTCCCAGACTCAGACATATTTGCACTTGATAATTGATATTGTTTGTCAACAACCGACTGGTGGAAAACCAAAGCATTCTTCGCGCCGTCCGGGAAGGGTACAAGCAGGCGACTGCGATCTCCGAGTCCGCGAGCGGGTTTTCATCCTCCTCGAATACCGCGCAGGGTTCCACTGCCGCGAATATGACGCGGTTTTTCGTCTACATGGATTTGAAAATCGATGGGTCGGCGGTGGATGTTAATATCCACCCGACGAAAAAGGACGTGCACATGCTGGACTCGAATTTGATTTGTGATTTATTGCAGCGAAGGATCAAGGAATTGCTGAAGGAGAAATCGACTGATAACCGGACGCTGGCGAATTTGGGGATAAAAACATCGAAAAGTAGTAGTAGTGCTGCTGTCACGACGAAGAGCTGGGATATTGTGAAAATCACGAGCAATTTGCGGAAAATCAAGGAAGAGGGGGAGGAGGAGGGGGACGATGCAGATCAGGGGGCCGGCCAAGGAGATTCTCAACTCGTCGAGTCGCAGCAATCGACAGCACAGATGAATAACAAAAAGCGGAAAATCGAAGGCCGAGATGACAAAAAGGACGACAACTTCGACCCTTTAAGCAAGCACGTTACCCGGGTCCGGAACGACACGAAGCAGCCATCGGTCAAGGATTTCTGGAACCAAATTACGTCCACGCAGTTGCAAAATCTGCTGAAGTTCACCTTTCACGAGAAATTCGTGCGGAAACACATCGTGCCGCTTGTGTCCTCTACTTCTGGAGCATCATCTTCTCAGACTGCGGCGACAGGATTGTCGCAAAACTCAGCAGGGGTCGTTGGACAACAAGGAATATCTCGGGGCGGCGACGCAGGTGGCGGTGAGGAGAACGAAACAAATAAGAGCGGCCAACAAGAAACGAGAAGCAATCCCTTCCTCCATTACTACGAAAAGCATTTGAACAACGCGACCTATTCCGAGGACTTGACCCGGAAATTGCAGCAATCCATTTGGATCGGGGTGGTGAACGAGGAGAAAGTTTTGTTGCAGACCGGGCCGCGGTGCGTATTGGTAAATTTGAAAATCATCGCGGAGGAAGCAACGTTTCAGCTTTTGTTGTTGCTGGCTTTTCGGGCCTTTGAAAAGCGGAAAAACTTGTACATGGCGGTTGCGGCTGAGAGTAATGATGCAGCAGGAGGAGGCGCAAGAACCGCAAATACTTCTACTTCCACTTCCCTTCTTCCACTACTGAAGCTAGGTGGAGGAGCAAGCGGGAAGACGGGGACTGCTGCCGTATCCCAGAAAGGCACCAGTACTCTTACCGGGTTGAGCTTGCGCAGGTTGCTGGAGTTGTCTGGTTGTGGAGCGTCGTCGTCTGATGGAAGGCCAGCTGGGTTCCATGCTTCTTCCACCGATGAGAAGGAGAACGAGGAAAATCACAGGCAGGAGAAAGATCATGCCGATCAGGAGAAAGAAAGTGATGAGCAGAGCAGGAATGCAGAAAGAAGCCAGACCATCCAGAAGATCGCGCAGACGTTCAATGCGCACAAGCAGTTCCTTGCTGACAATTGTGGAATCCATTTCTATCCTGTTGCAGATGAAAGAAAGGAAGAAGGAGATGGAGCTGCTGCTTCTCATGCGGATCAGAAGCAAGACCAAGACACCGCTGAGTCTGAAACACCAGCAACAGATCTTTTTCTGACCCACCTCCCGAACCTGTACTGCTTCCGGACGGTGGACATGAAGAAGCTGTTGTCGCAGTTGCCGGCGTTTCTCGCGGATATCGCGGTGCTATTGCTGTCAGGGAAGACAAAGGGTGAAAAACCAGCGATAATATCACCCGTTTCGCATAACAAAGTGCAGCACGAGAAAATCTTTCGGCGGGTCGCAAAGTTCGTTTGCAATGCGGTGTTGCCAAGAAACGGTTCAACGGCGACAGTGAGTACTAGCACCACCTCGAGCAATACAAACCTCACTTCCCAATCCCAGCATCAGCAGCAGCAGCAACCCGACCCCGCAATCGAAACCCTCCTGCACGAGCAGTGGCGGACGATCCATCTGGCGCCCTGGTTCCGCGTGCCGAAGCGGTTTGAGTGCAAAGAAGTAGAGGGTGAAGTGAAACTTTCGAAGGGAAAGAATGCCAACACGCAACTTGAAGATGCGATGGAAGCAGGCGGCGGGCGGAAGTTTGCGGGGAAAATCGTGCATGAGGTGGTGAATTTGGACCAAATTTACAAAACCTTCGAACGGTGCTGAGAATCATGGTTTTTGCGCAATTTGTGCGGGTTCTTCTTCGCATGCACCATACACAGTACTGCGACACTGCTTCCCGACCACACGCCTGCCTTGAGAGCAGTGTTGCCTGTAGTCGGCTGAACTACCGCATGTTCTGTATTACTGCCCGGAACTAGAACTAGAGCAGCGAAGCTCCTGATTGAGCGGAATTAAAATGGGCAGTGTGCTGCCTCTTCAAAAACCTGCAGAGTACAACTCGAGTTGCCATTTACCATTTTCATCTGAGACGGCCTTGCGGAGCTTGAGTGATACCAAAACGGACTTCAGTTTCTCATTCTGAAAATGCGCAAAAAGATGAGAGCAAAGTGGCACAAATTATTGGGAGCGAGTTTTTACCTTCTGTTCTTTTGCTAAAGCTAGTCTCGCAATAGTTCTTCTTTCCCCAAAGTTCTTCTGTCAAAATTTGAAAACCAAAAACTAATATGGATTCCTCCCTCGACGACTTCCTAAAGCAGCTCGTTGCCGAGTTTGGCGACAGCAGTTCTAGCTGGCCAAAAATCGCAGAGGAATTCCAATCTATCGCCGCCGACCTCGAGGATGAAGACCTCCAGCAGAGCGCCGAGGAACAGTACTCGGCGTTTGCGCTGCAAAGGCGCTGGGTGGAGATCACCCAATCGGAGGAGGATAACGATCTCACCTCTGTTACTTCCTCAAGAACTACCGGGTCCAAAAACTACTACCTCGCCGGTGGTAGTAGTATCGCCGGCGAGTCACAGCAATTCGCGGTGGATTCCACTGCGGAAACGATGATCGGTGGGGGGAGCACAACACCACTGCTCGGAGCTTTAGATGACGGAACAAACGATTCCGATCTGGAATTCGAAAAGGCTTTCCTCGCGTATAACGCGCTCAGGTGTTACAATCTCAACCGTTACAATAGAATTTGAAACTTCTGTTGCATGATGAGCATGACTGACTCGCAGAGGGTGTCACTTTCTGCAATACAAATTTCGCCAGATTCATTGTAGTGGGGTTTGGGACTCTGGAACTTGTCATGCGCAATCCTATGAGAATGGGCTAGAACATGCACTCTTGCATCACAGATTTCCATATTCTATTTTAATGTTTGAGATTGTAGCAGCTGAGCAGGTGATATCGCGCAGGTCGGCACGGAAGAGGCGAAGTTGGAAAACAACAATTTCCTCGTCGGTACGGGAAGAACATCAACAACCGGAACAGCAGCAGCAGCAGCAGCTCCAGTGGACAAGTCCGCCTCGGAATCGCACTTCAACCCGCATTTTCCCTCGTTCGCCACCGCGCTGCTGGCGTACGGGGTGAATCCGCACGATCCGGTGAACGACACGAGATGTTTGATCGAGTTGAAGGACGATCAGGTGTATCAAATGCAAATATGTCTGGGTCTGGAAGGTTGGAACTTGTAATGCCAGCTTGCCATTATAAATACCTAGGAAATCTGTATTGCATAACCAACAAAAGTCGCAGCCTCTGTTGTACATGCAAACGCAGTTATTTCTTATGCGGATTGTCTATGAGAAAGCCTTCTGGAAAGTTGTCATGCTAGGTTGCATTCGAAACTGTTTCCATCATCCACATTTTAGCATCACAAGTTTCCATGATACCTAGACATATTTGCATTTGATAAGGTGCGGCCGAAGGTGTTTGATTCGATTTTAGAGAAGTTGAAAGAGGAAAAAGACATGAGTGTGATGGAGACGCTATCCTGTGTAAAAACGTCCCCACCCCATAGTCAAGATGGGAAATCTGCTAGACTAACCACCCAGCTTTGATGGCTGTTGCGCATGACAAGTTGGGCCTCGTAGTGTAATCCTGGCCAGCTTGTTCAGCGGCATCACAGATGTGGCCTATCATGCTGGTTCTAGCATTACAAATTCCAAAACACGGCTAGAAAATGCTTGCCATAGGGCTCCGCATGAGAAGCATTTTCAGCATGCAGATTTGCACTACAGCTATGAGGTGGGGACGTTTTTACATAGGAGAAACGCTGTCGCGGCAGGAATTTACCAGGTTGCTGAATCCGAATAAGAAAGCCGGCGAGAAGACGGGCGCAGAGGCGGAAGGAGAAAAAGCTGCAGGGGAGAAAAAGATGGTTTCAACTAGTGGAGGAGGAAAGAGTGGACCTGCTATCGCCGCATCTGCTACAACTCGAACGAGTGGCAGTGCAGCCAGCAAGCCAACCCCACAAACAGCAGGAGGGAAGGGCAAGGGAAAGCAAGGTAAGGACTGGAGTTGTAGTTGCAGTTTGTCATGCGTGCCAGTGTCTGAAAAAAAATGCATGGTTTTGTAACCCCAGAATGAAACAAATTGTTGGTAATAAAATTGCAAACCACAGGCCGCGGCACCGTCGACACTGACGAGCACGACTCTTCCGACGCAAACTCCACCGATTCTGAAGACAACAACTTCCAGCAGGCCCGCGCGAATCTGAAGGCGCAGGCGCTGGAGAAGGTCGGAAAGAAGTACGATAAAACCGAGTTCAAAGCGCCTGCCCCACCTATTTCCTTCCAGCCTCCGTCGCGAACAACCACCGCCGCAGCGGCCGCGGCGAAGCAGACGCTGAAAAACCGCATATGACAGTGCACAACTCCCCCTCCCCCCCATTTGTCATGCAAAATACCCAATCCACCCTCTGCCTCTTGGCACTGTGTGCATGACAAGTTCTGGTAGCCCAAATAGCACTAGAATCCAGTGCAAATCTGTCATGCAAAACCGGCATTCTTGCTGATGCTTGTATTGCCGTTCATGCTATACGAATGAGGGGGAGGGGGAATTGTGCACTGTCATACCGCAGCAAGATCAAGCAGAAGGCGCACCAGGAGTTCGGGAAGTTGTCCGAGGCGGAGGAGCTGTTGGTCTCCGGCGGGTTCTTATGACAGTGCACAACTCCCCGTCCCCTCATTTGAGTGGCATGATCAGCAACGCAGGCAACGCCAGAAGTGTTGGCTCCACATGACAAATATGCACACGGAGTGTAGTACTGTTTAAGGCCGCTCCAAAGTTTGTCATGTAATCCGTGCTGGGAGGCAAGATTTGGAGTAGGGTATTTTGCATTACAAATGAGGGGGAGGGGAAGAACCTGTGCACTCTCATAGTTCTCGGCCAGCGGGTTTGTGGATAAGTACGACCACTACGAAGATTTATCGGAGGCGGTGAAGTATCTTGTGCAAAAGTATCGTACTCGTAGTAATTGCATGCATGCATTACAGATTTCTTTCTCAAGGTAAATCAGCATTACAAATTTTATTTCTCATGCTGAGGAAATTTGTATTGCAATTCATACTAGTACCATACTTTTGCAATGCATATGAAGCAGAAAGTCGACGAGATCGAGTCGATCATGCACAAGAAGGGCGTCAGTTCCACCGCGAAAAAACAGACGAGTTTGGCGGAGATCCAGACTTGCATCGCGGAAGACAAAGAGTTCGTGAGAATGGTGGAAAAAGTGAACGATGATAGTGCAGGCCCAAGGGAAATAAACACGTGCGTGATAGAGGAGGTGGAAGAAGAACAAAATGATCGGAATGATCTACTAGAGCAGCCGCGGCCCCGCAAAGTGTCCGATAGCACCACGAGTTCCGAGCGGGACGAGGAGCCACTCTCCCCCGAGCAGGTCGCGGTTAACAAGGGCGCGTTACTGCAAGCGGAACACGACATCGACCCGGCCAGCGATACGAAAAACCACAATCTGGAAGTCCAGGCGGACGCCGCGCAATATCGTATTTAAAAAGGTTCCCACCCCAAAGTTGTAATGCAAATCTGCATGCTGAAAATGTTTCTCATGCGGAGCCCCAGGAGAAGTATTGTCTCGCCGTGTTTTGGAATTTGTCATGCTCCAATCAGCATCATATACTAGATCTGTGATGCTGCTTAGCTAGCGGAAACAGCACTACACTACGAGGGCAGATTTGTCATGCCAAACGACCAAAGGTGGCTGATTTCTCTAGCGGATTTCCCATCTTGCCTCTGGTGTAGGGACGTTTTTACATAGGATACGCAACAGCAACTACTCGCGAACCTGCGGAAGATGACCAACCCGAGTCGGGCCTCGAAGGACCAACCGATAGTGCAGAAATCGCGGGAGCAGCAGCGGTATGCATTGCAAAAGCATCGTACTACTACAAATTGCATCAGAAATTTTTGCTGTAGAAGGAGAAATGCAATTTGTAATGCTGATTCGGGGAACGGGAACAAGCTAGATTTGTCATGCTGTATTGCGATTCGTACGAATGCGATACTTTTGCAGAGCATAAGCGGAGGGAAGACGAAGAGGAGAAAAAGCGGTTCGCGGAAGAGGTCGAAGAACGGCTATCAAAAGGAAAAATCCCCCCACCCCATATCAAATGGGAAATCTGTGATGCAGGATTAGTGTACACAAATGCGCGCTGTCTTGCAACACGGCATCGCAGCCAGATCCGCAGCCTAGGGAGGGACAGTTTGGTCTAGATGCTTAGCATTACAAACGACTGCCCTCCTGGCCCAACAGCATGCCAAACCGCTCCCATAATGGCAGGGAAGCCTCTGCATTTGTCCTCTTGCACGACAGACGTGATTTGTGGTCTCAAATCAGCACGACAAATTTTCGGAAGTGTGCCTTTTCGATATGGGGAGGGGGGATTTTTCCTCTGAATAACGGCGGAAAATGCTGCAGGAGCGGATGCGGGGGTTAGACATGGTTCTCGAGCCTTCCTCCCGGGTCGCCGAGCACATGGCAAATTTGCAGGTGACGAGCAGCAAGAACGACGTGATTGTGAAAAAAATGGAGAATAAGGAGACGAAAGCCACGACGATTGCGAGTAGCGTCGAGGAAAACAAAGAGAACAACGGGGAAGATTCCTCGAACCTGAGTTCGAGCGAGAACGAGGTGCAAACCGCGAGTTGGAAGACGTCCGCGAAATCGACGAGTAAGGCCGCGGCAGCTGCGTCCGTGGATTTGTTGAATAAATCCAAAGAGTCGTCCGCCTCCGAACAAGAAGTTGAGTTTGACGTGAAGATGCTGGATCAACTTGTGAAAGAAAAATACGACTACCCGCTGACCCACTTCGCCGGGTCGAAGGCCAGCAAACCGAGCTTGCTACCCATCAATGGATTTTTAGGGCAGGCCATGGCCATGAACCAGAAATTCTACCTGTTACCGTTTTCGACTGAAGAGAGACCGGTGGTATCGGAAAAGTCGTTGCAACTGTTGCAAAGCTCCGTGGCTGTGTGCAACGCGAGTGTTTTGCTTTTGATCGACGGGCAGAGCATTCCGAACGAAGCGGTCTCTACCAGCATGTCCTTCTACGGTTTGTATTTACTCATTGCGGCGCCGGAGCGGGTGGTGTTACAGAAGCTGCAGCAACTCGCAGACCAGTCGGACTCGGAGGAAGAACGCGCGAGGAATTATGCCAAGGAGGCTTTTGAAGAGCTGGAGAACTCCGGCGATTTCATCCCCATCGACGTGGACAAGTGGCACCCGCTGGTCACAAGCCCCTTCGGGTTCGGACCCAATTTGGTCGGCTCCTACGCAAGTTCCGGGGATGCCGGAGGGTACGCGGAGAAACTGGATCGCCACTATTCCGCCACGTACTTAACATTTTCTATCGCTTTTTCTATCAATCATTCTCTCCGTGCATGACAGACTTGAAACTCATATTATTGTTTGCACCTGTAGTTCATCGTGTTGCATCGAACGTTGTCATGAAACAAAAATCCCCCAGCGACGTCTCGCTCTCCGACAAGCAGTTTTATGAGCAGTCCTGTGCGGTGGTGGTGAAAAATGCCAGCCTGCTCGGAGAACTCATTCTGCAAGCCTTGCGAAAGGGCTTGTACGTGTGTGCGTTGCGAACGGTGTACTTGTATCAAATGCAAAAATTTCTGGGTCTGGAAAATTCGAACTTGTGATGCTAACTTCGGACTCTAAAAAAATCTGTATTGCGTGACCAGCAAGAGGAGTCCAGTTTTTGCTACGCGGGGAGGCCATTTGTCATGCGGAATAGGCATCAAGACGTAGTCAGAAAATCTGTGATCATGCTAGGGAATACATCACAGACGTCACGGGTCATGTAAAATCTGCATGACAAGTTGCAACCTTGCAGACCTAGAGACTTTTGCATTTGATAACTTGACCGAGGAAATGACGTCGATCGCAGCACTTGATTCTATATGCATTGCAAAAGTATCGTACTTGTATAAATCGCAACACAAATTTTTTCAGAAGGAAAAATCGAATTTGTAATGCTGATTTCGCTAAGAAACAAGATTTGTCATGCATGATTGCAATTAGTACGAGTACGATACTTTTGCACAGGATATTCTATGAAAGTGGGATTCACAATTGGATCATCAAGAAGCGAAAAGCATGCTCCTGGTCTACTGCATCCCGCTTTTACAACTCTGCATGACGGAGTTTTATTACCAAAGTATAATAACGGGCCATCTGCATCTTCTTCTTCTAGAACATTTATTCAAGCATGAAGACCGAAACTTGATTCAAAACTCTTTTCATTTCCATCACCCCACCCGCCGGCCACATCCCGTCGATCCTGAAACACCACCTCGACCCCAAGCAGAAGAACATCGTGATTGCCTTCCGGGGCCCGGATTGCGTGGAGCTTATCCGGGAGATTGTCGGGCCCAGCCCGGAGATCGCCCGGCGGACCGACCCGAAGTCGTTGAACGCCAGGTTTGGCGCCATGGAGGGCAACGAGCACGTCGTGTCCCCGCCCGCGCGGGGCGTGGTCGACCTTGTGTGGGCGTTCGGCGGCCGAGTGGAGGACTTGGCTACGTTTGGGGAAAAACTGATCAAGCCCAATACCGGGACGATCTCGGCGCTGCAACGGAAATCGGAGCTAGAAAACCTTTACCGCGGGCTGCTGTTTGAAAACACGGAGAAGGACTTGCAGTTCACTTACGCGTTTCACGTGTTCCCGGAGCAGGTGTTCTCCATCGGTCTCCGGCACGCGCTGTCTCCCTCGGAGTTGATCCCGAAAATCGAGCTGTACCTGCGGCACGTGGGCAAGGTATTATCCGTGAATCCGCAGAAGAAAATATTCTGAGTAAAAACGTCCCCACCCCATAGTCAAGTTGCGAACTGTGCAACACAAATCCAGGAGTTTTGGGAGACATGCATGACAAGTTCGTCTTTGTAGTGTAGTCCAGGTCAGCAAGGACAGTGGCATCACAAAGCCATCTCCTTATCCTGTTTACAGCATTACAAATGCCAAAACACGATTGGAAATGCCTCTCTTGTAGATGCGCGCTATAAATGCTCCTGTCATAATTGCAAATCTGCATGACAACTCTGGGGTGGGGACGTTTTTACACAGGATAGAAAAAGTTTGGCGCGGTGGGCACCAAGGCAGCATCCGAAAGTGCGAACCAGCAGTCTTCCTTCGTCATCACCGCCGTGCGGGAGGCCGGCGCGAAACCGCTGGAGCGCATCGAGGGCCTGCAGAGTCACCACGTCTTCTCGGAAATCGCCATGGATTCGTACGGCATGAAAATCCGGAATCTCCCGCAGCAGTTTTCGTACGAAACGAATAGCGGTGCGACGGGCAAGGAGGAGGACCCAAACGAAATCGTGGTGACCATGCTGCCTTTACTAGGCAACGAGGACCTGAAGCCCTTCGCGGAAATTTGCGAGCTGTCTATGGGACTGTACAACAGCAGCTCCGTCCCCTCCTTTGTGATGCGAAGTGACACGTATCTTGCCTGGCAGCGCAACAAAACTCTTCGCATGAAAAATTTCGGAACCCTACCAAGAACTACCAGTAAGCAATACAATGATTCCGTCAGTGGACTTGTCATGCGGAAGCCACATATGTTGTGGCATGGCTTTTGTCACTGCTCATGCACTTGAAACGAGGGACAGAAACAGTTGTGCAGTCTCATACTCTCGATTGAGGAACTGGAGGAGCAGAGTACCGCGGGCGCGAGCAGTGTGTACGGTGGCGGCCTCGACTTGATCTCCCTCCGCATCGTGGACTTGAAGCAGATTGACCCGGAGTTAACTACGACAACCGAGTACTTCCTCCGCTCTCCCTTGCTCTCCGAGGCCGCCAAGCAGTCTGTGGTGCTGTTTGCGGTGTATCGTGGGGAGAAATGCTTCGAGAAAATCGAGAACTTCATTTTCCGAAAATCTAAGGCGGTCTATGCTGGACAGCAGGGCCGGTGGAAGTTCACAAAACTGCCAAGTGTACGGAGTGCAAAAGTTGTTGTGTATCTATGTTTTAGTTAACTTCGGAACAAAAATATCTGCGTTCTTTCAAGTTACGAAGGTCGTGTGCTGGCATGCAACTTGTGATGCTGAAACACACGACGCGCCTACGCGAATAAAGGTTGTGTGGTCATGCAGTTTGCTACTTCTACCAAAGGAAATAAAGCAAAAAAATGAGCGCTACACTTTTGCACACCATACCGCGAGTCCTTCTACTACTTCAACGTTTTCTTTGGTTTGAAATCCTTTTTCGGTGCGAGTTCCGTCTTGCCTTCGTTCCCGCTGACGGACGTCCGATCAAACGAGAGGTACCGGCTGACCAAATCCAGGTTTGAGGCGAAGAAGATGCAGTTGTGGGAGGAGGGAAGCTCGGGTGGCGGCGGCATGAACGCAATGAGTGGGTTGATGAGTGGACAGATGAAATCATCAACGCGGATACGCATTACAGATATGTCTGGATCTGGAAGGATCTGAGTTTGTCATGCTAATGCTAGGTCTGGGCGATACAAAAACCTGTATTGCGCAAGCAGCAAAACACGTTCACTCCCGGGGATGGTACTTCCCATGCAGAATACGCATTTGGAGGCCTTGAAGTCAACACTTGTGACGCCACAGCTCGCATTCCAGTGGACCTTTTGTGTCATGCGAAACCTTCGTGAGTAGAGATTATGCAACCTTGTTTCAGAGGACCCAGACATACTTGCAGTGGATACCGGACGACCTTTACCAACTCCGTAGTTGCGGTGGACCCGGATTCGCTCTTCAATTCGTCCTCCGACAACGATGAAGTGGCGGCCACTTACTTCACGCACTCCCCCAAGTCCAAATCGGTCCTTTCCTCGGCGCTCCAGGTGAAGGGTCCAACCGCTTTCGCCACTTCCTTGGGACTCGGGTCGTTTGGCGGCGGCGCGAAGAAGATTATCAAATGCAAAAATGTCTGGGTATGGAAGATTGCGAGACTTGTCATGCTTCTTGTCTGGCATGACCAAAAAGTTTGTGATGCGTGTCCAAGAAGAGATCCTTCTGCCTGTCATACAAAAACGCAGCTTGTCATGTGAGAAACGCAAAACAAAGAAGCGCAGATATTTCTCATGCTTGGCTGTGCATTACAGAGCATTCACTATTCCCAACGCAGCATTACAAGTTTCCAGGCCCAGACACTTTTGCATTTGATAAATATAAAACTACTCCAGTTGGTCGGCGAAGAGGCGGACGACGGAGTGAATTTCGGCGACCAAGACCACGTGTCCATTACGGAAAAGTTCGGGAAAAACATCGCCTTCGTCCTCATCGAAGAGCGGTTTTTGTCGCGGAGCCTGCGGATTTTGAAGCAGAACGGGTTCAGCGTGAAGAATTTGGTGAAGTTTTTGAACAAAGTGCCGCACGAATTGAAAAAAATGATCTGGGAGCAGGACTGCAAGTATCAAATGCAAAAATGTCTGGGTCTGGAAGAATGCAACTACTTGTGATGCTGCATTTGGATTCCAAAAAATTTGTACTGCATGAGCAGAAAAGGGAATGCGATCTCTGCTACGCGGGGAGGGCATTTGTCATGCGGAATAGGCATCAAGTTCAAGACGCCCTTAAAACATGTGTGATGCTACGGCATGCATCACAGATATCATGGCTCATGCAAAACGTGCATCACAAGTCCCAGAATCTTCCAGACCCAGACATATTTGCAATCCATAGCAAACAGGATGGGTACTTCAAGGAGTCCGACCGGGTATCAAATGCAAAAATATCTGGGTCTGGAAGTAGAGTGCGCGACTTGTCATGCAGCTTTTCCATGACCCATGAGGTCTGGAATGCAGGACCTAGCATGACAGATTCTTTGCGATCTCTCTCATGCCTATCCTGCATGAGAAACTCCCTCCCGACTAGGTCAAAACCGGACGACTTTTGGTAATGACGCAACACAGATTTTTGCATGCTTCAGATTTAGCATGACAAGTTGCATTCTTCCAGACCCAGACATTTTTACATTTGAGACCGGGGGGAGTGGTTCGATAAAGACGTCAAGGCCTTCTGGCTCTTGCAGCTCTACCGAGGGGAGAACTGCTGCAAGAAACTGGCTATGCATCGCAAAAGGATCGGGTTGCGTAGTAATTGCAGACATGCATTACAAATCTTCTCCTTCACAATCTGAACCAGCAAAGCGAAAAAATTCATTTCTCCTTCTGAAAACATTCATGACTTGCAACCCTCTGATAGAATTGATAACCGGAAAACCTCCCTGAAGGCTTTCGAGGGGTGGCAGTGCGAGAATTTCGCAAACGGGCCGCGCGTGGACGCGTGGGCCACAAGGGGCCCGCCTTCCGTCTGGGGCAGTTTCTTTTTGAGAAACAACCCGCCAACATTCCGTCCAACAACAGGGCGCGAGGCCCGTGCTTTCTGACTTCCGACAAATTTTCATCGTTGAAAAGTGAGAAGCTACGGACTTCTCACTGTGTTTCCACTGGTCTTCTAGAAAAGGAGTGAAAAGTCAGCGACTTCTCGTTTCTGAAGCATTTTCTTTCTGGAAAAGTGAGAAATCAGTGATTTGTCACTTCTGAAAAGTTTTCATGTTGAAAAGCGAGAAGTCGCTCCGCTGACTTCTGAAAAGTTTTCATTTGGGAAAAGTGAGAAATCACTGATTTCTCACTCGGCTTCTCGAACAATCCGAGAAACGGAGTGGGAAAAATGTGACTTCTCACTTTGCAAGACTCTCACTCTGGTCGGAGTCGCGTTGACTCTTCCCAGAGTGAGAATTTTTCAAAAGTGAGAAATCAGTGATTTCTCACTACTTTTCTCGAAGGTACCCGAGCGCCAAATTTCTTCGGGGCCCGGGTACCTTCGAGAAAAGTAGTGAGAAATCACTGATTTCTCACTTTTGAAAAATTCTCACTCTGGAGTCGGACTCCAAAAAGGTTTCCAGCCGTCAAGATTTCGCGAGAGTGAGAAATCACTGATTTCTCACTTCTTTTCTCTAAGCCTTTCGGGATGTGTAGGCGACTTCTCACTCCGAGTGAAAAAGCCAGTGAGCTTTCACTTGGTTTTTTGAATGTCTTCAGGAGGCAGCGCGAAAGCTCGCTGCGTGCGAAAAGTTCATGGAATTTCACTCCCCCACTTCTCCAGCCTATTCGTAAAACGGAGCGAAAAGGAGCGGACTTTTTACTCCCTTCCTGAGGGGACCTCTGGGCGAGCCCGAAGTGCAAAGCCAGCGCGCTTTCGCTTTTGTTGTCAGCGCGCTCGCAAAGTCAGCCGGCTTTGATTGCCCCCCTAGGGGGATTTGTTTTGTGCCGTCGATCTTCGTGCTGCTGCAGAGGTTTGCGAAGCTTCAAAACAAAGAGCTACTAACTTACGCTAGCGCGCCAAACTGATCGACTTGGCGCGAATTCTGTTTCTCGAAGGCGTCCGGAGAAATTTTCCGGCGAAAAGGGGGGGGCTTTTGCAAGTCATGAAAACATTTGCATACTTTTTGCAATTTCCACGAATATGCGATACTTTTGCAATGCATATTGGCGAAGCTGTGTGGTCACGGGGACCCCAAAGAGAACGCGCGGAAGAGTTACGTCAGCTTGCGAAAGGGTATAGAGTTGGCTTGTCATCATGCGCGTTGTCATATGTCGATGTGTCGTGTCTACGCATGTAGTACAGCATGACAAAGTTGTTCCGACGTAGAAGAAAAACAACATGCAGGTAAATCCCGCACGGAGTCCGGCGTCTACTGCACTTCCTCCGCGATATCGAGGGGAAGAAAACAGCTTCGTTCATGTTCGTGAGCCTGTCTTGCAAAACCCGCATAAACAGAACCGTTTCTCATGCTAAAAGTGTCCTATTTCGTTTGCGCGAAGAACAAGAAGCCAGGGCGAAACGTTGTCATGCAAAACATTCACCATGAAGCTCAAGAAGCTGTTTCTTTTGCCCCCGTCGATACCCGGAATTCGTGAAGCAGTGTGCCGTGTTGCTGCTCCAGCTCGAGAGCGACCAAGACACCAAAAACGAGATCCTGCTGGATATCAAATGCGAAAACGTCTGGGTCTGGAAACTTGTGATGCTGGGTGGCGTATCGTAAGGAGGACACAAGTGCTGGCTCAGCATGACAAGTTTCTGAGCTTCTAGGTGTTGCCTATTCTGCATGACAAACTGCGTTTCCGCGTGACACAAAAATGGCGCTCTTGGGTAACGTGCATGACATATTTGAGAGTCATGCCAGACAAGCATGACAAACTCTTCCAGACCCAGACGTTTTTACATTTGAGACTGGAAAAGACCAACACAAATTTCCCGTTGCGCATGTTTGCCACGATTTCTGGAAACTTGACGAATTGGATATCGTGGGGAAAAATCCCCCCTGCCCATATCGAAAAGGGACGTCGCAGAAAATTTGCAATGCTGATTTGCGACCGCAAATCATCTCTGTCTTGCAAGAAGGCGACTCCACAGACAGCCGCCGCATTATGGCGGCGGTTTGTAGTGATGCTGTTCGGCACCTTCAGCGCAGACGTTTCTCATGCTCAGCGCCTAGGCCGCAACCTCTTTACTCAGGCTTGCTGTTGGCCTGCAGTCCGCTCCAGCAAGACCAATCTGATTGGTGTACGCAAATCCAGCGTCACAGACTTTGTTCCGATATGGGGAGGGGGGATGTTTCATTTTGATGCTGCAAGTCAAACTCGCGGTCCGTCGACGATCACGGCAGCGTCGCGTTGCAGAACTTTATTTCCGTTCTTGACGAAGCGGCCGACTCGAGCAAGGTGGAACTTTTCGCGAAAATTTCCGAGGACGGTATGACTTGCTCAAGCGTTACAATTTCAAACGTTACAATAGAATCTGGAATTTGTGTTGCATGATGAGCATGACAGACTCGCACAGCGTTCCACCTTTTGCAATACAAATTTCGCCAGATTGTAGTGGGGTTTGGGGCTCCGGAACTTGTCACGCGCAATCCTATGAAAGTTGGCTAGAGCATGCAGTCCTGCGTCACAGATTTTCATATTCTATTGTAACGTTTAAGATTGTAACACCTGAGCGGGTTATAGACGGGGCCTCCATCGTCGTGCTCATCCGTGGCAAAGACCTGCTGGCTATGCATTGCAAATATGTCTGGGTCTGGAAGGATCCAAACTTGTCATGCTGTCTTTGGATTCTAAAAAAATCAGTATTGCGTGACCAGAAAGAGGAGCCCAGAATGTGCTACGCGGAGAGGGCGTTTGTCATGCGGAACAGGCATCAGGAAGCCTTCCAAAAATCTGTGATGCTAGGTCCTGCATTCCAGATCTCATGGGGCATGGAAAATATGCATGACAAATCTGCACCACTTTTCCAGACCCAGACATTTTTGCATTTGATACTGGCCATGCAGGCGGTTGCGAAGAAGGTAAAGGGGTTTTCCAGCGAGACGACGGAGATCACGCGGTTCCCCGGTGAGAAGCTGGACCAAGACGATCTGTTTTTCGCGTGATCGTGGTTTAGTCTTCTGCTCATCTTCTCCCAGCACGGGTTTATCGCTTGGGAAAGCGAGGATGTCCTCGGCGAGGGCGAAGGGTGTACTAAAAATTTCATCGGTTGGTGCAAAAGTGATATTTTTTGAAGCGAATAGATACATGCTTGATAAAGATATTCTTCAACTTCAACCGTCTTTGTTGACACTGGATCTGCTGGAGGTGCAGGGCTATGCTAGACAGCAATGCCGCGTGTGAAAACTTAAATATCTTCGACTAGAACCGTTAGGAAATTATAAACCGTGCAGAACTTCTATCATTTCATTGCGCAACGAGGTGTAAGTAACTTTCTATTTCACCTCACTCAACCTTGCTTGACGCTTCTATTGTGGTCTTTGACAACATCTCTCGATTTCGATTCGATTTGAAATTTTTCTTGTTTTTTTTTGTGTAAAAGAAGGTCGTGGAAATTGATAAATTGATGTCACAGCACTGTGGGCCAGTGGTATGCTACCTCGCAGCTCGCAACAGCCACTGATAACGGTCTTTCGCTTTTTGACGAACTGAACTTGGCTATTGCTGACCCGGTCTTGTCGAAAACAGAAAAACACCAGAACACCTTATTTTCAATCGTCCGCCGTCCATGGACAGTGAGTTCAGCTTGTGAAGAAGAAAATTTGGCCTCTTCCTACAATCTATCTTTCGGTTCTAGTCGTAACTGGTCCTTGCTCGACGGTGGACTAGTTTTCGGTAGTCGTGCTTTTCCCTTCAAAAACACGCCCATCGGTAGTTCTGCTTCTTCTGCCATGTACTTTTCTCGTCGGTTACGTTCCGCGGAAGAAAACTTCGTTCGTTTCACCATGACCAGGAAGTTCGTGCAAAAACTACAACGTACAGCTGCACCACTGGAGAACGTGCCCTACTTCGTCGTCGGTTGGAGTTTGTCGTACTTTATTCTCGGAGTAAGTCAGTACTAGTTCCTCGTTCTTTTCGGTTCGTGCAAAGAAGGACAGGCACAGAGGCTCGCTCTTGCCTTCTTGCCACAGGTGCTTTTGGTAGTTTCTCGGTGCAGGTAGTCATGTTTTCGGTTTTGTTGATGTCCAAGCGTAATTACAGCCTTTGGTTTTCAGCTTGTGTTGACCAACATGCGTGGCGGTTTATTTAAAACTCTACCAACTAATTATCCTGCAACAGGAAAACTTCACCCCTTTCCCTGAGACAAAGTGGTTCATCAAGAATTTCGCGTTTTAAACTGTTTTCAACAAAAAATCAAGAAGAACAAAGTCCAGTTGACAAACAAATCTAAACCCGTTTTTTCAAACAAAATTAAGTATAGTATTCTTGCAGTAAAGGAGAAGGACTACTTGCTATACACCCAGAATTTGTCTGCTCGTCCCCTCGAGCGCAAGTGAACGCTATACACAACGAATACTTTTTAATTTAGTTCAAGTTCATTCTCTTTCGTATTTAAGTTTATCAATTTGTTTTCTTTTACTTTTGCACAGTTTTGACATATTTACGCAGCATTTCCATTTGTAATCTCTTCACTTACTTTCCCCATAAAAAAGAAAGAGCAGCCCCCCGCTCAGGTAATTTTCGAATCAACAAAAAAATCTCTCTCCAAAACTTACCGAAGAAATCTTTTACCAAACGATTTTCCAGAGCTTTCTACTGTGTACATTAAAAGAAAAAAATCACAAAAAAATAAAAAAAGAGGCGCCAAAGCAAGCAACTACCAAAAAACAAAAAAACAAAAAAAAATCGAAGTAAGTTTTTACAGACCTAATCTGCTGTGTGCATTAACAAAAAAGAAAAAAGCCACAAAAAAACAAAAAAAAGACGCCAAAGCAAACAACTACCAAAAAACAAAAAACAAAAAAAATCGAAGTAAGCTTTTACAGACCTATTAAATTTTGAAGCGGAAGAAGCATTTATTCATTTCAACCAAGCGAGCTTTAAACTTAAACACGACCAACACAAAGCAGGTTCAGAGCAAGCAAAAATCTTCAGTCCACAGTTGGAGCTACTTTTCACCTTCTAGTACGACCTAAACGAACAGCACGACCATGAAAACGCGCCCGAACAAACCGATACAGCTGGTGCTGCAGCTGCCAGCGCAGTTGCTTCTGCATTCCACAACTTCCGGGAGGTTGTTGGTGTTACCGACTTTCGCCGCTGCTGCAGAGGGAAATGAGCCTGCGTCGGTACTAGACACTCCGCTCGGTGGTCGTGATCATCATGCCGTCGGTGACAATTTCTTTTTTGGGAACGGCACCGCTATCAGCATGCTGCAGCAGTTATACTCTGCCGTCAAGACCACGGCTGTTATCACGTGGGACGATTTTTTCGGTCCCCCTTCATCTTCTCACTTCAACAGAAACGTAGATGTTTTTTTTTGCATGTTTCTGTTTCCAAAACAAGACGTTGGTTTCTGCTGCTTTAGTTTTTCTTGCTGCCTCCACAGGGCGTCGCTCGTCTAAGCGGACCGTCAATACAGCTGCATAGAGTAGTTGCAGATGTATATAACTTTTCTTTGCTTAGGACAATTGAAGAGAGAGAGACGTAGGGGGAACCGATTGCGCATCAGCATACCTTTGTCCTTCGGCCGGAATCTCCCGGAAGGCCACGACAGTTCCCACGAGCCGGCACGCGAATCGCCTTCGCCAACCTACGAGTTCAAGGAGGATTATCGGCCGCGGCTGCGAGGAAGCAAACGCAAGAAACAGATGCCCACTGATGATATGGAGCAGGGAGCCGGGTGGAAATTTTCAAATTGGAGGTTTTCGAGTCTAGTTCTGTGTGGCAAGTCAATTTGGATGCTTGATGCAGCTGGATATTGCTAGACTACAGAGAAAGCACACAAAGACGGTTTGCTAGGCCTTCGCTAATTGGCAATATCAGGCTTGGACTGGCCAAGGCGTGCTAGTTCCGCTTCTCTCTCGAAACTTGCTCGGAATTCCCAAGCTTTCTCGAAGAGCTTAACTAAACAGAACCCCTAGAAGAACTAGGCTGCAAGATGACGAACAGTTCGGTTTTGTGTTGCAGACAGTTGTAATTAACAGTTCTACAACAGATCTTTCCTACATCCACTTTGAGAACCTCCCCCCCTGACGCTTCCATAATTAAAGAGTTGTCTCGCGGGAGCATTTTGGACCAAGTTCAGCCCCCAGCGGAGACGAACAGTCGTGGCGCAACGGAAGGATCGGTGGATGAACACCAGCACAAATCTTCCGCGCTGGAAAAGGGGAACAAGGGAGACTCTTCTGCTGGGGCGGCACAGGAGAAGCAGGGCGAGCACCAGCCTGATTCGTCTGTCTTGCAGGAGAAGGAACAACAGCCGGTCGGGGAGCAACCGGTGACGAAGCCGGAAGAGAAGCCGGCGGGTGAAGAAACGGGGAGGGAGAAACCCGCTGACATGGGAAAGACCTATGACAAACCGAAAAAAGACTCTCTGACGGAGAACACCGGCACGAAGGAAAAGCAAGACGCAGCTGGCACGGTCTCTGGTACCGACGATATTTTCTTGTTGTCAATGAATTTTCAATCGCCAAGATGAATCGATATCGAATATGATGACGCGTGGCGCTGGAGTGGTTCTACAGGTCGACATGCGCAAGCATTGACAACCCTGGTCTAATGTGCATCAGGGCAGAATTTTGAATCTTCGAGTCGTTGTCGTGCGTCAGCATTGCTTGCTTGATTTACGTGGCAAATTTCCGGCAGCTCTTGATGGTTCTTTCAAACAAAATTTCTCTATTTCAGGTGCGGAGCAGAAGGAGGGCGCGGAGAAGGAGCAGCCTGTTTTTTCTGCTTTGCAAAAGAAGGAAAAGCCCTGCGAGGGCAGCGCACAGAAGGGCTGCAGGAAGACTGCACAGGACGAAGAGGAACACGAATTTGCGGCAGCGAGGAAGGATGAACATCGCAGTGCGACGAACACGCATGACAAACCGGACGGCGGGAACTTCCACGGGGACGGAGAGGAAGGGGCTGCTGTTGCCGGTGCGGAGCGGAAAGAAACCGGTGGTGTTGAAAACGTTGGCGATTATTTGCACGGCGGCAGTGCCGGTAAGGGTTTACTAACGCGCCTCGCCTATTGGCAAGAAAGTCAATATTATGTGTTTTCTGTGCGTAGTCAATTTTATCGTCGTGGGATCCTAGTACGTAGTAGGTAGTTGTTAGTAGTTCTGTACGTAGCTTCAATTCCAATTCGTGGAACGGAAAGGAATTCGTCGCGTCAGTGTTGACGCGTCACTGCTTCCAAAATTACCACGATATCAGGTGCTTGGGGCGAAGGATCTGGAGAAAAACTGGCGTCGGGGTTTGTCGAAAATGGGAACGGCGTGGATGCAGGGAGTTTGGATCCTCTTGCCTGGCTAAAAAACAAGCCAGAGACGAAATGGGAGTTTCGCAGAAAGGCTGGGCTTCACGCACTACTGCCTGACCCGCAGGTCGGAGCGAGTCAGGACACCGACGATGGAGCACAAACGAGAGAAGAAATAATATATGCGGAACGTAGTAAATTGCGGAGACAAGCTCACGCGTCTTCGATTAAGCCGCTGGCCGATATCCGGTCTCTCGAAGCATCTGCGGTAAAAGTTGAAGAGCAATTCAAGAAGAAAAAAAAGCTGCTCCGGGGCGAGAGGACGAAGGAGCGCGCGGTGTATTGGTTTCTCAAGTATTTAGCGATAGAAGCGAGGCAGCGAGAGTTGGGAGCAGCATCAGTTGGAGACGATACCTCAAGCGAAGACGGAGAACTGCCAGTTGTACGCGGAGTAACCCCACTCACAACCGTTGAACAGCTTCAACGCGTCGTCAAGGCAATGCTCGACATCTGCGATACCGAAATCCTTGTGAAAAAAGGTGCTAACGGAAAGTGGCAATCCAGCATGTTGGGCACAGTGGCAGTGGTAGCGCTCGGGCACCAGAACATCCTTAATTATTTTAAGCACACGTTCGATGCTGGTCTCGCTCCAGGTCAAATATTGAACGGCGCGAGCGGTCTGCAAGACTATCTTCTGCAACACGGCAGACAAGATCAAGAAGAGCGCCGACGGCAAAAGGCGGAAAGCTTGACGGCGAAGGAACAGGAAGGAATGACTGGTTTTATGGTTTATGAGACGGCAACTGCCGTAATTGCACGACTGCGAACAGGGCAGGACAGTGATTCTGGTGACGAGAATTTTTTAGAGCCGCGACACCTGAACCACCCAAACATGACTCGCGAAGAAAAACATCAGTACCAACAGGCAACCCCTCCACAGAGCGATTGAAAAAATACGCCTACGTCGTACTGGCGGCAAACCTCATGCGCGCCACCGGAAGTGCACTATTTGCCGTTTTTTGCGGTGTCTCATCATCAAAGGTGCGAACTACCACGGGTGGGGCGCGCCAAATAAAATCGAATCAAATTATCTCCGTGTCCAATATAGTGAACAAATTAAGGAAATAAAAGTAAAACGGAGCATCTCACTTCGTTTTGGTATACGTCGCATGGGCAGTTTGTGAAACGGGTTGTCTCCCACAGAGATAAAGATACAAGATAAAGAGCACCACCGAGTTTTGGCGTCATCAAAGCATCTATTTTTATCATCTTTATCTTGTTTTTTTATAGTCATGGATTGCGATTCGTGGTCATCGGGTTGCAAGCTGCGCTTTATATCTACGAATTCAGCGCTACTGAAAAAGACCTGAATGGATAGATTTGCGTGACCTGTACCTGACAAAAGCGAACTGCTCACTGACGAGAAAGGTGCTTTACTTCTCCACTTCATCATATTCCTCTTGCAATCATAAAACGAAAAGAAACGGCGCAGCATCGTACTATATCGCATTCAATATCGTGCTCCATTGGTTGATTTACTTATTTGTGAGTCATTTGTTTGTTTAGGATGGTGCCGATGCTTTGCGTCGGTGCCTGTAGCTCGTTAATGAAAGATTATTAAAGACACGTCCACGAAAATGTCGATTGCATTTGTTTTTGTACGCTGCGCATCCGAATCACGCGGATCGAGATCGCGGGAGCTCTTATTGGCGCAAACAAAGAAGTAAAGCCAAATTGGGCGAACGACGTAAAAACACGAATCAACAACCACATCGTGATTTCAATAGTACTGTTTCAGCGATGCGACGCATCGCTGAAAGAGGGTACAAAGTTGAAGTCGAGATTACATTGTTGAATTCGTGATTATGAAACTTTGCTGTCATTTATTAGTTTGATCACTGCAGAACTCATTCTCATCATGTCATGAGATAGAAACTCTGTGTTTAGTCACCCATCCTGTTGGTGGCTAGCTTGTTAGAATCTAATTCTTTGAATTGATTGAAGCCAAATTTCTTTTGTTGAGTTTTTCCTGAAACGGTTTCAGCTGCTTGTGAACATCTCGAAATGTGCATCGTCAGTAGCTTGTAGAGAAAATCGACACCAAGGAAACAAAAAGCGTCGAAATTTGTTTTAAAAGCAAACATTTACAGCTATGGCAATGCGTAAAAGCTGCTCTATGTATTGCGATGCGACGATACCAGCTGAGGCAATGATGTGTTCTACAATTTCCCCCTTTCTCATTGTTCGGATGGTGGTACTTATTGCAACAGGACAGTTGATCAGCGCGCTAGCATCTGTGATGATTGTTTTGCTTCGGCGGCGTGTGGTCAAATTTTGAAATGCCCCGTCTATCACTTTTATCCCCATGCACGAATTTTAGCATTCGTAGTCCGGGCGCGAGAAGATCCTCCTGTAAAACAGCCATGCGCAACCACAGCCAGCTGGAGAACATTCCGATCCTTTTACTTTTACATTTTGCAACCAATGCGGAGGACGCAATCGAATCCAGTAGCTTTTCTACCTGTAACAACAGGCTTTGCGACCATGTTTCGTCATCGTTCTTTTTATCACACGATGGATGGCTATTGTCGTCTCCAGGAAAGGTAGAGCAGGAGCTCGAATTGCAAATTTTTCGTTTTGGCTTCTGGAATGAACAACAAATTTTCACATGCGAAATGATGTGACGTAGGTCTCACAAAGCAGGTTGTATGTTGGTCAAGTTGTATCACCTGGATAGAAAAACTTCAGCTTCGCTGTACTACAAGTTCCGTTTACAACCGCAGGTGCTTGGTGCTGACGTGGCTTGATTCATCTGGAACAGCGAACTAGATTCATCAGCTGACGATTCTGTAGATCAATTTAACTAGTACAAGCACGCGGTAGATATTACACTTGCAAACGACCAGAAGCAAACAAATCAGCGCACCACGAGTCACAATCATGACGGCCGCCGCGAACGCGCACCTAGACGCGAGTCTAGAAGACCTGATCTCCAAATCGAAAAAGGGGAAAAGGGTGAAAAAAGCCAACGACAAGGACTACCACATTATCATGAGGAAAATGTTGATCACTAATTAAGCACAAGATTCTTCCCTATTTTGTCATGCGAGAATGCAACAAATAAATCTGTCATGCGAATGAGTCTTCAGCCATGGTTGCTCAGTTGGTACATTTTCAAAGGTAAAACAGCATCACAAGAACAGAAATTGAAATTCCTGAAGATCAGATCGTGTGCTAGTACTAGTCATTTTCCAACTTCATAGAGAGACCGGCGAACAACAAGCCCGGCGGCGGCGGAAATGCTGGCGACGATGGTGCCAAGAAGCAGAAGGCTTACTCTGCGGAAGAGAAAATGGACATGAGTCTGGACGCCGTTATGCAAGTGGAACGGGGCCGGCGGCGAATGCAGAACCGCGGCGGTTATCCAGTGTAAAAACGTTCCCACCCCAGATTTGTACATGCAAATGTGCAATGACAGGAACATTCGTAGTGCGCAGCTCCATGAGAGGCATTTCCAATCGTGTTTTGGAATTCGTAATGCTGTAAACAGGGTGAGAGAGTGGCTTTCTCATGCGGCTTCCCGTGCCAACCAGCACTACGCTGTAGAGGGAGAATTGTCATGCACAACTCCCAAAACTTGGAGACTTGTGTTGCTAGATTCCCAACTTGACTCTGGTGTGGGGACGTTTTTACACAGGATAGCGGCGGGCGGTACTTTTACCGCAACTACGGGCGTCGCGGGAACTACTACCGGGGCGGTAGTTCCAAGCGGAATTTCGGGTACAACTACTACCGTGGTGCCGGCTACCGCGGCGCCCGAGGCTCCTACTACTCCAAGCGCCGCCTCGCGAAGCAACTGCGGCGTGCCGAGGCGTACTTTCGCCGTTTATACAACGAATGGAGCTACAAGGGAAGCTATCGCAGGGAAAAGCGCCACTGTGGCTGTGGCGGCTCTTGTCCTGAACCTGATGTGGAGGAGTAGCATGACACGCCACGCATGACAGAAGGATGAACATGTAATGCGCCGTCCGCTTCTGAAGGCGAAAGCGAACAACAAATCAGAAGCAACACAGACTTCAATACCTAATTTCTGGTGCCACATTTCATTCATGTAGCGATCTGGTTGTCTCTCTTGCTTCTTGGTTTTTCGCAACAGAAGTTCAAGGTCACAGTGACAAAATGCATGTTTTTTCCTCCGATACACGCGGGCGCGGCAGTACGGAAGCGGAAACTATCGACTCCAAGATTCTACAGTGTTTGTCATGCGAGGTCGTCATGATTAAGTAAGCCTCCAGAGTCGGCATTAGCATAGTTACAGACTTGACAGGAAATGTCTCACTGACTTCGATTCTTATTTTTTGTCATGCCACGTAGGCTTAACCTTAAGCATTATGCAGAGGTAATTGCATTCAGCATGACAAACGAGCTGTCTACCTTTTTCTCCCTCATGCGCGAAGGCACGGGAAAGTACGGGTACCGGAATTATGGGTATTCGGTATCGGAAGGAAATATCTGTAATGCTGGAGCCACTTATCGTTTTCATGCTGTCATCATGAGTTTCCATCATTTATTTATCACCAGTGTCGTCTTAGCACGAGAAATTCTGCGTTCTACGAGGCATTCCACTAATGACAAATACTGGCTTCCAGCAGTTACCAAAGAAGATTTCCTTCTGATAACTTGAGTACGGTGCCGACAGCTATGGGGGCGGGGGACGGGTATTATTGTGTTGACCACGTCGACTCGGCATGACTAATTTGAGTAGACTAGGCATGACAAACTTACAATCATTATCAATCACAGGGCAATTCCTACTACGGCAAGGGCCGTGGCCGTTACGGGGACGACGAAGGGTCGGATGGCGAGTACGGCTCTTTCCGACCGGGCAGCGGGCCGTGGCAGGACTTCGTGACAAACGACGACAACCGTGGCGAGTTATGCAGTGTGAATACTTCCATCTGGTTCTTCTGGGTAAAACGCATGACAACAAACTCTCCTCCAGCACGACAGAAAAAACTCTTAACTCCTAATATCCGTGCTTTGCAGATCTTGTTGTCCTTCAAATTTCGCATCACAATGAAGCCAGAAGACCAGACCTATTTGCGATGCATACAACTATTTTGAGAACGATCGCGACTACTACAATTCGGGCTACTACAACCGGAACGGCTACAACCTATCGCAGGAAAAATTTTTTTTCACTGGAAGCTTGTGATGCATGTCATGCAAGAACACTGGATTAACACGCATTTCTTTTCTTTCGTTTGCTGGTGCAGTTGCATATTCAATCGGATCTTTTCCCGTGTCTTCATCGTCCCTTAGATTTAGAAAGCATGCATGGCAGCTCGTGCACAGCAAACCTATGACAGATGCAAACCTTGCAAAATCGTTCGTGTGAACAAGAACTTTTTTCTTACGATACCACCGCCGGAGCAACTATTACGGGCGTCGCGGGGGGCACAACTACCGCAACAACCGATACAACGACTCAGACGATGAATCTCCGTACAACCGGGGAAACAAGTTCGCCAATTTCAGCGTGGGCGGCGGCAAGTACAACAACCGCCGAAGCACCCGGGAACTGGAAAAGGACTTTCTGAAGGACCACTACGCGAAGAATGAAAACAACGTCGGATCCAACACCGGGAGTAACGGGCGCACGACGGAATTGCCCCCCTCGGTGGCGAAGTTCAAAGGCAGTGGCCGGCTGGTGCAGATCACCAATTTATCCGGAGAAAGAAGATGTTGAAATAAAACTGTTTCAGTCACTCTCAAACAAGTTGCAGCGTCAGCCACGAGCTGCGGAAAGACCACAGATGAAGAAGAGATCTGTGATGCGCCAGACGCAAGAGAGCACGCGAATAGAAAGCTCGTGTTTTTCCACCTGTCGCGCATGACAAAAGACTGCATCAAGAAGAATCTTCTACTGCATGTATACAAGGTGAGACTGGGACAGTTTTTCTGTTTTCTCGCGATACACCTGCCCGGGTAATTTGGCGAAGAAGGAGCTCAAGGAGGCATTCGAGGACATCGGCACCATCAACGTAGTGGACATGAACAAACCGGCCTGCATTGCCTGGTTGGTGTTCGAAGAGTCCAAGGATGCGTATGAAGCGGAGCACCAGTTCGATGGCGGCGAAATCAACGGATCGACGATCAAGATTGAGATCATGTAGAGGTGGTAAGTAGCTAGTTGAAGAAGAAACGCTTGAACACGATGAACTGCCACCGCTAGTAGAGAGAAGTAGGACATCGACATCAAAGGACTAGTAGATTTTTTTTTAAAGCTTTTCCACGAGGCAAAAATGCTGCGGTTATTACAACTGAAGCAATTTATTGACCATCACCGCTTCATCTTGAAGCAGAACTTTCAACAGCGACTACTTAACGATGTAGATGTACTAGCAGACCGGTAGAACAAAGGGTATCGTACCGACTTCAGAAACTGAGTACTTTTTTTGCGAATCAATTATGAGACAACGGACAACGAATACGGAACAATATCCATTTTTTGACAAACAACACTTTATGTATACATTCAAATTTCTTGCGGCGGGGGGCCAAGAATTTTTTTCACAGGACGACGGGCGAGGGAGTCAACTAACACCTCCGATCGATGATTGGTGTCATGCGAACTTTCTGCAGGGCTGAAGTAAGATTTATACTCAACTGCTAAAATGAGGACCAGATGACTTCGGGTCAACATCTGTTGATCTACCCGATGTATGAACGAAGTTGCACCACTAAGAACTGTCATAGCCAAGAACCAGATGGCTACCTAAGTAGCAGCTCAATGAAGAGCCCACGGCTCGAGCGCGACAGCGATACAGCGACAGCTGCAAGTACTCAAATTTGGAAAGTACAGTATCAATTTCCAAAAACTTTTCATCAGCGACAATCGAAAACTACTACGACTTTTTCGTGACCGGTTTTGCCATGAGAAAGCCAAAAAATGAAAAAAGCAAAAAAAAAAAATTCTTTGGGAAAGGCCAAGGGCACGACTTGAGCGTTCGCTGCTCTTTAGCCTTTCGATTGCGGAGCAAGTGAGTTATGCAAGAAAGTCGTGGTCGGACTTGTAGCTCTGCTTGTTCCTGTGCACAATCTTAGTTAGCAGCGCTGTGTTCCTGTACACAATCGTAGTTGCAATCCTTCCAGATGTTCTTGTGTGAATAGACCTCGTCTCAAAAAAATCACATCCGTGAGAGACGTGGAAGATGATGACAAAACTGCCACAAGATATCAAAAATTTTTTCCAACACGAACTTGTGCCGCTAGTACATTTTGACTAAAGAAAATCTTTGTTGAAAGAGGATATAATCGAGGGGTAGTGCCAGATAAAAAATGCTGAGAGATGTAGTTGATAGAAGAGCGATTCTTACAGAGGGACGAGGGACCGAGCGCGTCGAGAGTGAAACTGTGGTGACTACTCAAGTATGATTATCGAACTCAGTATGTCGTTGCACCCAGAATTAGACGTTTCAGCGTAGTTGTATTTGGAGAAGTCATGTGGGACGATGCCGTAGTTGCGTAGAAGAAGCTTTTGCAATATCCGTCTGGGTCGTGGTGTCGTCGAGAGATATTTTTACATACTTTAGGTACTGTTTTATTGCATCACTAGCCTCGATTGTCATGCCATCATCCATTTGTGATTGTTTCGTCCGTCATCATCATCTTTTGACGGTTTCCAATTCTTGACAGCCATTCGTCTTGCACGGTAAGGAATTCAAACTGAAAACCCCCCGGTATAATTACCCTCGAAAATGAACCTACCAACCCAAATTTAGCGATTTTTTTGCCCGGTTGTTGCTAGAAACAGAAGAACCGAGTGCTTCTTCAAGACGAGGGGCACCAGTAGCAAGCTGCCCCTGCTTTAGTGGTTTCTCACAAATACAGAACTACTCTTCACCTATTAGAGCTCCTCCTTACTACACTATCAAATTTTGAATTCGTTTGCACTTTTGAACTTTTATTTCCCATCATCGAGGTAGTTCGGAATCGGATCCCCCCTGAAGTTTTGCCAGAAGAAGTAGCAAACGGTCTTCACAACTTGCCAGGACAGTTCTTCGCTTCTTCTCTCCCGACTCGACACACCGCCGGCCAAGGATAAATAACGTCTCCTCCCGAAAGCTTTAGCGTCGATCAGCATGGTGGTGCTTTCTGCATTTTGTCGCGCGGAAACGCCGCAGCTACTACTGGCGCTGGAGTACAACGACGCGCGGGCTAACATTTGTTGAAGAACAAGGTGCTGCGGGAGACCAACGCACTAGCGCGAAGAAGATCATGTTCGTGCAAACACCACCAACTCCGAGTTCCCCGTCGCGGGGGCCGAAGGTGAGTAGACATGTTAACAGCAACCGCGGCGCAGGCAGTTATGCTGCGGGGAGTAGTAGTTGCAGCACTTCCACCGCTGGAACAGGAAAAAGCTCCTCAACAGTCGGACGGGGACCACACAACTCCTGGCAGGCTGTACTAGGTAGTAAAGTCACGCGAAGTAGTGCGACGCGTAATTGTGGACCGTCCGGATCAGAAATACTACTTGCCAGTCGGAACAAAATTATATCGAGCTCTTCAACGTCGGCATCTAAAACCTCAAAAGCGGAGCAGCAGCTTCAGAAGTTCTTTTCTGGCAATTATCTGGACACCAGCAGGAGCCCAACGACGGCTAGCGGCAGGGAAATGTTAAACCGGCACGAAACTGTAGTAGAAGAGCAAGTGTGGAAAACAAAGCGGAAGAGAAAAAGAAAACGGCTGAGAAGTTCCAGCACCACCGGAGAGCACCGGAAACAGGTGCTGTCTTCAAGGATAGAAGAAACGGAGGAAGCAGACGAGGTGGCTTGTAGTGGAGCAGCAGGTCCGGGAACAAGAGAAACGATACCACAAAGTTGCCCTGAAATAGTTTCTACAATAAAACCCTCCGGATCTTCCTCATCACCTGTAGATGCAACCGTCGATAATTTGTTCACAGCACCGACATTCACCCAGCATCGCGAAGACGCAGAGAGAAATCTTTCGCCTGAGCATGTAGAACAAGATGGTGTCGAAGGACTTCTTGTGCGAGAAGATGAAAAATTTGTTCCTGCTGCCAGTGGTTCTTGTAGTAAAAAGCGTTGTGGTTTTCCTTCTGCCACTGGTCGTGCTACTTCCTCCACATCTTCCGCATCGACGACGTCGAGCCCTAGTTCTTCCACATCCACCTCGCTCCGCCATGGCAGCAGAACAAAATACCCGAAGACAGAAAACAAGAGAACGACCTCCAGCAGGACCTGCAAAGGACTTTTAGCTCATCAAGGTGTGATAACAGCGTCGAAGAACAAGGCAGCATCACCAGGCCGCGGGAGCAGCAACACCACAGCGCCCGAAAGCGACACCAGCACGGGGAAAATACAAAGAAACGAGCCCGGGAGTTGTGCGGATGAGGATTCACAGTCAGCAACACAAGGTGTTTCCGGTAAGGACAACAAACCTCTTCGCTGCCTGAAGCGAATACGGCACCGGCGCACGAAGCAAATGTGGTGGCTTTTTCTCCTCACGCAGCCCTTTCGCACGGGCACTTTAGCAAACGAGTCGCCGACCATAGCGAACCTCCGCGGCGGCACGGGCACAGCGTCAAGTTCTTCCTCGGGTGCCAGTCGGGTGAGTAGTGGTGGTACTGGATCAGAAACAGCAAGTTCCGCAGCTTCTGCTTCGCTCGACGGGGCGGAAGACGGGATAGAACCGGGAACCGAGGACGAAAATCAATCGAAATACTCCGCCTCTAATTTCGAGAACATACACCCTCTGGTCCCAAAACAGCACCGGAACCGGTACAGTAAGAGACAAGGAGGCAGAACGTCCGCCACTACCGGCGGCGAACTAGTGGACGACTTCGGGAACACGGGCGAATTTCCACCGGGAGCAGGAGACCAGCTGCAGCCGCAAGGGTTTTCGCGGAAGTTCGACTGGTTGAGAAGACGGTTAGTCGTCGTCCCCTCGGGCGGGATCTACTGGACGGGCAACGCGGGGATCGCCCGCGATTCTATGTCGCTCTACACCTATCCGACGTCCGCCAGGTTTGCGGAGCTAGATACCACGGCTTCGGTCACCGCGGGTGATTTCACGACCACCAAGCACGTGCGGGAATCCGCGGAGGAATACAAGGCTCTGCAACTGCGGTTCTCCAAGGCCTCCGCGCACACGTGGCTGTCCGGGCTGCAGAACTCGTTGCGGACGCGTTTTGTCGGAAACACGGTGACGAAAACGACCGCAGAGGGGAGCAACCACTGCCAGGACAACCAGGCAACCGTCCCCGGGTGCTCGGTGATTAGCAACGCGTGGTGCCAGAACGGGGGAAAGGCGCTGCCCGCGACGAACGCCTTTTCCACTGGTGGAGCTATCAAATGCAAAAATGTCTGGGTCTGGAAGATTCTGAGATTTATTGTCATGCATATTTTGCATGACCCAGGATGTCTGTTTCTGTAATGCACGACCTAGCATCACAGATTCTTCGAGGGCTTCCTGATGCCTACTCCGCATGACAAATGCCCTCCCCGCGTAGCAGAGACGAGACCTCTCTTGCTGGTCATGCAATACAGATTTTTTTCGAGTCCAAAGTTAGCATCACAAGTTCCAACCTTCCAGACCCAGACATCTTTACATTTGATAGGAGCGGACAACGAACAGAACGGGTGGCTGCAGTACGGCACACCCACGTCCGATTCGACCGCGCTGAAATTTCTGATGGGCGGGTTTTTCCGCATTTGCGTGTCCGGCGACGGGTCGTTTACCACCGGGAACGTGGACGTGTGGCCGGTGGAGGCGGAAATCTACGGCGTGTACGACCACAACTACGCCGCTGGCACCGTGGACTACTTCGGAACCACGAAAAAGTACTACTGCTACCTGCTAAGGAACCAGCACAACAACCCGACCAACACCTACACCTACCAGTCCACGCACTGCGTGGTCGCGTTCGACGGGGCGAACCAGGGCTGGGTGGGCATCGGCGAAACGCAGTACAAGGGCAGTTGGGGCCCGTCCTTTGACACGGCCACGCCGACAGCAGCGCAGTTGTGCGGCCAGTCGACCTACGCCACGCAGATCTGCATGAACGGCGGGGCGGGCGGGGACTGCAACACGCCCGTGGAATCCGGGGCGGCCAACCGACTGAAACTCGCGGTGCAGCAAAGGGGGACGGGAAGGTTCCACCTGCCGTCCACGAAGAACACGCTGACCGGAGGCGCGACGGACGGGTCCGGCTTTGTCCCCTTTTCTACCGCGGCTTGTTGGTGTCCCGCAGCGAGTTGCTTAGCTTCCTCGCCGTTGCAGTACTCGCAGATGCTGGGGACGGTGCACTTCTACACCGCGAAAACCTGTCGCTCGGACGACAAGACCTGCGGCACAGACTACACAGGGACCATTCCGCAGAAACATTTCAAAATCCGCATCAACTGCCCGGAGGGGGCGTGCGCGAACGCGAAAAACAATCGATTCAAAATCATCGCGCGCAGCCCGACAGCGGCCTACGACTACCCGAAGTTCGACAGCCGGAACATTTGCCGCACGAAAATGCACGGGAGGAATTTCGCGGGAAGGGAGATCATGGCCACCACACCGCTCCCCGTCGGAGTTGTGCTCCCCACCGGGAACACCGGTATCTGTTCTGGTGTGATCGAATGCAACATGAACGGCACGGTGGAGGTATCAAAATGAAAAATCCCCATTCCCCAGTTCGAAAGGGAAGTCTGTGATGCTGTATTTGCGTACACAAATCAGCTTTGTCTTGCAGCAGAGCACTGTAGGCAGATACAAAGCCCGGAAAGGGGTAGCTTGAGTTAGGTACTTAGCATGGCAGACGTCTGCCCCATTGGCGCAGCAGCACTACAAAGCGCCTGCGAAACGCGGCGGAGTCTCTGGCTTTGCTCTCTTGCAAGACAGACTCGATCTGTGGCCACCAATCAGCATCACAAATTTTCAAAAGCACGCCTGTTCGATATGGGGAGGGGGGATTTTTCCTCACAATAGGAGGGTGCGCCACACACCATGAAGGAGTTCCCGCCCTACACGCAAACCGACCCGCTTATGGAACTGTCAGGATTGAAATTGACGAGGTTGAAAAATTTGTGATGCATAAAACCGATACCAGTTGGAGGCCCAATTTCCAAGCGTCGCATGACAAATTTCGACGTCATCGAAATCCAGTTTGTCATGCTGTTTAGCGAAAGAAGGCATCCTTTGTCACGCCACTTTACCAGCTCTAACTATCACAAACCCGAAACAGGCTCACAAGAATCGGTCTCACTTGCCATCCCTGCAAGAGAGGCACTTCATGCCTTGCGTTTTATGCATCACAGATTATTTCAACTTTGTCGATTTCGAACCTGACACACCCATATCGCTGTCCACCATCGCATATACCACGGGCTTCAAGTTCGACGCCGCGGAACACGACTACGAGAGGGTGAATTTCCACAACTCCGTCGGGTTAGACATCTGCTACTGCGACGGGCTGTGCACGCAGGACGCGGGCGCGAACTGGTTCAAAGTGGGGCAGATTCGGTTCACGGGGGTGCGGTTGTTGTCGTCCGTTAGTCCGACCGCGAGCAACGCAAACTTGTTGTCCCTCCAATACGTGTTAGAGCCTGGGCAGATTGTGTTCCGAAGGGACGCGGCCGACAACGAGGTGATGGGGTTGGCGGAGAACGGGGTCGTGAAGATCATCGAGCAGATATCGTATTGAAAAACGTCCCCACAGCATAGTTGTAATGCAAATCTGCATGCTGCAAATGTTTCTCATGCGGATCCCCATGAGGAACATTTTCTAGTAGTCGTGTTTTGGAATTTGCCATGCTCCAATCAGCATGATATGTTAGATCTGTGATGCTTCTGAGGTAGCTCAAACAGCACTACACTACGAGTCTAAAAAATTTGTCATGCAGGACAGCCAAAACTTGTAGATTTGTCTAGCAGATTTCCCATCTTGAACACTCCGGTGTGCGGACATTTTTACTGAGGATAGCAGACCGGCGCGCACGGGTCCGATGCGCAGTGCCAGACGAACAACAACGAGCATTTGGCGAACCTAGTCGAGCCGGTCGGCGGTCTCTCCGCCGCCAGCGCCTACACAAATTACCGGGGCAAGGGCGTGAACAGCGATCGGTTGGCGTTCAACGCGGGGAATTCGGCGAACAAAATCACGATCAAGAAGGCCGGGGTGATCGGGATCTGCTACTGCCAGTTCGCGGATGCGAACAGCAACGGGTGCATGCACAAGGACTACTGGATCCTGGCCGCGCGGATGACCATCAAGGGGCCGACCGCCGGGCACAATTGGAGTTTCTCGACGCAAGTGGTCTTCAAATTGGAGTATTTTGGCTTCGGGTTATCGAGCGATAACAAATTAAGGATAATCTCCGGCGACGGCAAGTGCAGCGACAACAACCGAAATCCAGATAAGGGCTCCTACCCCTTCACCTATTTGCAGGTCGATGCGCCCGAATTCGCGACAAATGTTGGGTCGATCACAGACACGGTTAATGGCGATCTGAAAACCTTGATCACAACCTCTTCCACCTTCAACTGCGACGACAAGTTCGAAAATTGCAAGCGAAACGACATACGGTCGGTCACTGCGATTTCCGATACCGAAACGGAGGTGGAGTTTGAGCTCGACCCGGAATTCGCGCAAGACGGGTCGGACGTGATTACCCTAGGGGATAACATCATCTGCCATCCGAATTCGTACCAATGCAGTAATGAGAAGCTGATGGAATTGAAGGGCGTGTTCACTTACAGTGACGCCGGGGCCAACAACGCGGCCGCGACCGACAGTTACATGGTGGGGCACAAAATCAAACCGACCACGGACCCGCTGAAGTGGCGTATACAGTACGGGTGGAAGGCGGATTGCTACTCCACAGGAAATCCCCCGCCGCCCAACGCGTGTGCCGCGGGAGAGAACGGGCGGCCGTTGTTCCAGGTGCAATTCGCGTCCATCACGGCGGGTTCGAGCCCCGTATACGGGCAGTGGGCCCGGCGAAATCGGGCGATGACCAAGTGGGAAATCAAGGGAGTCCGGGACCGAACGAATTTGCGGGTGTGCTTTCACTACGGAGGGACCGACCCGAATCGGTTTGTAGAAGAGGTACTGGCCGCAGGTTGTAGAAGTTATGTAAGTACTATGAACATTGGGGTCGTTCGTTTTCTTGAAGCTGTTTTGTTGTCATGCGAAACAGAGCATGGTGGGTACAATTTCTCATGCTGGCAAACGAATCATGGTTCTTTGACTTTATCGAACTTTTCATCAACCACCCTTTATCAGGTCGGTTTCCTTACCCTGGTCGGCGCCAACCCGATGCAAGACGTGCGGCTGTCCCTCACGTCCACCCTGCTCGACGCCAAAGCTCCGGTGGTGATTTCCTTTAAGACCGCTTCTGCGACCACCGGCGCGCGGTACAGTCAGGTCGTGGGCGAGACGCAGCTGAAATTTGTGTTGCAAGACACCAGCACGTTCGAGATCTATTACAGCGACGACATCGCCTCGAGTATCGAGGCAAATGTATCGCAAGAAGAAAGTGTTACAGTTACACATTGTGTTGCAGGCCAAGCAAGACAGACAAGCTCTGTCATGCCGGGTATGCACAGGAGCCTCGTTTCCTAGGTGTTTTCCCGTAGGATTTCTGCATTACAAGTTTTCTCTCTCATGCAGAGAAATTTGTGTTGCTGAATTCACTACAAATGTGTAACTGTAACACTTTTTTCGTGGGATAAAATGCGTCCGAGGACGACTACGAGGAGGCGAGGCAGTACATCTGCGGGCGATTATTCCGGGAGATGTGGAGCGACGACCTGGACTACGGGTTCCCGCTGCCCAAGGGGTGCTACTACAAGAAATACGGGTTCACGCGGGAGATTTTCGTCGTTTTTGAAGCAAAGAACGGTTTGCGACCCGGATACAACTACCAGGTGGTGATGCATGGATCCGTTCACGGCGCTGCCACCGCGGGAGGGAAATATCTGGAGGTGTTCACGATGGACGACCGGGGGATTAACCCGTACTTGGCTATCGAGCGGGGAGAGGCTGCTTTGTCGAAGACGCCGGAGCGAATTTCCACTTCCGTCACCAGTCCGCGGTGGCTCAACCCGGGCGGGGTGCGGATTCTCGAGGACTACCCGGGACAGTCGAAGGACAACGTTGTCACGTTGGTGTCCGGTGACGCACTGCGAATGGAACTGGCGGGCGACCCGACTTACCAGATCAAGCAGGGCGCGATTATCCGGCTGTATCTCCAACCTCTAACGACCTGGAACATCGGCTCCACCTGTCTCGCCACCGCCATCCCCTACGACGCGGTGGCGCACCAGGGAGGCCCGGCGCAGAACTGCCAGGGCGTGCCGACGGTTCTGAACAGCTACAACAACGTCGTGAAGATCACCATGCCGGCGATCATGACCACGATTCAGGGGTCGGTGAAGATGCAGTTGCGGGTGCAGCACCTGACCATGCCGAAGAACGGGTTTTTCTCCACGAGATTAGGCGCTCAGGTCACGGACGAGTTGGATACGAGGCCGTCGTACATTCTCTCCGGAAACAACAACTACCTGTACAAGGAGCCGGACGCGGGCACCACCATCGCGAAGATCGTGACCAGCTTCGGCGACGGGAATTCCCGCCCGTTTAAGGCGCAAACCTCGAACATCCTCTACGTGCGGCTGCAGTTTGCGGCGACCTTGTTCGCCGCCAATTTGAACCAGGACGCCGGGTTCGATGTGCGACTCCCCCCGGGGTATAACTGCACCATTCCGGACCAAATGGGCATTCTCGCGACCGCGTACAACCCCTGGGCGGCGGAGTCGACGTTAAATCTCTATGCGCACACCGCGCCGCAGGGCCGGGGCGCGCCGACCACCAGTGAGTACGTGGCGGGCGTCACCTCGCACGGCTGGAGCGTGTTCGCGAGCGACCCGCGGTTGTGTCGGTTTCGGTTGAGGCAGTACGGCTTAATTCCCTCCGGGTCCGCGATCATTGTGAAATTCACGGTGAATAACCCCGCGACGGCCCTCGCGCAGGACAACAAACTGAACGAGTGGACGGTGTCGCAAATGTCCAAAGGGTATTTCAGCCTGCCCATGACAACGAGTCCGGTCATCTTCAAAGCGACCATTGAGGCAAATTACAGCAGCAACGTCGCGGTTTTGGGGTATTTGAGAGACACCATCCTCCACCCGTCGGACTTTATGGGCGCGCAGTTGTCGAACCGGGTGGTGCGGCCGCAGTTATTCGTGTTTCTGAAAACAGAATCCCCGGTCGGGCTGGAGGGCATGATCGTGTTGCAAGCGCCGATGGATAACGTGGTCAACGTATTCTGTGGAAAAACGTCCTCACCCCATAGCCAAGTTGGTAAATCTGCAACACAAATCTCCAAGTTTTGGGAGTTTTGCATGACAATTTTCCATCTGCAGCGTCGTGCTGTTTAGCAAGGGCAGTCGCATGAGAAAGCCAGCCTCTCATCCTGTTAATACAGCATTACAAAGTCCCACACACGATGATTGGAAATGCCTTTCATGCAGATCCGCATTACAAATGTTCCTGTCATTGCACATTTGCATGACATTAACTCTGGGGTGGGGACGTTTTTACACAGGATACAACGAAATGCAGTCGATTCGGTTCCAATACGACTACCCGAACTGCCACGCCAGCGATCTATCACGAGAAAAAAGTGTTACAGTTACACATTGTGTTGCAGGCCCAGCATGACAGACAACCTCTGTCATGCCAGAAAGGCTTTTGGGCCTCGTGTCAACATACCTGTTTTCCCTTATGATCTGTGCGTTGCAAGTTTTCTCTCTCATGCGGAGAAAATTTGTGTTGCTGAATTAAGAGCAAATGTGTAACTGTAACACTTTTTTCGTGGGATACGATCTGCCGATGGAGTACTACGCCTTTCGACCGGGGGAATTGACCCACCGTTTACCAAACGGGGTGAAGCAGTGCATCTACGAGCGAACCCCCAGGAACCGGGCGAAGGTGCAGGTGAGCGGGATCATCGACGCAAATAAGAAGTTCGGGTTCGCCTTGCGTATCAAATGCAAAAATGTCTGGGTCTGGAAGATTGCGAGATTTGTCATGCTTGTCTGGCATGACCAAAAAGTTTGTGATGCGTGTCCAAGAAGAGACCCTTTTGCCTGTCATGCAAAAACACAGCTTGTCATGCGAAAAACGCAACACAAAGAAGCGCAGATATTTCCCATGCTTGGCTGTGCATTACAGGGCATTCATTATTCCCAACGCAGCATTACAAGTTTCCAGACCCAGACATTTTTGCAATCCATATTGCGGTCGATCAACCCGTACGTCTTCGACGTGACACAGTTGGTCAACTGGAAGATGTATCAAATGCAAACATGTCTGGGTCTGGAAGGATGAAAGGTTTGTCGTGCACATTTTGCATGACTCCTGACGTCTGTGATGCATGCCCTAGCATCACAGATTTTGTGAGGTCTCCCTGATGCCTAAACCGCATGAGAAATGCCCTTTCGCCGTGGCAAAAACTTGACCTGTTTTACTGTTCATGCAATACAGATGTTCGTAGTGTCCAAATGCAGCATCACAAGTTACATCCTTTCGGACCCAGACATATTTGCAATGCATAAGATGTTTACGCAGGATTCGCAATCCCGGGACGTCGACGGCAGTTTCGACGGGGTCTTCGATTCGGGGCAGGGCACCATCGCGCTAACGGAGGGCATTGGAACGACGAACTACACGGATTTGAGCGGCAGATCTTTTGGTCTGTACAACTACGATTTAAACACGCCGCAGGAAATTCGGTGCGACCTATGCATTGCAAAAGTATCGTATTAGTACAAACTGCACTACAAATTTTATCAGAAAGAAAAATGGAATTTGTAATGCTAAAAATTCAGGTATTAAAATAAAAGGTAGGTTTGTCATGCAAAATTGCAATTAGTACGAGTGCGATACTTTTGTACAGGATACGACCTGTCGATCAATGACATGCGACCATTCGCCCTGTCCAACGTGTACTCGGATCTGACGTTTTTCGTGCGAAACTTGCCCATGACTCTGACCAACGTGAAACTCCGGATTATCGCGCCCTTTGGCTACCTATGCATTGCAAATGTGTCTGAATCTGGAAGAATGCAATCTTGGGATGCGCATTTCACAACACGGAAAAATTTCTCATGCATAGGCAGCCAAAGCTGCCCACTTTCTGTCGCCAAAATCGAGCGGCATTTGTCATGCGGATTCGGCATTGCGGAAGCTTCTCGGATAAATCTGTGATGCTAGAACTTCCATGCCAGACCTTCTGTGTCATGCAGAAGCAGCATGAGTCTTCCAGACCCAGACATATTTGCATTCAATACTACGAGTGGAAGCCGGGAACTAAGTGGGCCTACCGGAATTCCGGGCCGTCCGCAACGCTTTACAGCACCAGTGCGTCCGCCGACTTTCCGCACACCAACGCGCCGACCGTGGGGCCGTTACACGTGTTGAATTTCGCGAACCCAACGACCTACGACTTCTCCACCGCTAACAAACATTACGGCTTCAAAGTGCCGGTACAAGTGCCGAATTACGCACCGCACGGGTCCATGGCAAATTTCACGGTCGAATTTGGTTACGATGGCACCACCCTCGCCACCAGGCCGTTTGGCGGGGTCATTCCGGCCCCGAAAATTAGGGCGTTGACGTCTGCGTCGGTGGGGTACAGTACCAACGTCGCGAACCGGGAGAACAGGTTATCGTTCACGATCGGGACGGTCACGCAACTACCGCAAAACGGGGGGCTCGTGTTGATCTCTCCAACGGGGTATTTGTACGAAAAGGCGAACTGCGGGCTGGAAAACCTTCGGCCGTTACCGGAGGGGACGGTGGACCTTCCGGCGGGGACGACGTGCTCCGTATGGTCGCCGCCGAGAGAACTGCTGGAAGAAGATGATTCGGTCGACGGAGCTGTTCCGACGAGATTGCTGACAACCGCGACTCGACCCGAACTGCGGATCACTTCGGCCCAGGGGGTGCTCTATGAAATGCAAAAGCATCGCACTAGTAGAAATCGCATGACAAATTCCCTCAGCATGAAAAATGAAATTTGTAATGCGGATTGAGGTTAAGAAGGAGATTTGTAATGCATGATTGGGATTCCTACGAGTACTTTAACTTTTGCACAGGATATGCTACCGCCGGCGACGTATGGGTTTGTGCTCATCGCAAAGAACCCAACGCTGGCGGTCTCGCAGGCGGCAAGCGTGTCGAGCAGTTGCGGATATACCATGTGCTGGGATTTCAGTACGGCGTCCGACACAACGGTATTTTTGTGGTGTTTTGCTTTGCAAAGTGCATGACGAATCTAGTTTCTGTTGCTGTCTCTGCTTCACAGAAAACTGTACAAGACAAAGCCACGCAATAAAAAAACACACATGATCCTACAGGTTGCCACCTCGCTCGCGTCCGCCGCGTCTTCGTATCAAATGTAAAAGTGTCTGGGTCTGGAAGAATGCATGTTTGTCATGCTTGTCTGGCATGACTCTTAAATCTGTCATGCACATTACCCAAGAGACAAATTTATCTGTCATGCAGAAACGCAGTTTGTCATGCAGAATAGGCAACACCTAAAAGCTCAGAAATTTGTCATGCTGAGCCAGCATTTGTGGCCTCCTCATGCTACGCCATTCAGCATCACAAGTTTCCAGACCCAGACATTTTTACATTTGATACTTCGCAAGATAGACCGATCGCGGCCACTAGTTTTCCGGTGAATGAGAGAATGATGGAGGCGAGGCTGCTGCTTCTCGATCAACCTAGTGACGAGCCGGTGCGGCTCGCGACCGGGCGCGACGACCGGCCTCTGCGACCGAACAGTTTGATTTTCTCTTTCAAACTCAATAAGGACGCGAAGCCGCAGACCAACCCCGTGGTCTCTACCTACGACATGAGCATTCGCGCCCCCGAGGGGTTTTTGTTCTACGAGGACTGTTTGTCAGTCTTGGAGGTCCGGCCCACAACGGTGTTCGGCGGCCAGCCCATGCCGGCGGACTACACCGTGTGGTCGACCGATATCGAGATCACCTACTGTCTATGACCTGCAAAACTGTCTGCGTCTGGAAACTTGTGATGCTGGGTGGCGATGATTGAGCATACCCCTGAAAGGGTCGACCAAGCATGACAAATGTTTCGGACACTTTCTCATGCGTAGTGCGCATGAGAAGCTGCGCTTTTGCATGACAAAAGAAGGCTCCTTTATTTCCTGGTCACGCAATACAGATTTTACACGAAAAATCTAAGACACGCAACACAGGTTCCTTTCTTCCAGACCCAGACAAATTTGCAATCCATACTGTCGGGGCTCCAAAAACACCGCGGTGTTTACCGTCCAGCCAAAGGACAAGGTGTATCTGGAAGCGGCCCGGCTGTACGCGTTCCGCATCGGGATAAAGTCGAACCCGGAGTTCACTCCAGCCGAGAACAACTACGCTTTGGAATTCAACGGCGAGTCTTCGGTAAACGAGCTGATGCCGGGTTTTGTGCTCTGGACGTTCACAGAGACGAACGTGGAAACGAGGTACTACTACGAGGATGTTTGTTATGCTGGTGTGTAGATTGACAGTTTGTTCGCCCTTTGTTTTTTCTTGCACAATTGCATGAACATTGTTGGTTCACATTCATGCTTAAAGTAGCATGACAAGTTCGAGACGCGATGTGAAGAAAACAAAGTAACACCTCAGGTCCACGGCCCGGTCGCCCGCCAACGAAATTCGGCATATTCCGGTGAAATTCGACTTGAAGCCCCGGAATACCATCTCCCCCGATCTGCCCACGCCGAATTCCGGGGGTGTTTTGAAGTTGATTGCCCCACAAGACTTCAAGTTTTCGCAAACCAACGGGATCTGCATATCAAAGCGAAATCCGCCACTCCAGAGTCAGGATGGGGATTTTGCAACACAAACCTAGAAGCTTTGGGGGTCACGCATGCCAGATTTCAGTTCGTACTGTAGTGCAGATTAGCGTGGGCAGCCGCATTACAAATCCATCTGCTTATCCTGTTTACAGCATTACAAATTTCAAAACACGACTGGAAATGCCTATCATGGGTACGCGCATCACAAATATTCCTGTCATTGGACATCAGCATGACAAGAACTCTGGGGTGGGGGTATTTTTCCTTACGATACTGCAACCGAATCAGCATTTACGCTGGGCCGCATGTGATCACCGTGGATAAGGAGGATGTCCAGCTGGCAGAGGAATTTTGGTCGGCCAACGACATCCGGTGCCGAGTGCAAGCCGCGGTTCCGGCAACGGACGATGGGCAAATTGGGCCGGATCGGGTCTTGTTATTGTACCTGAACAGTGACAAGGCCTTCATGGCGCACCGGAAATACAGGGTACGGAAATGAATGTACTGTTTTTTTTCTTCAAAAGAGCTCTTCGCACGACGAGTTTTTGACACTTTACTTGTGATGTGGTCATGATGAAAAAGAAAATTACAGCACTCGCTATCGCTATCATCTTCGCATTTTTGGAGGACAAAGTCTCGCTGCAGATCGATTCTGAGATTTAACTTACGCAATAGCAGAATGAAATTACTCCATCACCAAATACTCTCAGCTGCAACTGGACGTGCAAAACCCCTTGCTCGCATTGGAGGAGTTTCTTTACAAGTTTTTCGTCGTGTCCTACTCCTACGAGGACATGCGCGCGGGCTCGGAATTAGACGAGATGAGAATACCGGCGTACGAGGTGAACCACGTGATGAAGCGGTTTTTCCTGCGATATCGGAAACAAAAATCCCCGCTCCCCGTATCAAAACGGAATTTCTGATGCTGGATTTGTGTACACGAATCAGCTTTGTATTGCAGAGAGGCACTGCGGCCAGATCCCCAGGCTAGGTAGGGGCGTATGGGTCTAGTTGTTCAGCACGGCAAACGACTCCCCTTTCGGCCCAATAGCATGACAAACCGCCTCCATAATAGGGCGGAAGCTTCTGCCCTTGTCTTCTTGCAAAACAAATGCGATTTGTTACCTCAATTCAGCAATGCAAATTTTCGGAAGCATACCTTTTCAATATGGGGAGGGGGGATTTTTCCTTACGATATGCGAAACGAAAACGCCCAGTTTCAGCCGATCCGGAACTATCAACTGCAAATATTAGTCTGGGTCTGGAAGAATGCCAGACTTGTCATGCAGGTTTTCCATGACCCATGAGGTCTGGTATGTAGGACATAGCATGACAGATTCTGTGATACATAGTTCTATCTATGATGCCTATTCTGCATGAGAACAAACTGCATCTCGATTAGGTCACAAGTGGACACCAGCTTTTGGTAATCACGCAGCACAGATTTTTAAGTACATGATTCAGATTTAGCATGACAAGTTCCAACCTTCCAGACCCAGACATATTTGCAATGCATAGGAACGGTATGACCGCGATTCCGAACCTGTTTGTCCACTTCGAAAGCCCAGTGAGGATGGACCCCGGACACCAGGTGGTCTATATCGCGCCCACAACCTTTCAATTGACCAAACAGCTGATCGGAAGTACAGGATGATGATTTTTTTTGCCGTTGGTTCTTTAACAAGCTGGTTGTGTTTCGACGATTCCTGTTTGTAGACAACATGACAATTGCTATGTTTGTTCGCATGAGAAGTTGTGAAAAAAAGTTTCGCATGCGTCGAAGAATTGATGAAGAACCTGAACAAAATTCTATATCAGGCACGGCAGTGCACAACACAGAGTGCAACGAGTTCAAATTTGACCCGGTCGATATCGCAAGAAAAAGCTGTTTCACTGTAAACTTGTAATGCGCAAAATGGAACACAGAAGCATTTGCACAAAGTGGAAAGAAGCTTGCATGGCAAATTTTCTCTGTCATGCGGAACAAGCTTGTAATGCAAAAGTTGCAAAATGCTTACAGTGAAACACTTTCTTCCTGTGATAGTCGATGCGCTCTACCTCGGCCCCCAATCGACGGTGTTTTGCTACAAAAATCTGATCGTGATGGATGTGGTTAGTTTCACCGTGCCCAAGGACACCGCCGTGAAATTCCGAATTAACACGGTAAACCCCCCGGCGACTCCCGAGCTGTTCGATAACTTTTGGCGCGTGTACCATTACAAAAAAACCGTCTACGACAATATGACCTGCTCAAACGTGACAATCTCAAACGTTACAATAGAATCTGGATTTTGTCTTGCATGAAAAGCATGAGGAACGTATGTAGGTTTGCGCCTTTCGCAATACAAATTTCGCCGGATATCAATTGGGTTTCGGGCTCCGAAACTTGTCATGCGCAAACCTATGGGTTGTACGGTAGTGCATGCACTTCCTGCATCACAGATTTCCACATTCTACTGTAACGTTTGAGATTGTAACAGCTGGGAGCGTTATAGACAGCACCGCGGCCAAAACTTCGGCCACGGTCGCCGAGTCGTTGCTGCAGCTGGACCCGCTTCTGCTGACCAAAGACACTGCCGGGAGCCCGCAGCTGATGGCCAGCGACATTTGGGAGTCTTGGCAGATTTTGCCGCAATTAATGGGCGTGCAGATCCGGCTCGGCCTGCTGCCAAACGCCAACCGGGCCGCGGGGTCCAGGTCTGACATCGAATTTCGGTTTGTGTCGGTCAGCGTGGCAAACGAGGTTCGACTAACCGCGGACTCCCCGGCGGGATTCGATTTCACGCTGGCAAAACTCGTCACCGGGCAGGAGATCAAAACCGTGGATGGTAATCATGCATTACAAATCCTTTTGTTAAGGTAAATCCGCATTACAAATTTTATTTCTCATGCTGAGGAAATGCATTTATACGAAGTTCAGAAGAAACCACAAACACCAAGGTGCTACGATCTCCATCCGGGCAAACATAAATCCGGCGGTAATTTCGACGACGGTCATTCACTTACAGGAGGTGAAACTTGGAGCCATTGGGTCGCCAACGATCTTCTCCATCACGACGTATAGTTTTGATTTGATAATTTTTTTTTTTTGTAATGCAGGGGCACCTATCACCTGTAAAGTTTGTCATGCGCCGTCGTGCATACCACATGTAAGTGAAAAATATTATCACAGGCTTCTGAACGGGGTGACGAAAGACGAAAAGCTCGGTTTTCAGTATGGGTTTTCCCAGCCCGGAAAGATCTCCTCTTTCCGCATATCCAAGAAAAAAACTGTGTTAGTGTAACTTTCTTTGGTTGGCAGCATTACAAATTTGCTCCACATGACAGAGAAAACCTGTCATGCGTGGCTTGTAAGGGAAAAGACACATGAAAAGAGGGCTGCATGGTTGTCTGGCATGACAAGTGTAAGTCTGTTGCATTTTCTGCATTACAGAGTTACACTTCCACAGTTTTTTTCTTGCATACCGCACGCCCCGCCTGTACTCCGGGTTTTCCATGCACCCAGTGCAGTACCCGATCAAGGAAAAGCTGCCCATGCGGATCGACAGCCCGGCCTATGCGGATTTCTTCATCATGCTGTCCACGGACGCCCCCGCGGGGTCCTACTTCACCGTATCCGGACCGCCGTATCAAATCATGAAGTATCCTGAGTAAAAATGTTGCCACCCCACAGTCAAGATTGGAAATCTGCTAGACAAATCAACAAGCTTTGGCTGTTGCGCATGACAGCTTTGGCCTTGTAGTGTAATCCTGTTGAGCTAGTTCAGTAGCGTCACAGATCCGGCTTGTAGTGCTGACTCGGGCATGACAAATCTCAAGTCGCCACTAGAAAACGCCTCTCGTGTGTCTCTGCATGAGAAACATTTTAAGCATGCAGATCTGCATTACAGCTCTGGGGTTGGGACGTTTTTACACAGGATATGAACCAAAATTTCGCGATCCACGAGTACGATGCCGAGCACCTGATGATCGATAGCATGTTCAAGAAAGTCGGCACGGCCGTGTCGTTCTCGGTGATTTCCTACGGCGGGGGCCAGATCGACGTGCAGTTGCAGGAGACCCTGAAAAAGGAGACGCACTACGTGATCACGGTGTTCATGCAAACCCCCACCATGTATGCGTTGCAAATATGTCTGGGTCTGGAAAGAATGGGATTTGTGATGCTAACTGTCGACGATAGAGAAACCTGTATTGCGTAAGTAGCAAGAGATCCTTTAAATTTTTGCCAAGCGGAGAGGGCATTTCTCATGCAGAATAGGCATCAGCAAGGCTTTGCGAGAACTGTGTGTGATGCTACAGCATGCATCACAGGCATCGCGGGTCATGTACAATTGTGCATGACAGACTCCCCGAATCTTCCCGACCCAGACATATTTGCAATCCATACCATGCCCGGAGAAACCTGGCGAATCGAGACCAGGTCGTGGAAGAGCACGCTGGCTCCGGAGTGCCAGCCGCAGCAACTGGACCCCTCGATCGCCGTGTTGACGGAAATCCAGTGCCTCCCGTCCAACACGAACGACGGGGACCAGGGCGGGTTCCACCTGGTCGGCAAAATCGCCGTCACGGCGTCCGCGCCCGGTGGGAGCCCGCCCTTGGCGAAGCTGACCACCCTATCCCGTGTAAAAACGTCCCCACCCCAGAGTCAAGATGGGGATTTTGCAACACAAACCTAGAACTTTTGGGGGTCACGCATGACAAGTTGCGGGCTGTACTGTAGTGCAGCATAGCAAGGGAATTCGCATAGCAAATCCGTCTCTTTATCCTGTTTACAGCATTACAAGTTTCAAAACACGATGGGGAGTGCCTCTCATGGGGATGCGCATTGCAAATGCTCTTGTGCTTGCAAATTTGCATGACAACTCTGGGGTGGGGATGTTTTTGCGTAGGATACACCCGCGTGCGCATCAACCCCGCAGCCGCGACCCCGAACCGGTTGCGCATCGTATGGATTGCAAAAATATCTAGGTCTGGAAGGAGGCAGGGTTTGTCATGCTTGTCTGGCATGACTGAGGGGCTTGTGATGCGCGGCTAAGAAGAGATCCTTTTGCTTGTCATGCAAAAACGCAGTCTGTCATGCGGAAACCGCAACACTCAGGCACGAAAGTACTTCTCATGCTAGGCTGTGCATTGCAGAGCAGTCACTATTTCCCACTCAGCATTACAAGTTTCCAGACCCAGACATATTTGCAATCCATACATCGTGGCGCCGAGCAACTTCAACTTTACTGAGGGAAACTCGCTGCTGACTTCGAGTCTCGACGTGCTGGAGTGTCGGCAGGGGCCACCCATGGCGAGCCGAAACACGGCGCTCTGCACCTGCCGGCCCGACGGGCTGCAGTCCGAAGTGTCCATAGACCTACTGATGGTGCCGCCCAGGATATCCTATGTAAAAACGTCCCCACACCATAGTCAAGATGGGAAATCTGCTAGACAAATCACACAGCTTTCGTTGTTTGGCATGACAAGCTTGTCCTCGTAGTGTAATCCTATTGCGCTAGCTCAGAAGCATGACAGATCTAGCACATCGTGCTGATTCTAGCATCACAAATTCCAAAGCACGAATGGAAAATACTTCTCATAGGGCTCCGCATGAGAAACTTTTTTGGCATGCAGAATTGCATGACAACTCTGGTGTGGGGACGTTTTTACTCAGGATACAGGAAAACGCCCGTGCCCACGGCCTGGTTTGTGATCGGGGAGGATTCCGTATCCAACGAAAAAACTGTTTCACTGTGAGCCTGTGATGCATGGAATGGAGCACAAAACTATTTGTTTTGCTACACATGCAAGACATTTGATTTATTTTAAGGGCGTTTTCCCTTGGGAAGTGCGCATGACAGATTTTCTGTGCCATGTGTAACAAGCTTGTGATGCAGATCTTGCAAAATCATCACAGTGATGAAATAGTTTTTTCCTGCGATATTCCGTATCCAACGCCATCGTCGCGTGGGGCGAGGACCCCATCGGGTACCCGATACAGCAAATGGCCGAGACCACAGTTTTGTACACCGCGGTGCCGTATGCAATGCAAAAGCCTCGTACTAGTATAGATTGCATTACAAATTGGCTTAGCATTACAAATTGAATTTGTAATGCGGATTTGTAATGCGGATTTGCCTTAAGAAAAAGATTTGTAATGCATAAACGCAATTAGTACGAGTACGATACTTTTGCACAGGATATGCCGGGGGTCGAGTCCGAGATTACCATAGGCTTCAAATCCTCCATCACCCTCGAGGGCGGGGGAACGATTCTGGTGCTAGTCCCCGAGGCGTTCGAGGTGAACTGCGAGGACGGAAATCTGAAGCCGATTTCTCTATGAGAGTGCACAACTCCCTCTGCCCCTCATTTGTCATGCAAAATACCAAATCCTGGCTCTGCCTCTTGGCACTGTTTGCATGACAAGTTCTGGTTGTAGCCCTAATATCGCTACAATCGCAATATAGTGCAAATTTGTCATGCAAAACCGGCATTCTTTCTGATGCTTGTATTGCCGTTCCTGCAGCTATACAAATGAGGGCGAGGGGGAGTAGTTGTGCACTGTCATACTCTCTCATCGGCGACGTGAAGTGTGAGCAGGGGGGCAACAACCAGGTGCGGTTGAAACTGTCGTCTACTTTACCCGCTGCACAGTACGCGTTTTCGATGCGAACCATGGTGCCGCAGACCACACCCGTGAACAACCGGTTCTCTCTATGGATTGCAAATATGTCTGGGTCTGGAAGGATGCCAACTTGTGATGCTGCCTTTGGATTCTACACAGAATTCGTATTGCATGAACTGCAATTTGTAGAGGGATCAAGTTTTTGCTACGCGGAGAGGGCATTTCTCATGCGGCATGAACATCAGGAAGCCCTTGAAAAATCTGCGATGCTAGGGCATGCATCACAGACGCCAGGGGTTATGCAAACTGCGCATGACAAACATCTGCATTCATCCAGACCCAGACATATTTGCATTCCATACTCTGTGTTGCTCTACGACTTGCAGAAAGAAGTGCGGGATGCCGCAATGGACCGAGAAGGCCTGAAAATGCTTAGCGGGATCGACATTCGCTGTACAGAAGTCTTCGTTTGTTTGAATGATTTTTAGAACATGATGATGATGACGATGATGAGAATGTTAGTTTGTCGCTCTTTCCTCACTGGACAAAAGTCACGAGAGGTGTCCAACTTCGTCGTGCCTAGGATCGCAAAAATAAAAATTCATTTTCAGTCTCCGACCTGAGCTGGAACCGAGCAGACGCCAACAAGAAGTCGGACATGACCGTAGCGTTCACCGTGTACGAATCAACAACCTCCTTTGGCTATCAAGTGCAAAGTACTTGTCTGGTTCCTTTGGAAGAGTGCAAGATTTGTCATACATCTCACGCACCACATGAGAAATTCGGCTTCTTGCTTAGCAAGAAGAGCCTAAGCATGCAACACGGAAAAGCCTGTGGTCGAGACTCCGCATGACAAGCTGCATCGCTCCTGAGGACCCAGACTATCTTTTTGCAATGTATATCCGCGACCGGTCGCTGCGAGACCTCGGTGAGGTGTTGATCAATTTTATCCACAGGAGAAAATTTTCCGTACAGGTGCACATGCGGTCTCTGCATGACAAAACTGAGCTTCGATTCTGGTTTAGCCTGACAAAGTGGCTGCACACGACTCCTACGTGGTGAAATTTGTGATGCTTCTTGTACATTATGTACGGGAAATTTGTATTGCATAAATTTTCCCGAGGGATTTTTCCACACCATCGTCAGCTTTTCCGAGGTAAAAACCGCACTGAACGGACAGCCGGGCGGTATGCCCTTGGTCATGGATGAGGACGATGTGCCCAGATGGCTGGATTCCACACAGCAGGACCGGCTCAGGATTTCGCTGATGACGGGACCAGACGTGGATCCCTCCGGGCTGCAGCTATGCCATGCAAATATATAATATTCGATCTGGGTCTGGAATAAAGAAGCAAACCCAGCAGACTTTTGTTGATGCGTACTGTTCACATAGAGAAGAATTTCGCATGCATCATGAACAGGAAGAAAAGCTGATGCCGATTTTTTGTCACTGAAAAAGGTACTAGCTGAGGCATGGAAGAGTCATCTCCATAAAGCCTGTCATGCTACTTCTAGGGCTTGCATGTCCAACATGTCGGAGACCTTCTTGGTCACGCGAAAACAGCATGATGCATGGTACAACTTATTTCAGATCTACACTGTGGTCTGATGATCCAGACCTAGGCAACATATTTGCAGGGGATAGCAGCAACAGGGAACCTATTCCTTCTCTTTCCAGGCCGTGGTTCCAGCACAGATACCGCCCTACAACGTAAAAATATATTGAAAAGTCGTTTTTTTTTTCTTCCATTTGCATTCATTGCATTCAGCCAGGCCTCTAGCACTGCCACTAGAGACAGTCTCAGTTTGTCTTCAGATGCTGTGCGTGTTGTCGTGTGCTGCTCATAACTTTTCCGAATCCGGTTTGTCCGTGTTGTGGGTGGTGTTCCACAATAACGTTGTTGTGGAAACTAAGTATGCACTTGCGAAAATTGATCTCTGCATTTTATCTGCACCGCGACATTAATGTTAAATTATCGAAATTCAAATTCTTGCCCAGGTGTGGACGGTGTCTTTGTGCGAAGGTAGCGGGGGCTGCATCAGTGCGTTCGATTCCAGCGTGAAGTTAGCCTTTCCAGTTCCGGGGTTTGTGCACGGGCAGTTGGCCGTATGACAATGCACAACTCGTCTCCCTCGTTCTCATTTGTCATGCAAAACACAACTGCCACACTTTCCCTCCTGTGACTACTATGCATCGCTACAATCCTGGGTGAATTTGCCATGCAAAACCTGCATTCGTGCCGACACTTAAATTGCTGTTCATGCCATACAAATGAGGGGGAGGGGGAGTTGTGCACTCCCATAGGCCGCCAATGCGGGCGACGCACCCGCGGCCAGCGGTGCTTCCAGTGGCAACGGGGACGACGCCGAGGCCAGCGCAGCCTTTGCCGCGAAACAGATTCCGTGGATGTTGCTCCTGGCGGCGGTTGGAAGTTCCGTATTTGCCGTGGTGGCGTAGTTTGCTAGAAAGAGACGAGAAATAGCAGACGTACACCACAGCAAGGACGACAAAACGGAGAGTAGAACCACTACTAGTTCTTTAGCAGACACAGTGCTTCTCCATGTAGCACACTTTAAAGAATATCATCTTAGTTTACAACCTCTGAAACGCAAAATAGTACTACACGAACAACTTCACCATCAGTTTCTTTCTATAGCAAAAACTACGAATTTACTTCACAACTTCACACTAAAAATCATCGTAATCATTAGACAGGGTCGTAAACATTAGACAGGGTCGTAATTACATCTCGAACTCAACTCGGTCTAGGTACTACAATATAAATCGGTAAGCGCGTGTTTATCTCTAATCTGCGATGCGTATTTTTCGTTCGTCAACGTCCTCTGCTGCTATAAGGTGTTTGTCTGTTTGGTTGAAGATATACATGAAAATAGCAAAAGAAAAATATTCTGAAGAACAAGATGCGAGCGCCTCCCCGTTGACGGGGAGGCGCATCCTTGAAGATGACCAATTTTTTCCAAAATGTAGGCAAGCTCTGTTTTTCTGTTCCGTAATATTCTATTTTTTTGAAAATGAGGCCAAGCTCTTCCTGGACTTTATCAGCAACCAGCGCGCAAGAAACCAGATAGGAGTCCGACAAATCTAGTTGCCCTGGGTCGAGCACACACTCTCTTTGTAGGGTGTGTGTTGCTGATCTTGTTTTTACATGATGGACATTATACACAGGGGAGAAACAGATTGCTTTCTGGGCCATTGCGTCGGTGGATCGTGGGCGACTTGTTGCAGTTTTCAAAGAAAAACGACTCTGCTGCTAGTCAAGCATGAGAAGCCAGAATCAATGTGCTTCAGTTTGTATTTTGATAGGTATGCAATACAGGTGGGGGGAGGCCGCAATCTGTTTCAAACCTGTCTTGCATGGAAAATAGACCCAGGGTAAAAAGATAAGAGTATCAAATGAAAAGCAGTAACTGCGCACAGTTACTGCTTTTTTCCATAAGTATAGGCCGGACAAGGTGCAGCAGCTAGTGGACGGGAAAAAAGGTGGTGAATTGAGTATGCTCTGCACTAGCCGGGAAGACCGCTGCGACGCATTGTATGAGGGGCTATTGGTCATGAGTTGCTTGATTGCAACAGCCTCGCGTCAAGGCAAATGGCTTCAGTTTTATATGTGCGGCTGGGGCATCAACCCCGGGAGGATCATTTTATATAGTAGAGAAATCGGTCTAAGGAAAGGGAGCTTGTTGTTGGGGGTGTGAACGTCAAGTGCTTGGCAGGCAGATTCAGAACAAGACAGACCCTGCGTTCCCTTCATCCAGTGAGGCCAGACCAGGAAGGGGAGCGCGCGGGGCCCGGCCGGGGCGCGGGGGGTGCTGCGCCTCTGGTCTGAATCTGCTTGGCACACTGTGACACCTTGCACCTGTATCCGCGTACCAGCCTTATTTTTATCCCCCTTGCTGGCGCAACCAACAATGAGATCCTGAGCAGAACCATTTTGCGAATGAGTAAGATTTTTTTCTAGTAGTCAGGAAAGTGGACCACTGTCCATGCTTGATCCAGTCCTCCCTTGGCAAAAAAAAAAAAAAAAAAACTTCACGCTAAAAATCAAAAAAACAGTCAATCATCAATACCTTCGAAACATCAACAGCTAAGAAATTTCAGTCAGATAAAGTCAATACTTAATTCAATTTTACCAGCAGAAGACGATAATGCAACGAAACAGCGCAAATGCAGTGTGTGTAGTGGCGGGGGCGGGCCACAGCGCAGCAGGTGCAGCGTCGGTTTGATATGAATATGTAAAAACGTCATCAGCTTTCTTTCGAATCCTCATTTGGTATTAAGTACGAGATGAACTCAAGTTCACCCATGTCTTTAGCAGGACTCTCTTTGTTAAAAAGCAAAATCTATTTCTCGAAGCCACACACTTCACCTGCGTACGGGGTTTTGTTTCGACTTCGACGAAAGCGAAGCAGACCCAGAGACGAGCGACATCGTCGCGCAGGTTGACAGAACTTATCTACTTCTAGGACTCTCTTTTCTACTATCCCTCAATAAAAAACCAGTTGTAAACAACCTCCACCTTGCTTCAACAGTACACCACCTCCATAGAAGAATTCTTGCAATGGAATTAGATCAGGACGGACTGGCAGGTTTTGTCGAGAAGTCCTGGTTCTTTTTACAACAGCCTCTCGAACGTCGACCTGACATCAACAGCACCAGATGTCAAAGGAGAGGAGGTGAACGAGAACTCCTAAAAAAGGGGTGCACCACCACCACGACCTCCGCCACCCAGCACCACCAGCAGAACAAGTAGCTTCCTCTTTACAACTGTTGTGACCTAATAATTACAGAAGCAATACGAGTGGTAGCAGCGTCCTTCTAAATTTATTTCTAGTCCCGTTGATAATTATTCGCCGTGCTATTCCTGTTTTATTTCCACTAAGTACAAAAAGAAGTCGAGAAAGACTCTAGAACAGACAGAAAGAATGATCGAAAGAACTTCTACCGCAGGACTACTCCTGCCGCTCAAACTGTCGCATGAGCGAGCTCTTGCAGCTCGTGCTGCAACTTCTAGATGACAGTGCTCAACTTTGATATTCGCTCGTTTCTCAGTAAATGAACTCTGTTTAATCTATAGTAAAAGTATGTGAACATCAAAATTCATCCCCCGCAGCTGTAGTTGATGTAGTTGGACGAGTTCACCAACTACCGTGGCGCAGGAGAGTGTGCCTGTTTTGACAGAGCGTCTTTCCGTATACAGTGTGCTGTTCGTTCGTTTGCCGAATTGTTGGGAGACGGTGTGACTTTTTCTTCCGCTTTTACTTACATCGGGTTATAGTATCTCTGATTGTGTTGTCGGTCAGTGATGTGGTTTCTCTCGTCGGTTCCGCGTTTTACACAAAACAGTGATGTGGTTTCTCTCGTTCGTTTGACACAAAACAAGTGTCGTTTTACACAAGCAGCCCGGGCAGTACTTGGTTTCAGTCGGTTGAGTCGTTATTTTCATGGAAAAGATTCTTCTAGTCTGTTGTCGTCCTCATTTTCATCATTCTTTTTGGAAGCTTTCAATCGGTACAATCGTCCTGTTTCAGAGGTACATCCGCCACTTTCGTACAAGTCGTCGTTCTTTCTAATTGCACGTGCTCGTCCACCGTCTTCTTCTCAAGAAAACAAGATTTTTCTTTGAAATCCCAATAAAAATTAGCTTTTTCATCCCACCGACCAGTTTTTGTATCATCAGAAACAAAACGTCGAAACATTTTTCACCCCCCTAAGAATTCTGGAGCATACAAAATTTGTTTGCAACTTTTTTGCTTGAAAATTTAGGACTTTCTGTTACAAAATGAATAAGCGGTAGTTGCTTAGCAGTGGAGGCTTACCTATCTCTCCCGCCGTCCGTCCCCTCGGAAAAAAGTGGTAGCAGCTGACACTACTAGTACTTTAGTTTACAACACGGAGGTTCCCCCGCGCACAGAAGTCAGTAGATGTTGAACCGATGTTCTTGATTTCTGTGCGTATCTGGAGTCTGGCGCAGAACTAAAACATTTTGAAGAAATCCTGAAAAATACGTTTTCCCCGAGAAAATTTTTTATTCCCACCAGATATGACAGATTTTTGTTGAAAAACCAAATGGTCGCAAAACCTCTACTGCGCCCACGGAACACCTCCCAAATGGTCCCGTGGCGTTTGAGGTGGTGCAAGAAGCGCGACTTCTTGTCGTCCGGGTTCATTCTGCAAGGAGCGGTTTCTCTTCTGCAGGAGTATAATTTTCTTCAAAGCGCGACGCCTTTTGTGTCCGGGACGCGGGGGAACAAGAGGCAGCACCGAGCACAACTTTATTTCCCGGAAGAGTTTGCTGGCGCGGAAGGAGCGATTCCCCCGGAAGATGAATTTTGGGCAGAAGAAGTACACGACCAGGCTCACCACCAGGGCGGGGCGTTTATTAGTGCAGCGGAGTTTCATCCCTCCGACTACGACTATGATGCGCCCCAGGACGATTATGGCTGGCACGAGGGAGAAGTGGAACAAAACTGGCTTCCTCCCGCGTGCGAAATCATGCTAAGTCACGTACCGGGAGCAACAGACGATCCCGCGGACCTGGTGAACAATGTGCTCCAAGTCGCAAATCAGGTCTTTCGAGAACGAACCACGCAGGAGGACTATGATGCTTTTTGGCGGTCACTTGATGGCGTCTGTACGGCGCGGGTCATAGAAGAAAGCAAATGGTACTTGGTGTTCGTGGAGTTCGCCAAACTCGTTTTGAATTCGTGGTGCAGCGACGTTTTCCAGGGAGATCATCGTGACCGCTGCACCCGCGAGAACCCCTTCGGTAAAAATCTTCCGGCGCATAATCCAGTGTTGCCGTCAGCGGCGAGCTTGGGCGAGTGGATGGAAACGTATTTCGACCCTGTAGTTGTGTCTCAGAAGGACGACGAGGGAGGCTTGTCGCCAGTCGACACCATGTTCGCTGACAATTGCTCGCCTCTCCTGGACCGGTGGGCGGACGCCGACGAGGGCATTTCCGAGTCAGGTTTAGTCAAGAGGGTGGTGCGCGTCTTCAGTGCGCTCTCGAGAGATTACCCGAACGCGGGAGAGGACTTCGTGAAGCAAACCTGTGTCGAGGACCATGATCACCAGCACCTTCCGAGGCAAATGTTCAAAGACTTCTCCCACACACTGTTGCAGTTTTGGTGTGGGCAGTTGAACTTCGCCGGAGACCGGCCTGAGGACGAATATCGCAGGTGCAGCGAGTCTGGAAATCCCTTCCGAGAGGACGCTGCAAGCCCCACCACGACCTTGCCGGTCTTGGAATCATTCGACCGCTGGTTGGAAGAATACAGCCTTGCCGACGACGTCCTGGCGGCGGACCAAGGCCCGGCACCGGCCTGCGAGAACCTTTTGGAAACTCTCTACAACAGTGCCGATCCTACGGAGGAGCAGACGCGGGAAGCCGAGTCGCGGAGCCTCGCGCTGCGTTTCCTCCCAGCACAGGCCCGAGAGGATCTCGAGAGGTACTGCCAGAAAACTGGGCAGAGACTGGATTCCGACCAGGACTGGCCCGACGTTGCGAGAACGATCTTGGCCAACATCGACTCGAATATAAAGAAGACGCTTTACCCCGGAGTGCTTCCAGCAAAGGCAAACGTTGACCCGCAGGCGGGGCTTAGTATGAACTACGGAGAACTTCTGCAAAGGGCACGAGCAAGCTTCCAAAACGGCGGATTCGCAGACTGGTGCAACCAACATGTTGAGCCAGCGAGGAGCGGGTCATATGTAATTCCAGACGCCGCGCACGTGCAGCAAGTCTTCCGAGACGCCGGCGCGATGGGGGGCGCGGCACAGGAGGCCATGGAGCGGCTGGCTGACGATGTAGAACACCAAGGAAACAATCTGGAGGAAAAGTGCAACATGTTCTTTCAGTATTTGAGCGAACTGGAGCAGAGTGCCATGAGGTCCTCGAACGGACGAGATGGAGGGACAGCACGAGGACCCGTGAGAAGTACAACAGCAACGGTATCAATTGCAAATATGTCTGGGAGGTCCTCTGGAAGAGTGCGCTTGTTTGTCACATGCATCTTCTGCTCGTTGTACAGATCAGTGGTCTGGATCTGCTGGAATGCTGCACGCCAAGCATTACAGGTTTTGCGAAACAAGTACAAGGAGCTTCCTATCTAAAAATGCTCACCCCGCATAAGAAATTCGCCGTTTTTGCAGCGAAAAGTGGGCAGCACGACTTGGCACCCATGCAATACAGATTTTTATCTGGTCGAGATTTAGCATCACAAGTTGGAGGACTCTTCCAGAGGACCCAGACATATTTGCAATGCATAAGCGGGGGTCGGTTCATCTAACTCCGGATTGGGAGCAGGTGCTGGTCCCCCCGCCTCGGGAATTGGTGTCGGAACCACCGCTACCGCGACCGTGTCCGTCGGGAATACTCCGCCGAGGCCGCAACCGTTCGAGCTTCCGGCGCTGTACGTGGAGATGGAAAAGATCTCGCAAGAGTTTGTGGGCCACCTGGACTACGTGACAAGTGAGCTGCAGCTCATGACCCGCAGCCGCGGGCTATCCTGTTTAAAAACGTACCCACCCCATAGTTGTAATGCAAATCTGCATGCTAAAAATGTTTCTCATGCGGAGCCCCATGAGAAGCATTTTCCAATCGTGTTTTGAAATTTGTCATGCTCCAATCAGCATGGTATGCTAGATCTGTGATGCTGCTGAGCTAGCTCAAACAGCACTACACTACGAATCCAAATTTGTCATGCAAAACAGCCAAAACTTGTGGATTTGTCTAGCCGATTCCCCAACTTGACTATGGTGTGGGGACGTTTTTACATAGGATACGGGCACGATGCGTTTCACCACTTCGTTGACCGAATTTTCGTGGACCAGATGTTTGTGGCGAGCTACCTGCTTCCCGTGCTGAACCAGATTAATCATCTATCATCTGTAAAAACATCCCCACCCCAGAGTTGTAATGCAAATCTGCATGCTGAAAATGTTTTTCATGCGGAGACCCATGAGAAGGGCTTTCTAGTCGTGTTTGGGGATTTGTAATGCTAGAATCAGCATGATATGCTAGATCTGTGATGCTGCTGAACAAGCTAAGCATGCTTGCACTACGATGCCAAACTTGTCATGCGCAACAGCAAAAGCTGACAGATTTGTCTAGCAGATTTCCCATCTTGACTCTGGTGTGGGGACATTTCTACTCAGGATATCATCACGGTCACAACCTGGCCGTGCCCTGGCTCGAGAAGTTCGCGCGCAACCTGGAGGAGTCGGCCGCCCGGTTCGGGGTGGATCTGCTCAACGGCCCCCCGGCACAGAAAACGCGCGCGCTCTCGGACACGGTGGAGCGGTATCTCGAGCACGCTGCGGTGGCGGCGCAGAAGGAGATGGTTGGCCTGACCCAACAGGATGTCGTGGGAGCGAACACAGATGTGACTCACAAGCAACTCTCGGAGATGCCTGAGCTGGCGCGGGCCATGTTCTTTACCTGCAGCTCCACGACTTCCGGGGATGTCGGTCGATGGCCTCGCCCGGAGGCGGCGTCTGCAGCCTGCAAGAGTCACGTGAGCCTGGTGGGGAAGGCAGTGGCGCTCACGGCGAAGGCGGAGTTCTCTCCCGTAGTACCCGGAAAAGAAGCAGAAGCTTCGTTGCAACACGCGGCTTTTGCCATCACGGTGCACGGAAGCCCCTTGAGCCAGGCGTTCAAGGGGTTCTCGGTGCTGCAGCCTGTTGCTCAATACAACCAGGTGCAGATCATGGGCGCAGCTGCACAGGGGGGGCCAGGTGCACTGGCCGCGCCCCGTCAACTATCCTGAGTAAAAACGTACCCACACCAGAGTTGTCATGCAAATCTGCAAGCTTAAAATGTTTCTCATGCGGAGCCCCATGAGAAGCATTTTCTAATGGTGTTTTGAAATTTGTCAAGCTCCAATCAGCATGAGAGACTAGATCTGTAATGCTGCTGAACTAGCTCAAACAGCACTACAATACGCGTCCGAATTTGTCATGCAAAACAGCCAAAGCTTGTGGATTTGTCTAGCCGATTCCCTATCTTGACTATGGTGTGGGTACGTTTTTACTCAGGATATCAACACCTGATGCCCTACGTCACAGGTCTGATCGCCGCCCGTATCGTGACGAAAATCTGCTTATCAAATGTAAAAATGTCTGGGTCTGGAAACTTGTGATGCTGGGTGGCGTCTCATGATGAGGCTACAAATGCTGGCTCAGCATGACAAGTTTCTGAGGTCCTAGGTGTTGCCTATTCTGCATGACAAACTGCGCTTCTGCATCACAGAAAAACGGAGCTCTTGGGTAATGTGCATGACAGATTTAAGAGTCATGCCAGACAAGCATGACAAACATGAATTCTTCCAGACCCAGACATTTTTACATTTGATACTGCTCCCCTCCCCGTACTCAAGAAAATGGAAGAACTTCGTGATGCTGGTGAAGATTCGTGACCACAGTAAATCAGATTTGTGTTGCATTCTATGGGGCAAGTAGTGGGAGCTGTTTGGCGCATTCCACAGTCAATCTGTGACGCGCTTTTGCCTACTGCGAAGCCGCTGTCTTTTATGCCTTAACTGCTAGCGGCCTTTTGCATACACTATCAGGCTTCGAAATAAATGCCGCCAAGCGCTTGCTGCAATACAAGTTGGCTGCGCAAGAATAAATCCAGCATAGTAGTACTACACAAGTTTTCTTCGTTTGTACGGGGTGGAGGCACTCCTTTCTTCACTTTGATAGCCCAGGGCAAGGCCCCTCCGTTCAGTGGCACGAAAGGCAAGGACATAAACACGGCGGACCGCAGGCGCGTGGCGTTAATAGCAATGCAACGGTTCCAGAGTCACCTGACGCCGTACGAGCGAAAACTCTCAGAACTGCTTGACGGAGGGTGGTTTCAGCATTTTCCGAAGCTTTACTCGTTTTTGCTGGACGAAGACACGAAAAAGATTTTTCGGTTCCTCGGCATGCTGAAGCCCCCCGCACCCGACCGCGCGGGGCAGGAATGGTGGAAGTGGCAGGCTGCGTCCAATTTGGTCTCCTCCGGAACTTATGGATTGCAAATATGTCTGGGTCTGGAAGAATACAAACTTGTGATGCGCATTTCAGAACACACAAAAATCTCTCATGCATAGGTAGCAAAAGCTTCCCACTTTCTGTCACCAAAATGGGGGACTTGTCATGCGGATTCGGCATTGCGGAAGCTTCTCGAAACCTGTGATGCTAGAGCTTCCATGCCAGACCTCCTGTATCATGCAAAAACAGCATGACTCTTCGAGACCCAGACACTTTTGCATTTCATAGAACTGCGGGGGCGGGCCCAGGGGTCATGCAGGAGTTGAACACCGCGGCAGAGCTATCCTGAAGAAAAACGTCCCCACCCCATAGTTAGTTGTCATGCAAATGTGCATGCTTAAAATGTTGCTCATGCGGAGCCCTATGAGAAGCATTTTCTAATCGTGTTCGGGATTTGTGATGCTCCAATCAGCATGCTATTCTACATCTGTAATGCTGCTTAACTACTAGCTAAACAGGATTACGCTACGAGGCCAAACCTGTCATGCGCAACAGCCGAACGTGGGTGATTTGTGTAGCAGGACTATAGGGTGGGGACGTTTTTACTTAGGAGAAGAGCTGGTGGCGCGGGCAAGTAGCACGCCGCCGCTACTACAGGCCTCGCAGGCGCCGAGGCGGAAACCCTTTGCCGAGGTGCTCGGAACACCCTCGTCCGGTGCAGTGGACGCGCCAAACTTCCAAGACGCGCTTGATCTGAAGCTGGGGGCTTCGCAGTACCCCATCCCGGGGGGAAGCCAGGCCGCGGGACCGGGAATCGCCCCCTCGTCTCTGGAACAACCCTACCCGAAGGTGTTTGCGCTGGTCACGCTAGCGAAGACTGCAGCGCGGCGCCTGTACGACGCTGACAGCGCCAGCAGCACGTTGGGGGCAAGTAGATCCGACTTCGAAAGAGATCTCTGGAAGCCCTTGACCGATATTACAATGAAAAATGCCCCCTCTCCATATCAAAACGGAAATCTGTGATGCAGATTTGTGGTTACAAATCAGCTTTGTGATGCTAGAAGGCAAAAGATGCGAACTGTAGTGCTGCCTAGCGTGGGAGAGCCTTGCAGCTCCAGGATGACAGGAGGCAGCTGGAAGTGGGAAACAGCATGACAGATTACCTGCAATGTATGCCGCAGCTTCGTCTCTTGGAATTCTAGCAATACAAGTCGATTTGTGTACTCAAATACAGCATCACAAATTCGCGCATCTTCCGTTTCCGATATGGGGTGGGGGCTTTTTTCACTATGATAACCGATGCGGCCATTTCTGAGTTCCACAGCCCGAGCGAAGTGACCACGGAACCTATTGAGAAGAAAAATCCCCCCTCCCCATATTGAAAAGGTATGTCTCCAAAAATTTGCATTGCGGATTTGAGGTCACAAATCACATCTGTCTTGCAAGAAGACAAGGGCAGGAGCTTCCGCCCCATTATGGAAGCGATTTGCCATGCTGTTGGGCCTAAAGGGGGGCCGTTTGCCATGCTGTTTTGCTAGACCCATACGCCCCTACCTAGCCTGGGGATCTGGTCGCAGTCCCTCTCTGCAATACAAAGCTGATTTGTGGCCACAAATCAGCATCACAAATTTCCGTTTTGATATGGGGAGGGGGGATTTTTCATTTTGATAGAACCGGCCCTCGAAGCCGCTTGCCGGGCCGAAGTGGAAGAGTGGCTGCAGGGATCATCGGGCGGCGGCGACTGCGTGCTGGCGAAGCGGAAATTACGTGCGGCCGAGGCGGATCTGGAACAGTTTCGGCACGGGGCGCGGCAGTCCGACGAGAGTCTCGCCGAGGCTCATTCGAGGGCCGACGCCAGGGTGGAAGAGGAGAGGGCAAAGGCAGCACAGGCTCTGGCCGACAAGGATCATGAACTTGCTGAGAAGGAGCGCGAGCTAGCAGCGGCGGTAGCTGCGCGTGATAGTCTCGACGCACGGTTGTCGGTCGCCTCAGCGGGCCACGACGACGTGCAGAAAGCCGCACAGGACAGCGTTCGAATAGCGCAGGACGCGAAGGAAAAGGCGGAGCGGGATGCGGCGGAGAGCCAACACCGTCAAGAGCAGCTTCTCAAGGAAGCGGAGAGGCACAGGAAGGCCAGCCAGGAAGCGCTAGAAAAGGCGCGAGTGGCAAGAGAGCTCGCCGAGACACTGCGAGAACAAGTAACTACATTAAAGGAAAAGTTGCAAATATCCCGTGCAAGAAATAGAACCCGCCTGGCTCCATATTACTCCAGAAAGAGATAGATTTATTCGTGTATAATTTCGTGCTCAGTCGGTGTGAGCAAGAAGCTGATCTTATAATTACACTGGGAAGTTGTAGTGCGAGGACGAGTGCCCGACCCCCGGAAGTTGGAAATTTTTCATACGCAAAGTCTCCCAATGGAATTTGTATTTGCGTGGCATGAAAGTAGGAGTACGAGTCTGCTCTCTGGTGCACACGCTAGGCGCGCTGGGCATCCTTCACGGGGCCGGCTGTCGCTGGGCTCTTTTGCAGCGCAAATCCGTACCGTTGAGCATTGAAAACTGGTCATGCTGATACATGCAAGTTGGCAAGCGTTTCGAGGCTTTGCAATGTAAACACTTTTCTACGTTCATGTTGAAGGGCCTAGCATCTTGAGCAAGATGAAGCTTGTGGCCGAAGAACACTGACGACGAGAACGAATGTATAAATATTGCAGTCGTCATGGTCATATAAGTAGGTATAGCGAGGTGGCCATCTAAGAGTAAAAAGAACTGAACTGTCCGGGGGCGCGTCAAGATCATAGAAGTAATTGTAATTCGACATCGACGCTTTTAATATCAAGATTTTTGCACTAGCGTGACAAATTAAGTACCGATACCGAACAGCATCAAAATGTGGGGTTCATGCAGAGTTGCATGAAACACGGGAGCACGGGATGGGTTCGTTTTTTGAACAGGATAGAAGGACGCGCAGCAAGCGATAAAGAATGCTAAACGTGACAATGAAGCGTTGCAGGAAGGCCACGAGGCTGCTCTTGCAAATTTACGGTTGGAAAATGAGCAACAGGCACAACAGCACAGGGAAGAAATGACCGGAAAGGAGACTGAGGTGGCGAAACTGACGGACGCACTAGACGGGGTACAAAAAAAGCGCGCTGACGAAGGCAAAAGCTTAGCTGAAATCAACAAGGCGCTGGAGGAGGAGCGGAAGGCGTGGAAGAGCGAAAACGACGCGGCGAAAGGGGACGCTGAAAATGCGAAGAATAACCATGCGGCCGAGCTTGCGGATCTGCAGAGCAAGCAAGAGAAGTTGGGGCAAGAACTCGAGGAAACCAAGAGACAACTTGCGGAGGCAAAAGCAGACGCAGCAAACACCGAGCAGGCAAACCAACAGAAGGTGGGGACGCTCGAAGCATCTCTTCAGGAAGCGTTGAGAAATATCCCCCAGAAAAAGACAGGCAGGTCATATTTGTATTGCAAACATAAATAGACAAAACAAATGCCCTAAACAGCAGGCTATGGCGTCACCCATGACAAATTTTTCTGCTATTTAATTTTTGCATACACAATTTTGCCCTGCCTGCTTTTTTTTCTGGGATACGAAACGCTGGCAAGCTCGATGAAGCGGATACTCGCAGACGCGAGCGCATGCAGGCGCTCGGCGAGCGCATGCAGGCGCTCAAGGACAAGTTTGATGCAGACTACGAGGCGCTGCTCGCCCGTACCACCGCAGAGCAAGAAGGAAGTACTGTTTTGGACCAGATCGACGTTGCACGGCGGAGTACGGAATTCCAGGCTTCGCTGGCCGACCTGCAGTCTAATTTGGAAGTGCGGAAGAGCCTCTTGCTTAGAAACGATCATGCGGACGAAGAGGCCCCGCCCGATGGCGCAGCGCAGTATGAAGAGGATGCCGCCCGTTGGCAAGAGCTCTCTGCGACAGTAAAGAGAAGGCTGGAGGAGCTTGATGCGCAGGCAAGAGAAGCAGTGGCTAAGAAGAACAGGTGGAGACAAGAGCGCGAAGAGGAGGAAGAAGGAGAAAGGCGTAAAGAGACAGAAAGACAAGCAGACCGGCTGCGTGAACTGGAAAAAGCAGTAGAAGACGCAGAGAATAAACTGCAAATTGCGAGCGCCTTATCCAGTGCAAATATATCTGGGTCCGGAAAAGTGGACTTGTTGTATTGCTTGTCATTCCTGAAAGATATGTGTTGCATGACCAACAACAGCGCGACTTTTTGGGTCATGTAAAAACGCAGTTTGTAATGCGCCCTAGGCATGATGAAAAAGCTAAAGCGCTCGCAAAAATGTTTGTCATGCGTGGCTGCACTAGGAAGGCTGTTCAATTAATATGACCATTTAGCATCACAGGTTTCCAGACTCTGAAATATTTGGAGTTGATACGACAGACAAGCCACTGAAATCCAGGAGCTGCTAGCTGCGAATCAGAAACGGCTGCGAGAAAGCGAGACGGCAAGAGATAAGGCTGAAAGATTGAAGAAAGACCGTGATGCCGAGCTTGAGGAGTTGAAAACGACGCACAAGGAGGCCGAGGGCAATTTGGAGGCAGAGCTCGACAATATCAAAGGCAAATATGTCTCGGTCTGGAAGAGTGCGCTTGTTGGCCATGCATTTTTTGAAGTGAGTACATGATCTGGAATGCACATGAAGCATTAGCTATCCTGCATGAGAAATGCGCCATTTGTGTAGCAAAAAGTGGGCAGCGTTTATTGGCCCTCATACAATACACATTTTTTGCTGCTCGAGAAGAAAGATTTCCCATCACAAGTTGCATCCTTCCAGACCCAGACACATTTGCATTTGATAGAGGAAGCCAATCGACAAATTGAGGAGGCGCAAAGGCTCTTGAGGGAGCAGGAGCAAAAGCACGCCCAGGAGCTCAAGGCAAAGGAAGACGCCCTGCAGGCCGCAATGGCAAAGGCTGGCGAGGTTAGAGAACTGAAAAAGCGCAAGCGCCTGCGCATGAAGGAGCTTGAGGAAGAATTTACTAAAGGCCACGACGCGCTGGCCGGTGATATCGCTACGGAGCGACGAGATGAAATTTCGCAGGGGCTCATCGACGAGCTGTTTAGGAAATTCTCAGGCGATCTGACCGGCCTGCAGGGAAATTTGGACGTATCCTGAGTAGAAACTTAATTAAACACCCCCACCGCTTTCACAAAAACGAAAAAAATCAATTGCTACGCAAATCAAGAACAAGGCTTGGGTCCTGTCGGGCATGACAAATCTGGGTCTCCTCGACGAGGTTGGCTAGTGAGGTCATGGCATAAAAAATCCAGCTCGTTATCTTGATAGATTGCAGCAGCACAATGCCCAGGACAGTATGAGAAAACGCCCCTCATGGGCGGGCTGTGCAGGAGAAACAGTGAAGACACGCAAAAGTACTTATGCATGACAAGAAGGCTGGCGTGGGGACGTTTTTTCTCGGGATAGGACGAGCGTAAAAGACTCTTTGGTGAGGATCAAGCACAGGCAATTGAGAGCAGGGCCTACACCGCAGAAAACTTCTTCGGCAAGCATGAGGAAGATAGTGGCCGTTTGGCAGCGCTCTCCGAGAATGTACGTACAAAGGTGGAGGGCTTGCGTCTTGGTACATAAAGTACTGTTTTTTACCTGCTTCTGTTGGGGCTTTAGCTTTACAACCAGTACTAGACCCTGGGTCGACCACATGAAATTACCCGCACGTGAAAAAAGAGGCCTGTCGGGTTCTTACAGGAAAGATAAGGATTGGAATATTCAACTCGACATTTGCAACAACGATTCGTTTCATTTCAGACGAGGAGCGTGTTGTAGTTGTGTACAGAAAACGAAAAGCCGCATAACAATAAACTAACACCTTGTAGTTTTTTGTTCTAGAGGACCTGATTTATTTTACATTTACAGAGCAACAGCGACTTGGTCAAGAAGCTGAACAAGCGGAGAAGGACCGGTTGCGACGAGGTAAGCACGCATGTCTACAACTACACTTGATGTTTTTGTTTACAACGCTGGAAGGACGTAGTTCATCGTGGCTGTTGTATCGACCACACTGATGAAGGCCTTTTTCATATTCTTTTGCCAGCCCGTGCTTTCAACTACCTCAAGGTCTGGATACAAGATTTTTTTTACGCCGATTTTCGTGTGCATGCTCCTCGAACGCGCATCGTTGGTCTTCTTCGATCAGCAGAGCCGAGCTAAAGCACGGTACAAGAAACTAAGTACATTGAAATAAAACAGAACGCGAAGAGGAAGAGCGAAAGCAGCGGGAGGAGCAGGAGGCGGCCCGGCGGAAGGCGTTGGAAGAAAAACAAAGAGAAGAGGCCGACGAGAAGGAAAGGAGAAGACTTCAAGCAGGTACTTACATCAGTCTGGCTTAATACGTTTATCAGTCTTGTTGAGCTGTGTCGACGATGCTGAAGGCAATTTTGATACTATTTCAGCCCGTGCCCTATCAAGATCTAGATAGAAGATTTTTCCATACGAGAAATGTTGTATGCTGCTGCTGGCGCTCCTGTAGTCATGGTGCGGCCGAGCTAAAGGAGTGGAAAAACTACATTGAAAAACAGAACGCCAAGAACAACAGAAGCGAGTAGAGGACGAGGAGGCCCGGAGGGCGGTGGAAGAACAAAAAAGACGACAGACAGAGGAAGAAAGGACAAGACGAGAAGCAGGTAATTACTTCAGTTCTACTTACGTTTATCAGTCTTTTCCTGTATCGACGATGCTGAAGGCCATTTTGATACTATTCCAGCCCATGCCCTATCAAGATCTAGATAGAAGATTTTTCCATACGAGAAATGTTGTACGCTGCTGCTGGCGCTCCTGCCCCCATGGTGCGGAGAGGGGGGCCCGGCTGCAGAAAACTATTTGTCTCATGCAATTAGGGTTTAGGGATTTTTGCTGCGCCCTTGTTTATTTCTTCGTAAAATTCGGGCAATACAAATGCCATTCTGCATGGGAAGGAGGCGTCGCCATAGTGGTCTCTGCATGACAGAGTGTTTGGTGGCGCGACTTTGGCAACACAATTTTTTTTTTTGTTCTGCTATTGAGAGGGCGGATTCTTGTAAATTCGATTTTGCGAGTAGAATTATCAATCGCAAATATGTCTGGGTCTTCTGGAAGGGGAGCGCAACGTTTGTCATGCTTCGCTAGCATGACAGTCAAATCTGTCATAAACGTTACCCCAAAGCCCCATTCATGTACCGCGCAGAAAGGACGCAGTTTGCAATGCAGATTATGCAACACGTACAACTACAACTCAAAAACTTATCATGCTTGTCCTCGTCATGATTGTCCGACCCGCATCACAAGTTTGCAGACCCAGACACATTTGCGTTTGATAGAGAATAATCACGGGAAAGAAACGGAAAGTATCACTGAGTATTAATAGAAGCGTTTTGAAGTAGAAGATGTAAAGCACCCGGACGAATTCTCGCCGCTGTGCTGAGTCGCCGCGTGCCAGATATACTATTTTCATCCAGCAAGATGAAACAATAAATGCTAATCAGGCGAACGTTGGGAGGCAGACATGAACAATCTGGAAAGGCAGTACATCGAAACGAGGAATGCCTTTGAACGGACGCTTGAACAGCAACTTCCAACGCAGATCGCTGCCCTCAGTGCCGGCGACAGGCTCGGCGAAGAGGGCGCTGCAGCAAACCTGTTCACGAGGCTCGCTGACTCCACGAAACTAGCGGAATTGTCAGCCAACGTGCAAAGACGGGGGGATTTGATAAAACAAGTTCCCGAGAAGCAAAACGGCCCGACGAGTGTGCAAGACCCTTCCGCCAGGGCGGGGGAGACGCATGTTGCGATATCCTGATTAAAAATGCCCTCACCCCCGAGTTGTCATCTGAGATTTGCACCATCTACAAGTAGAGCATCTATAACGCACGTCCTCCCAAGAGGAGTTTCCAGTCGTGTTTTGGTATTTGTAATGCTGTCAATAGGATAAAAACAAATCCAAATGCAAATGGCTTTGTGATGCGGCTGTCCCTGCTAGGCTGCAGTGTCCTACAGACGAAAATTTGTTTTGCGTGACTGCCAAACCCTCTGGATTTGCATTTGTAATGCGGAGCTCCTAGCTTGACTATGGGTATGGGGTGGAGACGTTTTTACTTAGGATACACGATGTATACACGGCACGCTTCTGAAGTCACCGACCTACAGGCCGGCTGGGTCGAACAGATCCAGAGGAAGCTCAATGAAGCAGGTACGGCAACCTACTCAGAATGAGTTGTTTCGTCCTGCATCTGTGCTACTACTGCATGTAGTTGTCGCGTCCCTTCGTCCATGCAACTGGTCACCTGTATGATTGCGCGCATGTCGTGCAAGGTACACGCAAAACGAGAAATTATAGAATGCCCCCGCGACCCCGACCCCGACCTCCATGAAAATGGCAACAGTTGTAGTGAGTGGAACTTCTGAGCGTCGCATGCAGCGCCAGAAGTATCCTCAGTGAAAACGCCCCGAGGTGCCACTTCGCAGCACACAAATCAATCAACTTTTTGTTTGAATCCGTGTAAGAGAAAGAGAAGGCACAAATATTACTTAAAATAAACAGAGCAAGCACGTGTAGCCCGAGCAGAGGAGGAGCGGCGACTCAAGGAGGCAGAAGAACAGAACAACCAAAAAGGTAATTTTGTTTGTTTGATTGTTTGTTTGAAATTTGTATTTGTGTGCGCAAAAAGTTTATTAATTTTGTGAGCACAAGGATGGTTTTGCCGGCGCTCGTGTGCGCCTTATTGCGTCGGGGTCACACAATTAAGTAGGCGAGCGCCTGCACGTCTTTCTTGTCCCAGGGTGGACGGACCAGTAGCACTTTACATAGCCCACTGGTGCCCCTGCCGCGCAGAGCAGGCGCAGGGCAGAGTGCCGGTGTATGATTGTGATTACGCAGCCCTGCAGCGCCAGCCGCGTATGCGGAAGAAAAAAGAAGAGGAGAAACAAAGCTCTTCTAGCTGGCTTTGGACGGCCTCTTGGATGATAGGGGGAGCACGTACATTTCCATAACTGACAGAAGTTACACAATGCTGTCTGTGACCCTCCTACTACAAGATGACGAGCGTGCTGAGAAGTAGCGCTCCCCCCCAACTACTGTCGGAGAGTAACATAAAAAAGGCAAGGTCTACTATGCACAGGCAACACAACATCAAGAGCGAACTTGGAAGCCCGCTGTCGTAGTGGTGTTGCGAGGCATTCTTCATCTGAAGATGATGAAGCAAAAAGAAGCGGCCCTGCTGTGATAGGCCGTCTTCACGCGCTAGATTTACTATTTTTTCATCAACATTTTTTTCACCTTCAGTTCTTGAAAAACACTATTCAGAAATCTGCAATGGAAACGTGGTCAAGCTCGAACACGCGTACATCGACACAAGGAAGGAGTTTGAAGGGCGGCTCGGCGGAGCAATCGGCGGTATCAACGCGGACTCGCCGTCGCTCGGGAGCACTGCGGAGGCTTTTCTTTCCTCCCTTAAGCCGGATGAAACACTGCAACGATTGCGTGAAAACCTTAACGAACGGAGGCAGTTGCTATCAGACGCGATAGGCGCCGCGGTGGCGGGCGTGTCGTCAACGGTGTCAGACCCTGCGTTTGTCCCGAAGACTACGCCAACCCGTTCGACCACCTTCATGGGCGGTTGGTTGGGCATGGGCGGCACGCAGTCTCCGGGGGCGGCGGGGGAGACGCATGATGAGATGTATCAGCGGCACAGCGTATCCTGAGCAAAAACGTCCCCACTTCAGCCTTGCCATGCGAATTCGTATGCCTAGGATGTTTCTTATGTGGCTCTCCAGGAGAAGCAGTCTATCTCTGTTTCTGTGCTTGTAGGTGTCTTTGGCAATCTGTGATGCGCTACCCCGGAGCCGGACAATAGAAGAGATCTGTGATGCATCTGGACCGTGGAGCTAGGCACAGCTACACTGTATAGCCAAACCTGTCCTCATGTGTAATGTATCATGTGTGAGTGCCAAATAAAATTTTGGACTTGTCTGGCAGAATTCCCTCCTCGCCTCTGGCGTGGGGACGTTTTTACTGAGGATACAACGCGGAAGTTGACCGCCTAGAAACCGCCTGGCTCGGGCAGGTCCGGAAGAAGTTGGATGAAGGTACGGTAGGACCGAGAATGAGTTTATTTCGTATCGTCTTTGATGTTAGTACTGCGTGTAGTCTATTTCTGTGTGTGCTACAACTGTTCATGTTGTTTGTTTGTGCAAATCGCCCTCTCCGCTTGTTGCAGATGCGACCAATGTCATTGGTGCAGATGCGACCAATATCAAGTGCAAATGTGTCTCCTGGGTCTGGAGGATTCAGGGAGCTTGGTTGGTTGGTAGGTTGAATAGCGCCTGTCGGCGGTGCAGGTCCCGCGGTCTTTCGATCGCGATCCGGAGTTTGTCATGCAGATTTTACATGACCCGCGCCCGCGATCTCAGTCATGCACACTCTAGCTGCGTCACAGGCTTCGCGAAGGCTTGCCCACGCCTATCCTGCATGGGATGTGCCCTCTTGGGGTGGCAAAAATTTGCGTAGCTCTATACTGCTCATGCAATCCAATACAGCTACAGGTTTTTGCATGATCGAAAGGAAGGAAAAGGATCACAGATTCCGCATTCTCTTTCTCCCCAGACCCAGACATATGAATTTGTATATGCGCATAGCCAAAAACTAGAAGGTGAAGGACGCTTGCGTGACCATATTGATAACATCAGATACAGTTATGCAATTTCTGTGTACGTCGTAAAAATTATGCGTGCATACACTTGTGCGGAAAACTAAAATACAGCACCAGATCATACAAGATGGCGTGACTGTTTTCCCTGTCACATTGTACTAGGTGCCCATGAACTTGAAGACAAGGCTTTGATATTTTCAACGAGAGCATATAAATTTGTATTTGTCATCTTGCTACACACGAACACTGTGCTAGAGGGATTGGTTTTATTGGATCTCGCCCACCAAGCACACATGTTGGTTTTCTTGGAAATTTCCGCGATGGAAAAAAAAAATACAGCCAAGGCCACGTTGGAGGAGGCGCAGTTGAATCAAGCCAGCGCCGCGATTACGACTTCTGAACAGCAGTATATCGGACGAAGGGATCGATTTCAGGAGGAACTTACGCAACTTCTACGGGACGTTCGCGACGAACGCTCGGAAAATTTCGTTTACCAACAGACTGATGCCGTGTTGGCGGAGTTGCAAGGAAACGTTAATTTCCGGCACACACTGCTTTATGACGAAAATGGAGCACCGCTCTCGGAGGTGGGTAGCCTACAAACGACAGTAAAGGATCCGCAAAGGACTACACATGATGCCCTGTATCGCTTTCACCATACGCAAGTGTACCAAACGGATGCGGGCGGGTTACGGGAACAGTGGAGGAGTTCGATCGCTGCTAAGTTGGCCGGTATTAACTAGGCACCTTGGACGAGGAAATATATATAAACGCGCCTCGATCTTCGAAGAGCGCTCGCGTTCCTTCTTCAGGGCTGCTCTTTGCTCGTTTTTCTTTTTTTCTTCTTGCATGTCGAATGAACAAGAACAGCAGGTAAATGTAAGAACAAACCAAAGGAAGCAATTTGCACACGAAAGCGCGCATGCATGGGCCCTACATACACTAACAATTTTGTTTTTCCTGCATAAAGCTAGCTCGGCGACGGGTTACAGTCAGTCCTCTCTTGGTAGAAGAACAAGAAACGAAAGTCACCTTCCTCAATCACAACAACACTCAGAACTCGAGTTACCGCACAGAAAAATCGTTGCACCACCGTGGATCTGCACGCGCGGCGGGGAAAAAGAACGAGTGAAAGGCAGTTCCTGGCTGCACTTCGGACGGCGCGGGAGAGGAGTTGTTCTTTCTGGAACTGTGCAATAAGACATCATAAGTACATGCCTTTATGTGTCCTTGCCATTTTTTTTTCCCCGCGTCAATCCTTCCGGGTGGCTCCTTTTGCATTGTAGGGCGTAGCAGTTGGAGTTATTCCATTTTTACATTTTCATTGCACGTCGAGACGCCGGGCGTTTTTGTACATCACTTGTTGTTTCAGCATGAGAGAACAAGGATTTGTCATGCTCCCGCCGCAAAATGTGCAGTTGGCGCCACGGTGACGCGGCTTGTTTTTTGTGTGATAACAGAACCAGCAACGAGCGGAACAAGCCCAAAGAGCTCAAGAGCAAACCAGGGAAGCTGCAGGCGGTATTTTCAAACCACTGCTGTTTTTTCATTTTGATTTTAGTGTCTCCATGCGCAGCACCCGTTCTCGTACTCGTACTGCGGGACCACGCGGCTACGGGGGGGACCCCCCCCATCCGTTCTCGTACTGCGAGTTTTGTTGCATTTTTGAGGCCAACTTCTTACGCCAACGTATTGTAAAGTATATTGATCAACGTAAGCCTCTGGGTCTGATACGAGAGCCTGACCAAAATCAAAGCGCGACGACATTCGTATTTTTTTATTCTCCTAACTGTTGCACCTCTTCTAAGTATTGAAATCGCAGGACTAGAGGTAAAAATAAACAGCGCGAGGATTTGTTACAGGACACATCAGCTAGGAGAAAATTATTGTAACGCGCGACGTCATCAAGTACAAGTTATGAGTAAGCATTATTTCGTGGACGCGGCATAATATTGTGCAGCCTATGTCACATCGATGTACGGTTGCGCTTTGTTTTCAGGGTTTGCGCGAAGTCTGTCCGCTTCCGGATCTCTCCCGCAATCTAGGGCGCTTTTTTCCGCGCAGACAAGAATATGTGGCATGTTTGCGAAAACCGAAAAGCCCCACTGTAATTATAATTGGATACTTTCGATATCGACAGGCTGGGCAAAAAAGCCCGGCCTCCGGGAAGCCCAGCACGCGAATAAGTAGCTCAAAAGGGGTCCGCAGAGCCCAAAAGCGCACGCCCTCCGGGCGTCATGGTATGCGTGTAGCGGGTGCGCTTGGGCCCAAATAGCTCTACAGTACCCTCCGCAGGCCGAAGGTTGCCTCGTTTCCGAATTTTAGGACACTAATGGGAAAGGTCGGCTGTTCGAGGCCGAGGAACCTCGCTCTGGTGGGGCCCCGAAAAAAATGCCGTGCCCGCGGGATGCGTGACGTGTTGAAAATGGGCCTACCTGATGAAACCGACAATGAAAAAACGTTGCGCGCGAGAAATCCGGGCGAAGCCCGGCAGACCTAACCTCGGACCCCGCTGCTCGAGGTCTGGGCACGACCTGCTCGCACTACTGCGGACAGCGGATAAGTCGCGGTCCTGGAGGACTTGGCTGCATCGGCATGCAGGGGCGCAGCTTCATCGCCGACGACAGTCCTTTTCGTTGTGCTGGGTGTCCTCGTTCCTGTAGTTGGATTTAGAGAAGGCGCGTTCCTCGTGAAAGGCGCCCGGGTAGAAGAAATGCCGCAGTGCAAGAAGGGCACAGCGTCCATTCATATGGGCGTTTCTAAGAAGGGGTTAGAGAAGTAGCAGTCTGTTTGGTGTGAGCCAGAAAATTTGTCTCGCTCCCTCAATTGCTAGCTTGACTGCCAATTTTTCGGACAATACTCAGGCCTGATAGCAAGCAGCATCACACCCTTGGAGGAAGCATATGTTAGAGAGAGGGACGGGTTTGAGGGCCGCATCAACGGCCCGGGGGACGAGGCCACGTTTGCGGCGTTGCTGGAGGACGTTCAAGCTGTGCTGGATTCCTTGGAGCATAATGTAAGGGAGCGCGAAAACTTGCTTTCCGAGGACGGCGACGTCGCCAAGTTTGTCAAAAGTACCACTACGAAGACGGTCGACAAAAATGGGCCGAGGCGAATGTTGGCGGCGGTCGCGGAAACCCATGGCGCAATGCTTCTGAGGCATAAAAGTGAGGCCACGGAAATCGGTGCCAATTGGCAGGAAGCCATCCAGAAGAAGCTGGACGGTAAAGGCGCTTACAATAAATAACGTGCGTGCCTTGTTCTGCTCATCTGCCGCGCCAAGTGACCTGGTCTAAGTCTCAGCTGAACTTTGGCGCTTTGCCGCCTATGAGAGTGCGCAGCCCCCCCTTCTCCCTCTTTTCCCATGCAAAGAACCGAGTCCGGCAGCCGCAAATGCATTGAAGGCACCCTGCGCGTGACAAGGTTCGGCACCTTAAACGATACGGAAGGCTGCGCGCCTGCTTCCGTTGCTGGCCCTCCTTCCCAAACGAGGAGGAGGCAGGTTTTGCACGCTCATGCGACCACAGCCGATCACATTCAAAAACGGTCGCGCGCGCGCGACTCGGGTGTCCATATTGACATACGCCAGTGATGCGTTTTGCTCTGGTGGATCTCACGCCTAGGCGGGGGGGGGGTCGGCGCAGGGCTGAAAAGGCCGCGGTAACAGAGCGCCTTTCCGAGGCCATAGAGGGTGTCGGTGCTCCATCTCCCTGGGTACCCCCCGGGCCAGGGCCTTCGCTGCTGAAGAGTGAGGGCGGCGCTTAGTCAAGCTCCGGCGGCGATATGTTGCGACATTAGTTGCCAGCTACTTACGCACAGGAACCAGCTTCATGAGTCGTTTCACAGCTTGCGCTCTCGTCGCCTAGACAGGGGGACGCGGGGCTGATGAGCTTGCGCGCGGTAGGGTCGCGTATCTATAAGACTCATGGCACGCAGCAGGAGGAAGTGCAAGACTGCGACATTTGAAATTTTCGTGCCGGATATTATGTATGGGCATACGCTGCCTCTTTAAAGCTACCTAGCTACCTTTATTTCTTTTGGCACATGATAATAATTACGCGGCTTGCAATGTGTCAAGAGAGTGAAAATATTAGGCGCCAGCGGCTGGTCCGCGTTCGATGCCAACGTCAGGGATTCGAAGCTTTGCGCGATGAAAAAAAAAAACAAAAACAGCCGCGGCGACCAAGAATGACCATGGTACTCAGCAGTCTTCCTTGATTCTTTTTGCAGCTATGGGAGCGCATGAAAGACTCCAGTGGCGCACAGTTGCTTCTGTGAGCGGCCTCTCGTGCTGCACGACTTGCGTGGTGAGTACGTGAATCAGTTCGAGTCGCTTGCATATGTGAACTAACGCGATGCATGTATAGAAAGCTTCGTACATCCATCCACACGTATGACATTCCTCAAATCGATTTTACTTTGCGAGCCCACCGGTTCGGCCTGTGGCGAAAGACTCGACCGGGGCCGAGACAGCATCTCGCAACGCGTCAGCTTGCTAGCGTGATGCGAGGACCTGGCAGGAGGATGGAGATTTCGATATGTCCTGTGGGAGAACTCTGTTGCCACAGAGTCTGTCCAGCAAGGCGGTAGAAAATCTCGTTGCGGCGATGATCAAAGAGTCTTGATGCGAGAGGACTTCCGTGTTGGCAACTTTCTCGGACTAGTGCAAAAGTGCCAACTTATTTTAATATCTGGGATTGCCGCATAAGTGGGCTAGCACCCGCGTATTCATGATGCCCAACGAGCATAATGGATGCACATTCTCAACCCCGTCCATCTGCGGATGAGGAGCGCGACAAGGTCGTCCGCTTGTGTAGCACTACGTTTAAACGCTCCAACGCGAACCGCGCGCGCGCCTGCAGATGAAAATATGCGTGACAGCTTTCGCTGCCTGTCACCGCCCTCCGCAAGAACAGCTGAAATAAAAATCGGAGTACATGAAATAGAGATCTGAAGCAAACAGAGTAGAGAGGGACTCACTATTTGGGTCTTGTATGATTTTCATTTCGCAATCGCAACGGCGACCGTCCACGGTCACATTTTCGTGTCCAGAAAGCAACGGCTTTGCGCGGACGGCTGCTGCTGCGGATGATATTCGGCACGAGGCATAAGTGACTTCTCTGCGGTGCCGTTAACTTCGGGAAAAAGTCTTTGAGCCTTGCCTTTGCATTTAGGTTCAGGGCCGGCGCTTCATCAGTGACGGCAGCTGTAGCTACTTTCGTTCTACTGCGAACTGTCCGGGTTTTTGGAAAATTAATCTGCCTTGCAGCAAAAAGAAACTGCTGGGTAGGACACAGGCTTCTATATCTATTCGAGTGTGCCCATATTTTCAACTGGTGCCTTTGAGCCACTTGAGAAGCGCCTTACTACTCGTCTGAGCTAAGAAATTAGCTGTACTCGGCCACGTTCTGGATTTGCTACCTTTCAAACAATCTTCAGAATTGGAAAATCAAGTTCGGGCGTCTGAAGGCGAGTACGACACGATAAAAAAGAGTTTTGAGCAGGAGATTCAAAACGGGTCGGATCCTGGTATGGTCGAAGGGTTGTTCCAGAAAGCTGGCGACAAAATAAACGAATTGGGCCTGAACTGGCAACGGAGGAACAGCCTGCTCATGACCCCCGATGTAGGGGCGCGCGTGGCTACGAAGAATGCATCGGGGGGGCGGAGGCATGGGGAATTGCTACAGCATCACAGTACGGAATTGCAAACGTTGGGGACAGCGTGGTACGGTCTGATCGAGCAGAGGAAGGCCGGTAAGACATCTAAAGTTGGTAGCTAGTTGGGTGGGGTTTTCTTCTTCATCTACTTTCGTCTTATTTCCCGTCTTTAATGCGCGAACTATTACTATTGCCCTCGTCCGCTCTGTTGCTGTTTGCAGGTCCGACAGCAGACGACCGATGCAAGAATATACTTAGATATTAAGCACGCTGGATCGTGTAGCGGTTCCAGCCCGTACTTCTTTTTTCTATTTTTATCCAACCAAGAAAAAAAAGTTTCTTTGTATATGCAGCCCTTTTTTATTCGAGGAACAGCGTCCGTCACAAATATGTATAATATGACAGCGAAAAAGAAGTGTCATGCAGCACAGAGAGTACGCCTACGCGAAAAGGAAAACCCGCATGCGTTGGCCCTACAACCATACCTGACCAGCATCTTCCATTTTGCGCATCAGGAAGTTTTTTTTTTTCTTGCGTAACGAGTTAAACTCGTTCTCTCGCTCGACTACAAACGAAACTGCAACTCCTCAATCAAAACAACACTCAGAACTCGAGTTACCGCACAGAAAAACCGTTGCATCACCGTGGGTTTGTGCGCGCTATGGGAAAAAAGAACGCCCGAAAGCCGGTTGTTCGTGGTCACTTTTGTTCGGTGGGGCGTGGAAAAGGTCTTGCTTTATCTGGAATTGTGCGAAGGAGCATAGTACTATGCATTGCAAGTACGTAGGCTGGGTCTGGAATGTGGATGCAAACTTGTCATGCGCATTTCAGATCACGGGAAAATCTGTCATGCATGGACAGGAAAAGAAGATGCCCACTTCTGGTTCCCGAAAGGGATGATTTGTCATGGGAATGGGGCATTGAGAAATCATCTGAAAACCTGTGAAGATGCTTGGGGTTGCATGGCAGACCTTCTACTGGGATGTCACAAAAAAAACACCAAGACAAACACCTGCACACATCCAGATTCAGACATACTTGCTTTGGATACCTACATTTTCATATGAGTCCTCGCCATTCGCCCCTGCCGCTCCGGCTAGATATGCTGTACTTGGTTGACGCTGGCTTCAGCATTTGGAATTTGCATTGGAATGCGTAGAAAGCAGTCATTTCAGGTGTTTGTTCATCGCATGTCGAGACGGCGGGAGTTTTCGTAGACCCCTTCGTTTTTCACCATGGGAGGGATGTTTGTTATGTGGCTGACACAAAAACAAAATTTGAAGTAGGCGCCACGGTGGTGCGGTTTTCTGTGTGATGTCAGAGCGAGCAAGAAGCGGCGCGGGCCAAGGAGGACGCCAAGACCGAGGCAAAAGGTACTTATTTATACGAAGTACTGGGCGTTCTTAGTATTTTGCTGTCTCCATGTGCATATTAAGCACGGGACCGCATTGTGTCACGCGTTCGCTAGTGTCTAGCCCATTTGTTTTTCCCGCAGTGTATCGTCTATGCTTCTATGTAGTGAGCTCACGAGCGTTCGTCGGCCGCGACTATTATTCTTGGCAGCTGCCATCTGGTTTTATGCACTATGCCGTTGCCATGACAAACCAAATTTTATTTGCTTCGAGACGTGGCAGCCTCAATTTTCGTTTTTCGGATTTCTTTGTTTTGTCACAGATCTCCTGGGGATGTCACTTCCCGGCGCGCCTCTTTTCTCACCGTAAAAACAGACTTCTGAAAAATAAATCAGAGAGAATGCGGCACCTCCACACAGCCTACAAGGCGCTTCTTACCAACCTGGATGCGGGCAGAAAATCTGTGGCGAGTTGTGTTGACGAGGGTTCCCTCGCTCAGCTGGAGAGCCAGCTCGTGGACTTGCTTGGAAATCTAGGCGACAACGTGCGCACCCGGGAAGCAGATCTCTCGACCAACGCAGATGCATTCAGTCAGGACACGAGCTTTTGGGGGATGGGTACTCTTGCTAGCGCATGGGGAGGAGATGTATTTGGCGGAGACAAACCCTTAGTGTACAAGGACAAGGTCGATTTCCAAAGATTGAAGCCACAGGTGGAAAAGGAGATCCGCGACAGACGCACAGGTAAGGAACTTAAAAAATGCATTTGGGAAAGACTGGGACAGGGCCGAAGCTTCGGCACCTCACTCTTCCGCCCGTGGGCGTTGTGCGTAAAGAGAAATTTTTGGTCGTGCCATTGCTAACTTGGATTCGATTGCCTTGTGAGTTATAATTTCATTTTTTTATTCGCGGAAAAACCCTCAGTGGCGAGGTTAGACCGCATGCAAAAAGCATGAGCGCGCGATGTTTTTCAGTTTTTGTGCTATTGGCGTAAATTTCAATTCTACCCACTCGCGGGCGTCGCGATGCAGCTGGGCATCCGGTTTCGCGGAAGCCTCGCAGCTGACGCCCTGCACCCAAGAAGCACTGTTTGCAAACGTGCTTAATGTGCCAGGCACAAGCCTCGGGAAGAATCTGCGGCGTTCTTAGCTGTCGCGCTTGCAGTCGCGCCCCCACATTCAGTGTCCGCGCTATTTCTTTTTCGCTGCGGCCTTGATGAAACGCGCCCCTGCGGTGGATTAGGGAGGCTGTCAGGCATGTGGAAAAGTGGCTGCACAGATATGCTCGCGAAGGAATTCTGAAAGCATTACGCGCACAGGTAAGTATGTCTATGTTCGGGACCGCAACTACTCAGCGCGAATGGCACGTATTGTTTTGATATCCTTATAGCGCGTTGCGTCCTATCACCGACGTCTAGTTTCTGTGGGTTGCTGCCCTTCTCCTTGTCAGGGCCAAAAATAGAAAAACTGGACTTCCGCAATTACCAAAACACTCAGCAATCCAGCTACCGCACCGAAAAGCCGTATCACTGTGTTGCTGTGGGTAATATCTGTAGCGGGTAGAAAATGTAAAGAAGGGACAGCAGAAGTACAGCTCGCAGGCGAGAGGCGTTCGCCCTCCTGCCTCGCCGAACTGCTGTGCGCGGTTTTCGACTTTTTTGCTTTGCCATTTATATGTGTGGCAGTGATCTTGGCCTTCATCTTGGTGGAAGTTGCCTCATGAAGAGGTACGTGACGCTTAGCTACAGATAAGGCTTGGCCGCACAGCGCTACAGTGACGCGGCTTTTTCGTCTCACAACAGACGGCGGACGGGCGCAGAGGTAAGTAGCCACCATATTTGTTTGATTTTTTTTGTGCCAGCGAATTTTAAATATAGGCCAAAGAACAAATAGAAATGCAGTGCGTTTCTATTTCTGTATTCGTAATTGTATTTTTATTTCGATCTCAGTTCGAATTCGAACCTGCAGCTGCAGCTGTACACACAATAGTCGGCCCATAGAATCTATACAAAAGCTGGGACGACGGTGTGAAGGCCTGCACAACATGCGTAGAGTTTTTCTTAGGACATCGAGACACACAGCCTGCCTGTTGATTTCCATCTTCATTATCTCTGCAGATGAAGTTGCGACTTTTGTATTCATGGTTTGGAAATTTATTAAAAGCTGGAAACTATGAATGGTTTGGAGACCACAATACGGAGCGCACCGGAAGCGCGGACGTTCATTCTTGGAGCCTCAACCCGAATATGCGGGAGGTCGCCCCCACGCTCGGAGTCTGTAGCCCAGGGCAGACGTCTCTGCTCGGGATGGAACGTTCAGGACAGACACGGGAAAAACAAATGAAACATATCAGGCCAGATGAGAGAACTCGGGGGAGAGTATGCTACTCGGCAGCAGCAACTGGAGGCATGGGGGAGCACCGTGCAGATACCTGCGGAAAAACGTCCCCGCCCCAGAGTCAAGATGAGGACTCTCGCTGTTGCGCGTGAGAATTTTCTTGCGCCCATAGTGTGATCTTTTTTGTTTTTTGCCTAGTGCAGCCGCGTCACAAATCGGTCCTCTTCCTCCTGATTCTAGCATGACAAATCCCAAATCGCGACTAGACGACATTTCGCATGTTGAGGGAGGCTGCGCAAGAGAAACTTTTTAAGCGTGCTGGTTGGCATGACGAATCTGGGGTGGGGGTGTTTGTCCTCAGGATAGTAGAATCCTGACAGCGAGTTGAACCATGCCACCGACGCCGAACAATGGCGCACGAACTTACTGTGAGGAAAAGCGCCTCCTTCGCATATTCAGCCGTAGACTTGCATGATGCCGGATTCGCGAACGCCACTCCGTCGAGTTTTATTGCGCAGAGGCACAGGGGCACGCTTGCGATCTAGTTTGCAGGCGATTTGTCATGGTAATGCCGTTGCTGCCTGCTGTCATGCTGAACACGCCACGCGAGCGCTTCTTTATGCCAGGCAGCACTACGGTCCGCATTACTTCTACCCCTGTGAGGACATGACAACCGGACTGAGGATAGCAAATCATGCTACGCCACCAGTCTTCGCTTGAGTATCAGCTGGGGGCTTTTTTTCATTTTTATACGAGGCCGACACGCAGTTCGTGATCCCTTTGGACAATGCAGTCGGGCGAGGGGAAGGCGTTCTTTCGCAGATATGCATTGCAAATATGTCTGGGTCTGGAAGAGTGAAAGCCTGTGATGCTGCCTTTGGATTCAGAAAAAATCTGTGGTGCATGAGGAGCAGGAGAGGTCCAGTTGTTGCTCCGCGGAGAGGGCATTTCCCATGCGGAGTAGGCATCAAAAAGCCCGCAAAAAATCTGTGATGCTAGGGCATGCATCACGGACAAGACATCGCGAGCTATTCAAAATATGCATGACAGACCTTGCATCCTTCCAGACCCAGACATATTTGCACTTGATAGAAGATTGCCAGAGACAATAAAGCAGTGCAAGGGCTCCTCATGTTAGAGGCCGATCAATTTCGCGTCGCTACTCAGACCGCCAAGGAATCTGCCAAGAAATGGAGAGAATTCCTTGGGGATCTGGCCGCGAATAGACAAGGCGGTAAGGAGTGTAGTATTTTTAACAAACTGCAGCGTTGTTTTATATGTATCTCGAGAAAGAGCAAGATAGGCGGAATGAATATGAATCACGGACGTCAGCTGTCCCGTTCGCCTTGTTCCTCTGCCCCGCTCTGTTTGTCTCAGCCGGAGAGCGACTCGGCGAGGTTTTAAAATTAAAAAGGGAACGAGGGTCCGATCTTACTAGCCATCCAAAAAGATGTTGATCCTCTTGTTGCGGACGGCACGCTTGTAGCGCACCCGTTTCGCGGGGCGGCCTGTCTTCTTGCAATGCACACTGACAACAACAAGGCAGGGTGTTGTTCGTGGCGAAGCCTCCTCTTATCGTATTGAAAAGGGCCAGGGCCCGCACCCCAGAATGTGGACGTGTTTGGGCTGCAAAAGTTCCCAATGGAAGCATTTGCCACTTTGCATCTATCAGCATGACAAGTTTGCAAACCAGAATAGCTGATGAAGGAGAAGGCTGAGTTGGACATGGACAGCGCCATAGTGTCTGTCCTATCGAAAAAGCATGTCTGGCTCAGATTCCGAAACAAAATGCCTCGCATTTTCCTTTTCATGCAATTATACAAAGACTTGTTTCATCATCATCTTCCGTGTGGAAAGTTTTAGTTTACAAGACAAACAGTCTGGGTTTCTGGTGGTGTGCTGGGATGTTTCGTTTTCATAGCTCTTTAGCGTGTTGGTTTCCAACCTGCTCTCGCCCTGGTGGAGTCGGCTGTCTTGCTCTTCGCATAGGAAACAAAGTATCACATGCAAATATAATGTGTGGGTCTGCCTGGGAGAGTGCAATGAAGGTTGTCATGCGCATTCTGCATGACCACCGGTTTTTGATTTTGTCATGTATGCCCTGGAAAAATAAAGGGGATGCTGAAGCTGAATGCCTATATTCTTGAATGACAACGAATTGATTCGCAAAAACTGGAGCTGGGCCGCATATATTGCTCATGCAAGACAGTATTTTGTAGTATGACTATCCAGAGATGACAGCATCATTCCAGACCGAACACCAGACGTATTACTATATTTATATAAGGCAAACTTTGGGGCCGGAGAGGGTCCGGTAGAGGTTGGGGAGAGGTTTCGTAGAGGTCAGACAGAGGGTCGGAGAGGTAAAATAGAGGGTCGGCCAGAGCAAGAGGGTCGGGGAGAGGTCAGGCGAGGGGGTACGGAGAGGGTGGGGAGAGGGTGCGCCGTATATGGACCCGTATAGCGGCGCTATACGCGCGCAGAGGGTGGGTAGAGGTTGAGTAGAGGTCAAGTAGAGGGTGGGGGGAGAGGGTGCAGAGGGTCGGAGAGGTTCCACAATATAGGGCGACCCTCTATGTGACCCTCTACCGCGACCCTCTCCGGGCGCCTCTATTTTACCTCTCGAAGGACCCTCTCGGGACCTCTCCGACCCTCTCCCGGGCCCTCTCCGGGACCCTCTCTGAACCTCTCCCGGACCCTCTCCGAACCTCTCCCAGACCCTCTCGCGGACCCTCTCCCGGAACATCTACCAGAACCGCTCCCGCAATGCAGTTGGTTCGCCCGCCTGCGCGCAATACCTGGATCTTTAGGCAAGAACGAAACTAGGGCCTAGCGGTGAATGTCGGCAAGTCTTTTCACTCTAGACCAGGGCGTTTGTTCAAAGTGAATGCGCCGCTCTGCGTCCCCCTGGGGGGGCGCGGCGCCACGCCTTAACGTACGCGGCCACCTAGGGTGGCCGCAACTTCACACAGCGCCCGCGCGCGGGCAACAGGTGCGGCGCCTTTGTAGCGCAATGAAATTGGTTGCAATGAATAGTATGACTATCCAGAGATGACAGCATCATTCCAGACCGAACACCAGACGTATTTGCATTTGATAGAAACCTCGGCCGGGGTCACAGTTCACAGGACCAAAAGCCTTGAGAAGTGAGGGAAGAACGGCCGTTCGGCGAGAGTCTTTCCACCTCCTTTCACCCGGCACTGTATCCTCTGCAAATAAAGCGTCCGGATCGGGAAATCTGCTACGCAATAGATTACGCGGCGCTTTTTCTGTGCGTGACACGTTTGGGTGCGGTGTATTCGTGGCTGGGTAGAAGTGCAGTTGCACGACAGGTCGATCTTCGGATCTTGATATAGAGCATGACAAGTTTGTTGACTTAGAAAATGCTCCTCATGTTCTCGGAGCTGCCCATGACAGAGATTCGCATTCTGGGCATGGAAAATTAAAATCTTGCGCGACAATACTTCGCGTTGGGACGTTTCTAGCATGCTTAGTGCATGCTTAGAAGTGCAGTCGCTCGCCCGGTACGGACCCGTCAGAGCCACTGTTTTAAGTATTTTGCCACGCGCAAAAAAAAGCGGCAACTTGACTTGTCAGGCGCCTATTTTTAGATCTTGTCCTCTGGTTTCCGAAGAGACCGCGTGATAGACCTGGTGAGCACACCGAAGCAAGGATTAGTTTGATTTTTACAGTGCGAATGCAGCGTCTGGGCCGACCCTGCATATTTCTCTATAAAAGAGAAACAACAAAAAGTCTGATTCCCCATCAACAAAAAACACACACAGAAATCGAGTTATCAACCAAGAAAACCGTACCACTGACAGCCTGTGACAGCTGTATCGGAAAAAAGGTGTCGTGTAAGTAGGTGTCACCTTATACGTTACTGTGAAGGAATATGTTGTAGAAGTGAGAGCACTCGTCTCGGACGCGAGCCTTTCTCCGGGATGACAAATAGATATTTTTTTACAGAACTTCGACTTCCTCCTACCCCCGGGAACAGTTTTTTTGTATCTTGGCTCCGTAGCTCGTAGTAAAGTTTATTTTACTCGACAAACATATAAAGTTGTGCATCTAGCTTTGTCATGCGAGGAGTGGCGCCATCCAGTCCTTTGTAGCTGAAGACCACTGGCGTGCGGATGGCAGAAAAAGTAAAAGACGAAGTCAAAGACCGTATTACAGTGGTACGGTTATTTTTTTGTGTGACAGGAAGCGGCACAACGAGCACGCGCCACAGGTAAGAAAGTACTTATTCAGCGTTTTGGGTTTGATGATTCGATGTCTTGCGGCTGGTGATAGAACAGATTGACTCAAAAGCAAAAGTCGAAAGAGTAGTGGAGTGCTAGTAGTTCTGGTGTTAATATTCAGAACACCGGCTGTGCCTGAATTATGGACTGGCACTGCGTTTTTGGTGCCGATTTTTTGCAGGTGGGACAAGCTGCATCAGTCTTGCTCTTGTCTATATGAAAATAATAAACATAAAGACACTAGTACTCCTCATGGCGCGAAGGCGTTCGCAAAGTATTGTATCTGCCGGCGTCCTCTACCTCTTCCTCTCGTTCCGAGACGGGAATGAAAAAAACAAAAATACATCACCAGAACATTTCCGGGCAGAAATGGGGCGGCTTAGCGCTGGCACTTCGCAGATCATGAAACAGCTGCAGCAAGCTGTCGCGCAACGTGGTGTTGAAGTGAGCAACTGCCAAGACGAAGCGCAGTTGAAATTCCTCGAGGCAAACCAACGTGACGTCGTGGCTCCCTTGGAAGAAAACATTCGCGCGCAGAAAGACGTGATCGAGGAGTATAAAGACAAGGTCGACGCTCAGGGAACACGTGATGCAGCACACTACCAGGGTGAAATTCAAAAGGTCGAACATCAGGTGGTTGCGAAGGCGAAAGAGCAGCTGGACTCATTTATCGCCGATAGGAGAACAGGTGAGGGAAGTAGAAAAAGAAGCAGTAAAAGATAACCTGTGATGAAGTGCCATGATTTTAAAAGTCCTACCTCCCCGTATTGAAAATGGACAGACAACGCATTTGGCGTTGCGGATTTATGTACAGAAATAATGCAGGTACAACTACTTGCACTTGGACAGCAAGAGCAAGGCCAACAGGAACAAGCCTTGGACAGGCTATTTCTAATGCGTTTCAACAACAGCCTATGCCTACAGTTGTGTGAGAATCTATGATGCTGAAGGGCCAGAGGACGAGGACTTCAGGAGACCTGTGCGGGCCTGGTTGGCCTAGAATGCGCCTCCATGATTCCCTTGCCGCAAGACGCACTTAACGCAAATCAAGCGGGGGCACAAGGCTCTTCTTGAATCTGGGGAGGGGGCGGGACTCATTTTTCCTCGCTATATGATAATGAAGACCAAGAGCAAAAAATAAGTCACTAGCTTTCTACTTTACGCGGCCTCCGCCCCTGCTATTGCCTGTCAGAGTGTGCGTGGTGCTCTGGCCACAGGGCACAAAGAAGGGCTTCGGGCCAGCGACGAGTTCCGTCTCAGGTCCGCGAGGTCCGCTGTTTTGGAGCGACGCCGGGTCAGCACGCAGCCGCCCGCGTGACAAAACACGCACTCGCCCGCACTCCCGCCCTGCTCGGCCTTGTGCCGTTTTGTTTCCAACAGCCGCGGAAACGCGCGAGTGAGGACAGCCCGTGTGGCGTCTGTCCCGTGCTGCGAATGCTTTTTCACCCTAAAAACCATATCAGAGTGTACAAATGCTCTGGTCAGCACGAGTAGCATCGATATGGTCTGTGGCGCAGACCGCGGCTGCGTGGCTGTGGGCCGCCTGCTGCGCCACTCGCATGGGCGAGCGCGCTGGGCCCTTTGCTCAGTACCGCGTGCCTGGAGCAGGGGTCGAGCCAGCAATAAATACCAATCTGAAGTAGAAAATCGACTTCCCCAATCACAATCGTAAACAGCCATCAAGTTACCGACCAGAAAAACCGCGTCACTGTGGGCCCGTTCTTGCTATCGCATCGGGAAAGTAAGAAGTAGATGAGGGGATGAAGGCATGGTCGTGTCGGTGGGGAAGGAGGACAGGAGGTGTCTAGGGCCAGACGCTGTGCAGGGGGGCCAAGCAGCTCTTTTTCTTTGTTGGGTATTTATTTTGTATGTTGCCAATACTAGTACCGCGAAGTTTGTCATGCAGAAGAACGATCACTGACTTTCAGTTCACCCGAACAAACAATATATAAAGTAAGTAAAGCAAAAGTGGTCGAAGCCGGAACTACAGTGATGAGGGTTTTTTGGGTGACAAAAGCAGCAGCAAAACGCTGACGCGGAATGGGCGAAAGCAGTCGAAGCGTCCGAAATCGAGTATGAACGGATCAGGAGCAGATTGGACCAGGAGCTTGGACCAGGTGCAACTGCGGCTACGCTTCAACGTTTGTTGCAAAAAGATTACGAAGAAACGAAACGGCAGTTGCACGGCAATTTGCAGACGCGGTGGCAGTTGCTCACGAATGACATAGGAAAGCGCCTGCACGAAAACTCCAGCCTGCGCCCGAATAGTCTCTATGGCAGATCCCCTAATGTGGGTCAGTCGTTTCAGGCAGTGTATACAAAGCACAAGACGAGCTTTGAAAATCTGGACCGCACGACGGGCCAGGATATCCAAAACAGGCTAGGTAAGGGACTCGACGAAGCGGCCAAACTTACCGATGCTATCGATGGCATTACGAACGAACGGATGAAGCATTTCAATCCTTGCATAGACATGCGTCAGGCGATGCCGCTGGCGCAGCGCCAACGCTTGTGTAAAACGGCGATAGATCATATCGAAAGCGCCGAGAAGTTGGTAAAAGAGAATCAAGAGAAGGAAAGAAACAAGCCCGCCTCGGCAATAACCGAAGAGAACCTGACTGCGTGGACAGCTTTCGCCCCAGATAGAATGACGGCCACGGGATCATGGTATGGCAAACAAGAATTATCGCAGCTGGCCAAGAATATGCGCAGATATTTCTTGGATGTCGATCCGACAAGTGGGCAGAAGGCCTTAGGGGTACTTGCGGTGCGTAAAAAGCAGGCAAACGACGCCCTCCAGGCTGCAGTAGAACAAGACAACGAGCGGCAGCGTCAGCAGCAGGCGGCAGCAGCAGCGTCAGCTGCAGCAGCGGAAGCGCCGCCGCCGCCCCCGCCGCGTCTTTCCCCCACATCCGGCGGCGGCGGATACGGGCCACCACCACCACCCGGCGGCGGATACGGGCAACCACCACCACCCGGCGGTGGTGGTGGTTACCAGGGCTCGATTTTCGGAGGTATGCCGAGTCTCCTCGCAGGCCTCGGTACCACACCAGGTCACCCGCCACAACCTGGAGGTCAGCAGCCACATCTTCCTCCATCTCAATCTCCGCCACCACCACGAGAAGTCGCCCAAGACCCACACTACGTCCGCGGAATGGTTTTTGAGCAAACTGACCTTAACCAGGGTGCGGCGCGTGCCGCACGTACCGAGGCGCCGCTTACGCATTTCTGGTTGGCGTACGGCAACCTCGCCCTGACCTTGAACCGCACGCGCGTCGTTTTAATGTACGGGAACCAGATTTGGTCGGGCCCCTCTCGGCATCCACCAGCCCCGCTGCTCAGGGACACAGGCACGTACGTCGCGCCCGCCCGATATGCCTGTGAAAGCATTTTCGTTCTGTTTCTGCACTCCTGGAGGCAAGGCATACTAGCTCTCCCGCGAAGGAAAACGGCGTGTGTGCGTCTACAGCATCTGTAATGCGTAGTTAAAAATGGCTTTCGCTTTCCTCTCTGCCGGGAAGTCGCGTTGCGAGTTCTTGCGCGTGATTCATGAGCATGCCGATCGGGATTGGTGCTCGCAGTGTTGGAGGCGGGGGGCCGTCTTTGAAAAATCAAAACCGGCCGAAGACGGACCCGGGTGGGTGCGTTTTGCATCCCCCTGCGCCTGAATGGCGCAAGCCATATGCCATACCAGACCGGCAATGGCGTACGCCTTCAGCATCACACGGGGGAGTATTTCCATGCCTTAGCTGTTTTCATGTCTTTGTACTGGTGGCGGTGTCACTAAAAACAGAATATCTGTGGCGCGAAGCAGCTACCAAGGTACGCGCTTTGTTTCCATGCGCGGCCGGGCGCAGCTGCCTCTACGCGATTTGCACTACGGCAATGGAAGCAAGGGGCGGGAAAAATTTGTATTGCTACTCCAGAAAAGGTAGGGGCGCATTTGTGAAACTGCGAAGCGTCGCCGATAAGTATTCATATTTTGGGTGAGTAGTCCGCTCTAGTAGGAGTCTGCCTTCCTGTTTTTTACGGAATGCGAGCGCGATTCGGATCGCAGCATCCGGGCCCTCGTAGACACGATTTTTATATATGGCGTAAATGTAGTTGTAGGCATCTTGCAGCTGCAAGAGGACCATGAATCGCGGCAAGGGCCGTGTGTCCTGTGTAAAAACGTACCCACCCCTCTTGAATCCTTGGGAGTCACGCATGACTGCAGCCTATGATTGATTTGCCAGGACAGTCCTATCAAAAGGCCGCTTGCTCATCATATTTGCAGTATTACACATTGCAAGACTCGACTGGGTAACCCTCGGACCGAGACGGGAATCTGCATCATGAGCATGTTGTGGATGGCTCTAGGGTGGCTATGTTTGATGAAGTCATGATATTATCATCTTCATAGTGGAGTAATTATATCCGTGGAGCCTGTATCCTGAAATGTCTCCGTTTTGCCGACGGGGGCGGAAGCAGAATGTTTTTGGGTTTGATTTTTCGTTCGTTGGGTATCGGAGCACATAACCGAGGTGCGGCATGCGCCAGACGAAGCGGGGGAGCAGGAGCTGCCAGGCGCTGGAAGAAAGCAAGCTCGTTTTTGCGAAGATGAAAAATGCCGCCTCCACTCCGGAGCGAGTTGGGAAATGTTTCGTTGCGCGACAGAATTTTTATTTTCCTACTGAGCTATGTGGAGATGTCGACATTGTTCGCCATCTTGGGTCTCGCTGTATGTTGCAACATGACAAATTTATTGAGACCTGGACTTCTGGCAGCAGCTTGTGTAGAACTTCTACACAAGCTGCTGCCAGCCAGGCCTCCCTTACATTTTGGCGCGCCACTTCTACAGTAGAAGTGAGGCGCCACACCAGTGTAAGGGGGGCCGGTTTATTTCATGAAGTTGTAGTTAGGGCTGCATATTTTTGCTATCGATAAACGCGCCGAAAAAAAAACGCGTCCCAAAGAACCCAAGCGTAGTTTTCTGCAGGACAAGTAAAGTTATCGGTAGAGAAGCTACTTTGCAATAGAAACATTTCGCCAGCCCCAGCCGTCTGGAGGAGGGAGTGGGGCGCTTTTTTCTCTAATACCCGCGAAGAAAAGCTGCAAAAACGCGACATGTCCGATCGCCCGACAACAGTAAGAAAGTACAGGAAAAGAAAAGCAGTTTTACTAGAGAGTTGAAATGCAGTTCCAGATTCTGCACCGCACCAGGGACAGGCACACGACTGCTCATTTTGCTAGAAAAGCGTGCAAGAGCATGCTCTACTGATCAAGTTCGCAGACGCATGACAAATGTGCCCTGTCGTGCCAAAGTGAAGGGATTAAAGCAATTCTTCATTTTATTTTTCTACATTTCTAATTTTTTTTTTGCTTCACACATCAAGAATATTTCGAAGTCATCGCACGTATTTGCTTTTTCAAAACAATTTCAGCTACGATTCTCATTGTCATGAGAGTCGAGTGAGTTTTTTTTCTCAAAAATTATTTCGCTTTATTCCGAACGTTCACCGTGTATTCCTATTCAATGAATAAACCATGTCATCAAGTTGGACACATTTGAAAAATTGCACGTCTTAATTTTAGTTTCTCAACCAAATTTTAGTTTTCCGCTTTACACATAAACATCATCGTTTCAAAGTCATTGCTAGTTTTCTCTCGGTTTTTTTTTCGATTTTAGCAACTATGATTCTACCTCTTTTTTGTCTCTTTATCTTATCTCATCTTGAGTCTAAGTCGTTTTTTTTTTTTGCTGCTCTTCCTACGGCATTCCGACTTTTATTTCTGAGTACCTAAAGAATTGACATTAGCATAATTACTCGTCTATAGCAATAGCTATATCTATCACAAAGTTTCACACCGGTCGGCCACTTCATGTAGTTGGAAGTTGCGAGGACACTGTGTGCCTGTGCCAGGAAATGACAATCAGTTCTGGAAAGTGAGAAAATGTTGGAACAGCTGCCGGAAAATCTGAATCTGTCAAGCTGGACAACGTGAAGATGTCAGGGACGTGGGCGAGAAGTTTCCTAAGTAGAGATGAAGCCCATCAGAATGATAGTAGACTCCAACTTGGCACGACATGAAGAAAAACGCAGACCACTTGCAAGAACGACAAAGAAAAAACGCGACGTCTCGATGGGTGTTCTTGTTCTTCAAATGTGTTGAAGAAAAGTAGAGAAAGGCTGGATTTTGTGACTCCATTCTTGTTCCTCGGAGGTTTCCAAGCGAAGTACGAACAACGCACACCGAACTTTGGATCCCATAAATGCGAGGACACAGATAGAATAGATCCGACGTGGTGGTTAGGATTGCCTGACTGCTTGCGTGCGTGGTGGTTAGGATTGCCTGACTGCTGACGTGTGCTCCCGTCTGGCGCGTGAAGTTATTACATTGGCCAGTATAAGACTCTCGGTGGACCTGCCAGGGTTGGGCTATTTCCCCGTCCCCCCTGTAAGCATGTTGATCTTAAGCCCGGGGTTTGTATGACACGAGGGAGGGGTGCAGGTTCATCGTTAGCCGCCTCTACTATAGCAGTAAGCGTGGTCAAGCTTAGCTCATGAAAGCACTCGCCGGAGCTCTTACAGCCCCGAGTACGCCCCACTCCAACGGCTCCAACGGCGTCACGTGGGCTGACACCTCTGATCTGATCACAGCGCCACTAGGTCGCTCTGGTGGTTAAGAGGACTAGACGAGAAGAAGCGGCACAGAGGAGAAAAGTGGTCCAATAGCTTTCTACACTAGGTTTTTTTATGCATATGAATTTTCCTTGTTATCCGACCACAACATGACTTCTCAACCATGAGGAGCAGACTTCTTTACGCGGATCATTTTCTTATGTCCTAAACGAGTACGAGGCGGATGTTCTTGATGTTTTGGTCTTGGTACTTATCTTATCACAGTAAGAGCGTTGCAGACCACTACTTACAAGTTGGACAAGTAGAAGGAGCGTCATGGTTCGTGACTGTGATCTTGACGCGTAGAAGTAAAGGTCAGAACGACCTCGGATTTTGGACAACACTTCTGCTGCAACTGAGCTTTGTGACAATAAACACTCTCCTCTACCTCCGCCCAGACAGCGACTCTGCATCTTGTGAAGCAGCTGATAAAAAAAAGAAGATGAAAGTTGTCCAAGAAAAAAATTGTATTTCGAAAGTAGATAAATATTTCTCTGCGCACTAGGAGGAGAGCAATTCGTTTCCAACCCCCGCTTGATTCTTGTCATGCAGAGGGGTGAAAAATAAGTTAGTAATAGAAGGTGATCATTTGCAGCACGAGGAGGGATAGGGAACAGCAACTCATTTAGGCATTTGGAGAAAACCGCAACGTGATATGCTTTCCTAGTGTTTGTGCTGTGCTATCCGTACTTTGTCGTTTTCAGGGCACTAGAATCAACAAGAAAAATAGAATTATTAGAAAAAAGAACTCCTTGGCTCTGTCATAATTTGAAGAATTTTCTCTGATTCTTTCTTGAGGGTTTCAAGAATCTATAGAACTAGAAATAAAAACGAAAAGTGTCCACAGTCCGGCAATAATAAAGTTTTCCCGAAGTTGTTGTAGATCGCTGAAGTGGGACACAGCACCAAGTTTTTGCCTTTCATTGAGATTTCTCGCAGCTTGAGACTTCTATTCTCGCACCTGCCGCTTCAGAAAAATAAGTTAAGTACTTGTGAAAATACACAAACTCAGATACCAACGCTATTTCCTTTGCCGCAGCGGCGTTCATCTGGCAGGGCTTGCAAGGCTATTTTCTTTGCCGCAGCGGCGTTCTGGCAGCGCTTCAAAGAAGAAGAAGAACGCCCCGGACTTGACAATCAAGTCGTTTTGTAATCAAATTTTTGCCTCTTTGGCGAATCTGATTCGGAAGTGTTGATACGAAAGAAACCGTTCCGCGGACTTGACAAGTAGTGAAGAGTCTTTTTTTTGTATTAAGTATTCTATTTGTTTTATTGAGGTCTTTCATAGATGACCTTATGGTCCCGGCAGCAATATATTAATTTTGCGTGATTGATGTGAGTACGTCACTGTCACGAAGAAAAAAAAGGCGAACGTTTTCCGTAAACGGAAAATTTGATAGATAACCGACAGAAAGAATAAGTAGGGAAAGATTCTTTAGAGTCGGAAAAGAAATACTGTTGCGACGAGCGGCATTACAACTAGCAGGTAAATATATTAAAAATTTCGGCAGAAAAGTATTTCTAAAATTTGAGAAAAACAAAAATACATATCTACATAAGTCGTGTAAGACTAACAAGAAGTATTACTCTATCTATCGTCACTAAATCAGAGTCGGAGCAATCGGGTCCGTGACTTTTTCCGGTAAAAAGCGCTGATCGGTTTTTTTTTTGAGATTTTCCCCAACAAGATGGTGATGCTCCGAAGCCGGGAGGAGATGCCGCAAGAGGTACTACGGCAGAAGGTAGTTCTACAACTTCTACACAGCGTTATAGAAGGACGACCTCGACCTCTTCTACCCGACTGCAGATCGTCGTGAAGAATAACCGACCTCCGAGGATGAAAGATCTGCAGGAGGAGCAGGAAGAGCTATAACTTGCAGACTGCGCAGGAGAAATGTTGTAGACTTGCAGATTTGCATGACAGCTTTGATGGCGGGGTGGCGGGGACGTGTTTCCACAGGATACAGTAGCAGCATCAAAAGTACGTATTCATTATTTACCGGGCAGCAGCTGTAGTAGCAGTTCTACTTCCCGCTCTCCCGGCCACAAGAGCCCGGTGTTCAAGAAACCAGTAGCAGCACGGAAACATATAATTCTTTCAGTTCCACCTACAATCAACAACCTCACTCTTCGACCCGGAGCGCGGAGGGGGAGACCAGGCCGCCGTCAACAAAATCGAAGATAAACCAGACATCGTGTTGGACTAGTTCTTCGACAATTCAACGACTGAAAATCATGCGGGTTTATTTTCGTAGTTCCCGACGGCCGGGCAAAAGCAAAACCAAAAACCTTCGCAACTAGTGCCACCTCATGTAGCTGTTCGGTGGCGCGGAGGACCACCAGGAAGATGAACTCAAATTGAATTATCCGAAAATACCCCGCCGAAGCCGAACTCCTTCTCTATCCAAGAAAAAGAGATTGTAGAAGTACTTAAACTTTTTTTGTGGGGGTGAACAGCAAAGACAAGTGCAAATCTGTGTGTCTTCTTCACCAGCGAACAGGACAGCAAAGAAGGCCTGCCATGCCCACACAAGTTGTACTTCGTCGTGTTGGAAACACACTTGCATGGTCGTGGACCTTGCAATTAGGCATGACCAAGGCCAGCATGTAGTTGAGGTCGACAGACGCAACCGTTATTTGTTCTCGCGCGTTTTATTATTGATTCTTGCGCACCAGCATCACAAAGTGAAAGTTACAATGTTCTTTTTGCTGGATATTTTTGTCGCCGAGCACGACGAGCATGTTGCCCTCCCACGGTTCCGGCGGAGCAGCCTCCCACGCGACCCCCCCAGGTGGAGGCGGTGGGAGCGGAAGTCAGCAAAACAACTCTGGGTCTTGTTTCCCGGGGTTGAAACCATTCCCCATGGATCACATACCGCCCGTTGTCCCTCAGTCCACAGGTACGCCGAACGCGCTGGCTGCGACGCCAAGTGATTTGACAAGTACTAACCCGCTGATGGCAATCTGGAAAAAGGAGCAAGAACAGCAAGGGCATTGTCAATTCGGGGGTGGCGGCGCGGCGGTCGTCGTGGACCCTCCGAATAGTAATCTGCTGCACCAGAGCAGTCAGCTGATGTTTGGTGCTCCACATAATCCAATGGTGTTTCATCAGCCCCCACCGACTAACATCATCATGAATACCATGCCATTGCTTCAACAGCAGTTCCCCCCACCACCGCCCGCGGCCGACGGCGGCTGCCCGACCGCGACAACGCCGGGTCTATTGCACCCGAACAACGCCGCGCAATTGCATAACAACGAAATAAACCCGAATAACACTAATCTGCAGCAGCAGCTCGGCTCGGACGGTACAATTATCAACAACCTAGCGGGCGTGGCGGGGCTGCAGCAGCAACACTTCGTGCAGCAGCATCCACCGGCGCAATTCCAGCAGCCGCAGCAGTATCAACTGCAAATACGTAGTCTGGGTATGGAAAAGTGGATCTTCTGATGCTGCTTTTGGATTCCAGAAAAATTTGTATTGCCCGAGCAGCAAGAGAAGTCTAGTTTTGGTTTTCTTTGTTACAACGCCGACAGAGCATGATTTCTCGTGCGCAATAGGCAACAAGATCAAGAACCACTCAGAAAGTTTGTGATGCTAGGGAATACATTGCAGACATCACGGGTCATGTAAAAGCTGCATGACAAGTTCTTCCAGACCCAGACATATTTGCTGTTGATAAGCAGCAGCAGCCTCTCCACAACCTCCTTTCGCAGCAGAACAATCAAGGACAGCTGGATTTCATGCACCAGCAACCGTATCAAATGTAAAAATCCCTGGACGTCTGGAAGGTTGGAACTTGTGATGCTAACTTTGGACTCTAAAAAAATCTGTATTGCATGACCAGCAAGAGGAGTCTAGTTTGTGCTACGCGGGGAGGGCGTTTGTCATGCGGGGTAGGTATGATCAGGAAGGGTTCTAAAAATCTGTGATGGTAGGGCATACATCACAAACAATCCTGGGTCATGCCAGACAAGCATGACAAGTCTCAGAATCTTCCCGAGCCAGACACTTTTGCACAGGATAAGCCGCTCGACTGGATCACTTCTGAAAATTTTCAAAACTTTGGCAATTTGAACAGCTTCGGAGGAGGGCCTCATTTTGCCGCATCAGGTACAACTTCTTACTGAAATGACTTTACTATGTTGACTGCCGCCGTTCGACTGTCTTGATCATGTTGATGAGATGATTATCACACTCACTGAATATAGATATCAGAAGTCCACTTGTTAAAAGTTGCACAAAATACAAAATTACTTCTCAGGAAATAATGACCAAGCGGGCAGCTTGCAAGGAAACAACAGTGGCACATCCACTTCTTCTATGCAAAGAAAAAAATGTTACACTTACACATTTTCTTGCGGCTGGACAAGCGTGAGAAACAAGCCTTCTACTCATGCCGGATATACACAAGAGCACAGCTTCATACGTGTTTATGTTTCCCCTTGTGAAGATCTCGGCATATGCCTCCACACAGAGACAATTTGTCTTGCTGAAGTTGCAACAGCACGTGTGTATAATCTGTAGCACTTTTTTCTTGTGATATCTTCTATCCCGTTTTTGGTCGCCGGCCCCGGTTCCGGAGCACAACTAAATCGCGGCTTGGGCGGTAATGCTACGATAATACATGAAAATTGATCGGACCACTTTATTTCTTCGGATAATTTCTATATTTTGGATGAGTATCTTCGCATTGTGTTTGCAGTTATTTCATATATTCATGTTGAGTTGACTTTTCGTACTGTTCATTTTGAACCACCTTGTCCACGTGTCGTGCTCCTCCATCTCTAATATCATTCGAATTTTGATATCGCTACAGGCAACTTCAATCCCGGTCCGGGTCCGCAATCGAATCAGGACCTCCAGCAGCATCAAGTTGGGGGTGCAGGAGGAGCTTCCTCTAGCAATGTTGGCACGACGTCGGGTCAACTACAGCAACATCATCTTCATCTCGGCCACACTGCAGGAACACCTATTTCCTTTCCAATGAACAGCAACGACCTGACTAATGTGGCCCAGCTGCATCAGTTGGCTGGTGTGGCTGCTCTACCCAGTACTAACCACGCGCAGAATAATAATTCGCCAGCCGGAGGAGCGGCGGGAGCAGGAACGACGATTACCGCTTCGCTCAACAAGAACGTGTTGCTACCTCTGGGCGGCGGCGGGGGTAGCGGTAGCACTAGCATTGGAGGCAACAACAGCGGAAGCTGCAATCAAAATCCTCTTCAACAAAGCTGTAATCAGGTGAATCTGCTGCTGCAGTTGCAGCCGCTTTTAAATAACCTACAACAGCAGAACATCAACCTGCAACAGAATACAACAACTTCTAACATCGATAGTACAACCACTAATACGATGAATCTAGCAGCGCAACAGCTCCTGCTGCAACAAGGGCAGCAGCAGCAGCAGCAGCTGCAACAAGGTGGCCAGGGCCACCTCCAGCAGCAGCAGCTCTTAATAAACCCAATTGTGTCAACATCCTCGTCGTCTGTATCCACCCCCGACGGGGATCATCAACAGTTTCCTACTTCCACGACCTCGGGCGCAGCTGCGGTCCTCACTTCTGACCTAAACGCGCAGCAGAAGCAGGAACTAGTTCTGTCGAGCCTACTGACATTACAACCCGGCGGGGCGGCGACCACGTCGACCACGATAATGAACACCACCAAGCCTCCGCCTTCTACCCCTGCTGCTGCTCTGGCGGCGCCGAGTAGTTGTACTGGTGGAGATCATCTAGTTGGCCGGGTGGACGACCGCGACGTGGGTCCTCACGACACGCAGGAGGAGAGTTCATCGGCAGACCACGGGCCGCCGCCCTCTTCTTCCATCTCCTCCGAGCAGCCCCTAGGTGTAGTCGGGCCACCTCCCATGACTCCCGGGCGGCCAACTCCCAGTGGTGCGGCAAAAAATAAGTATGGAGAGAAAAAAGTTTGTCACAGTCACTAAGTTGCAAGGTTTGCATTACAAGTTTTTTTTGCATCACAACTTCTCCTTGTATTGCAGAAACACTAGGGAAATCCCTTATGAAGTGTGGCTGTGATGCATTTTTACGCATGACAGACAATTTTGTCTTGCAAAAATGCCCATGAGTGATCGTGACGAACTTTTTTTGTTTGATAATAAATACAACAAGAATATTAACTCGACGTCCGGTAATAAAAAACGCGGGACCACGACCACTTCTGGCGCTAGCTTCAGGACGAGCGTGGGCCAGAACAATTACAACTACGCAGCTCCTCATCACAACAATCCGTCTTCAGCTCCAGCTGCTGATGATAATGTCCACCATACTAGTAACTGCTCCGAAGGAATAAACAAGTCGTCGAAGCAGGATATTCCACCTTTCGGAGGACGGGTAAAAATCGGATTACAGCAGCAGAAAGGCAATAAAGGCGACAGCACTGGTGGTACGCCGCCGCGCGTCGAACACCAGTCGTCTGGAATTGGGGCGGCTATTTCGAAAAAAAACGACCGGAGTCGTGCTTCTATCCAAGAAAAAAACTGCGTGAGTGTAACTTAACTTTGTTTGGCTGGTGACAGCATCACAGAGTTGTAGCTCTACATGACAGAGAAAATAACCTGTCATGGGTGACTTGTAACGTCGGAAAACACACCTGGAAACAGGATTTGCATGGTTGTCTGGCATGACAGGTTTAAACTCTCTTGCATGTTCTCCCGCATTACAGAGCTACACTTACACAGTTTTTTTCTTGCATAGCTTTCGGGGAGGGTGCGCTAGCATCTTCACCTAGAAGTTCCTCCGCTGAAGAATTGTACCAGGAAGAGGTGTATCCTGTGCAAAAACATCGTACTCGTACAAATGCAAGTCTTGCATTACAAACAAGGTCCACGCGTGGGGACAGGGTCCCCACGCTGGGGCCTTGTGCCCATCCCTAGTGGCGCTAGTGGGGGAAGGGTGTTCGGCATCGGGGCGGACAGCGTCCGCCCCTCGCCTCACACCAGGCGCGCGCATAGTGGCTTAGTGCGCGAAGCACTAGTGGGGGAAGGGTGTTCGGCATCGGGGCGGACAGCGTCCGCCCCTCGCCTCACACCAGGCGCGCGCATAATGGCTTAGTGCGCGAAACGCGAGTGGGGGAAGGGCCTTCACCTGTCGCGGCCACCTGTCGTAGCCACCTGTCGCGCCCACCTGTGCTGGTCACCTGTCACGGTCACCTGTCGAGGTCACCTGTCGAGGTCACCTGTCAAGGTCACCTGTCAAGGTCACCTGTCAAGGTCACCTGTCAAGGTCACCTGTCGCCGGGGGTATGCGTTACCAGAACCCGGAAGTCAAGCAATGTAAATATTAATCTGTTTCTCAAGGTAAATCCGCATTACAAACCTTATTTCTCATGCTGAGGAAATTTGTAATGCGTTTATACGACGAGAGCGATACTTTTGCAATTCACAAGCTGCGTCTGTTAAGTCAAAGTGGTCTGAACTTGGAAATCGGAATGTATACCTGGCAAATATTTTTACGTAGTCTGGGTCGGGAAAAACAAAATTGTAATTGTTAGGCTGGTCCTTCTAGATGAAAATCTGTATTGCTTGATGAACAAACCTAGATGTAACGCGCAGCGTTCTTTGTCATGCCAGGACGCAGTGTAAATGTGATGTCGTGCGCGCCACGTATCTATCTCTATGAGACAGCTTTGCAAGAAGTAGATCTTGTCATGCTCGCGGCTGCTGGATCGGGAATGTATGCGCACTTCAGCGTCAGCACAGCTTTAAATTATTCCAGAACTAGACCAGACCGCGTATTAATTTGCATTGGATATTAACCAGCTGCGGCGAAAAACAAGCGGGACCACGCCGAGAGGTCCGGAGTTATATCCAAGAAAAAAACATTGTAGGTGTAACTTTTTTGGAGGAACAGCATTACAAATTTGTCTGGCATGACAGCAAAAACCTGTCATGCGCAGACAGTACGTGAAAACGCCCTTTAATGGACCCTAGGATGCATGCCAAGCATGACAGACGCAATCATCTTGCATGTTGCACATCACAAATTTACACTAACAGCGTTTTTTTCTTGGATAAGTTATTTCGGAAGAACAGTTGGTATGCGGGCGAAGTCGCACACGCGGATCTGTTGCGTCAAATTTCCCTGGAGATGGCCTGCGGGCGGTGGAACAAGCTGTACTCGTCGGGTAGAACTGCAGATAGGGACGCCGCTCGTTACAAACGGTGGGCTGGGAATATTAAAGACGGTATTAACAGCGAAGACGTTTATTTCTCTATGGAGGAGCAGAAACATCAGCTCAACATGTTCGATGTCCGCGGTCGTGGCAGCAGCAAGCATGAGGGCCTCGTAGTTCTTCCCGGGCGGCGCGGGAAAGAACGGGGGGCTCCTTCGGGAATAAAGTCATTGGATGAGGTGGAACAGCACGGTAAAAATACTTCATCGACCGGCGCCGAAAATTGTTATACGAGTAGCATTAAAAACCTCTCGTCCTCTTCGTCCTCGTCGCACGAGCACAAGTCTCTTCATGTGCCAAGTCGCGCGAGCGAGCGGGAGCACCGGGGTGACGGCAGGGACTGGCGCGACAACCACGCAGACAACTACAATTTGTCCTCCGGGCCCGGCAAGGACTATCGGGACTACGTGAACAATAGTACAGCGGCCAGTGCAGCTGGAACATCAAACATGAATCTTAAAGACCCACGGCGCGGCAGTTCCGGGAAAATCCACCACCACCACACTGGAGCGGCCGCGGGGGCGGCCAGTGGGTTCTCGTCGTCGTCGTACAGCTACTACGGGCGTGGTGGCGGTGGAGAAAAAGGCGCCGGTGCGACTTCCTCGAAGGACCAAGTGGGCAATAATTACATATGCAGGGCAAAAATGTCTGGGTCTGGAAGATTGCAACTTGTCATGGTAAATCTGAAGCATGCAAAAATCTGTGTTGCATGAGTGCCAAAAGCTCTACACTTTTGACCAAGTTGGAAAGGAGTTTCTCATGCAGGATAGGCATGGCAGAGACCTCGCAGAGTCTGTCATGCTAGGTCCCGCATTCCAGATCTCATGGGTGATGGAAAATCTGCATGACAAGTCTACACTTTTCCAGACCCAGACATTTTTGCATTTGATATTACAACAATAATTTCAATTCGTACGGCGCATCTACTGCTTCCTCCTCCAGTTCCTCTAGCGGTAAGGACAAGCATAATCGGGATCATCACCACCAGAATTTATCCTGAGGAAATAAAACTGCGTTGTCATTCTTGCAGAGGTGTCACGCAGATAATTTTTCCTTGCAGGAACATCGGTAAAGAAAAAATTATGCGCATCCCCAGCACAAGAGGCATTTCCAACGGTGTTTTGGCATTTGCAGTGCTGTAAATTAATCACAGGACCACGGAATGTTTTTGTGATGCGGCTGTCCTTGCGAAAGTGCTCTAGAATAAGTACAGAGAGGAACTTGTCAGGCGTCACTCCCAAGACTGACTTCTGAATTTGTGTTGCTAAGTTTCTCTGGGGTGGTGACAGACGTGTTATTTCCACACGATAGACTTGGCAGTATGGCCACAACGGGAGCAAGGACAACATGCACCATGGCAGTTATAGTTCTTCTACCCAGCAGCAGGAGCACGGTACCAGTTATCAACAAGGTGGTCAACATCACCTACGCATTGCAAATGTATCTCTGGGTCCGGAAGTATAAATGTAAGGTTAACTACATTTTTTGTCATGCTCGGCGAGCTGCATGTTGGCAATACATAGAGCGAGCCTGTCAACATGCACACTTTATTTGAGCACCTGCACCCAAAACGTTCATTTTTCTGTCATGCAGATGAAACTACCCAGTGTGTTTACCCTTCCCTGCAGATGCAGAAGAGACATCACGTAGTTCTAGCACCATCTCCAAAAGAACTTGTCATGCCTTGCCGCCACAACTTGCTGCTTCCCCTTGAGGATCCTTCAACCAGCATGAAAAGTTTCCAGACCGAGATTTTTCACATTTGCGTTTGATATGCTCACCCCCGGAGCGGGTCGTACAGTGGCGGCCACTACGGGAAGGACAAAGAAAATTACAACTTGTACCAGCACAACAAAAGCAGCTACAATATGATGAACGCAACGCCGACCGAAAAGGGACCTCGCGGGAAGATGAATTACGTACTGATATATAGAAATTACATCGAATTCGAAATCGATTTTTTTGTACACTTGTTCTTTTTCTAAAAAAGGCTGTTACGACGTTTTTGTCGACCACGTCGTACTTATGCTGAAAAGCTTGTTCACCAGTTGAAGTTGTTGTGTGACTCATTTTCGCAAACGACATGAAAGAACTCCTGAAATTTACTGACTATCACAGCCGCGCAGTGGGTCTTCGTCGGAGCATCACAATTTTATATCAACTGCAAATATGTCTGGGTCTGGAGAATACAAACTTGTGATGCGCATTTGAGAGCACAGAAAAATCTCTCATGCACAGGCAGCAAAAGTTCCCACTTTCTGTCACCAGAATGGGGGATTTGTCGTGCGGATTCGGCATTGCAAACGCTTCTCGAAACCTGTGATGCTAGAGCTTCCATGCCAGACCTTCCGTGTCATGCAAAAACAGCATGACTCTTCCAGACCCAGACATTTTTGCATTTTGGGGGAAGGGTCATGAACAGTAGTAGTGTCAGCGAATAGTAGTGAGCATGCACCCACGGTGTGCTATTCGCACGGCCATGACACTACTGCGCGAGCACCCACAGGCTCCCAGGTGCCTAGCGCTTTGGCCAGCGTAGCACCTCGGTAGAGCCTGCGGGACCCCGTGGGCAGAAGTTCATTGCACCCAATTTGTACGTTGCGCAAGTGATAGTATAAGTAGTAATAGTTAGTTCCACCGGTGGACATATTAGCATGCTTAATCTCTCTCTAAATAGTGCAAACACGTAGTTCTCTTTTATTTTCTTTCTTCATAAAGTTCAAGTCGTTCTCTTCCCTGTGCTGTACCAAGGTCTTGTTTCCAGACAAAACACCAGACATTTTTGCATTTGATAATTTACCTCGCAGAACACATCTCCGCGGGACGGGATCATCGGCACGAAAAATAATAGCGGCACTGGCACTGGCCCCGTGCACAAAGGTGGCAGCAAGAATAATTTTTCGTACAACAATAGCGCTTCTTCTGGCACAGCAGGTGCTGGCTCTAGTACAGCTATGAACAAGTACAGCGAGGGCAAAGGAACAACATCAACCACCACTACTCAACAAGCGGGTGCTACGACGTCCTCTCCTTTGACAAACAGTTACAACAGCTTCAACCCGCCCGCACGTGGAACGAGCAGTGGAAATGTTGCCGCTGGAGACGGAAGTTCGAGTTCTTCCACTGGGCAACTGCACGGAGAAGGGCTGGCGCAGGAGCAGCAACCCACTGGGGGAGGTACTGACTTCTACAACTTTAGCTCTTAATCTTGTTTCAACATCGAGGATAGAGGTGGAATGGATAAAGTAACAAGCACTTGAAAGAGTTAGAAGAGTTACCGTTGTTTGTAAATCGATCAAGAATCATTGACGAACTTCTAGAGTAACATGCATCGATGCAGCTACGGCGCGATTGATGCATCGCGGCTTAGCTACCTGACTTCGAAGCTGAAATTCTTCACAAACTCCTATAACCAGACCCCGACGTGACGAGTAGTGTTTCTACCGACCCCTTGCAGCATTCGGTGCAAACCAACTCCGAGGCGGGGGTGAGCGCGGCGCCGACTCTGGGTGTTTTTCAACAAAATTCATCTACTTCGAAGGACGACCAGGCCGCGGGGGCCTATAATTACACAAGAAACAAGAGTTCTTCCGGTGCCGAACACAAGAAACAAGACGAAGAGAAACACCTGAACAAGAAAAATATTATCATCAAGCCGACAACCGTTGACAAAGATGCGAACCACGCCAAGGAAGATGAAGAAAAATCGCAAATACATAAAACTGAAAGTGGTGACAAACACGACAAAGTAGACACCACGTCAGTATTAGAGCCGACTTCTTCGTCCTTCACCGGTGAAAATGTTCAGGATAGTACGCACGAGGCAGCTGCCCACGCGGCCCAGGTGGCTACAACTAGTAAAGGCCTCGATGACGTCGACGCGGGCTGTGTTAAAAATGAAGCCAGTTCTTCTGGTCGTGCACGTGCCCAGGAGGCAGAAGTGGTGGGACCCCCAGCTGCGACTTCTTCCAACCAAAATCTGCTCGCGTCCGCACCTTCGCGGCTCAGTAACGTTGGGCCGTGTGGTCCTTCGCCCCCTCCAATGATCCCTCCCGCACTGCCGGAACACGACCCCCAGCTGCCGCTCTATGCATTGCAAATATAATGTTGACTGGGAGGTCTGGAATAAAGTAGGGTGTGTAGCTAGTACTTGTCATGCGGCCTTTGGATTCTGAAATAAGAATCTGTATTGCATGAGCGACAAGTTGTAGAGGACTCCAGTTTTTGCTATGGGAGGAGGTTATCCACATTTCTCATGCGGATAAGAAGACCGCATGGATCAAAACCTGCGAAGATTTTTATGCTCCTAGGGCATACAACAACACACACGGCTATGCAAAATGTGCATGGCAATAAACATCCGCGCGAAGACTCTTTCCTACGACCAGTCACGAACATATTTGAATTTGATACGTTGATCGGCACTACAATGTCGTCGAGCAGTGGGGCGTCAACCTCTAAGACCAGCACGACCGTATCAAATGTAAAAATGTCTGGGTCTGGAAGATTGCCAGGTTTGTCATGCACATTTTGCATGACTTCTGATGTCTATGATGCATGCCCTAGCATCACAGATTTTGTGAGGGCTTCCTGATGCCTATACCGCATGGCAAATGCTCTTTCCGTGTAGCAAAACTTGGACTCTCTTTGCTGCTCATGCAATACAGATTTTTTTAGAATCCAAAATCAGCATGACAAGTTGGATTCTTCCAGACCCAGACATTTTTACAGTTGATAGACCCCCTTCAATAACAACAACGCGACCACCACCGCCACGTCGCAACAAGCGCAGGGCCAGCACCAGGCTATCGTGCCGCCTTGTTTGCCACCGGATTTGCCGGAGTTAAGCCGGTTGGTTTCCGGAACGGCGGTCGTGCCACCGCTCTCCAAAGCCGTCGTAACTGCCAGCACCATTGCTTCTTCCAGTTCATCTTCGTCTGCTTTGGAAGAGAATCAGCAGCAGCATGCTGCCGCCATGGCGAAGCTGCACAAGAAACTTGAGGAGTTTGAGGAGGCACAGAGCAAGCAGAAGGACGAAATGAAGAAACTGAAGGAGCAGGTGGCCAGCCTGAATTCCGAGTTGTCCCGCACGAACAAGCAACTCGCGACGGAGCAGCAGGAGAAGCAGAAGTGGGTAAAACAGGCGGAAGAGTGGAAGGAAAAGAAGATTGCCACCGCGAACAACAAGGCTGCTGACCAGAACAAGCAACTGCAGGACCGGATGAAAGCGAGTAAGCAGGAGTGCAGCGAGTTGAAGAAAAAAATGGAAGTGATGACGATTGAAAGGAAAGAGGCGAATCGGGAAAGCGAAAGCGTGCTGAAGAAAATGGAGGATCTGAAGAAGCAGATCGAAAATCTGCATTTGCAGCACCAGAAAGAGGTGGACAAAAACGAGAATTTAAGAAAGGAAAATCAAGAGGCCGAAGCCTCTCTGCGGGAGGAGCTGAAGGCCGAGTACGAAGCACAATTGGCGGACAACATGCAAAAGATGCAGATTGCCCACGACAACAAATACCACAAAAAGACCATCGATTTCGAGAAAAGCTCCAAGGCCGACGAGCGCAAGTTCAAGCAGCTGGAAGAACAGATCGTGAAGATGGCAAAGCAGGCGACGCGGGTGGAGCGCGAACACAAGAAGGCCCTGCAGGAGAAAGACAACCGGTGGGAGAAGATTTACACGAAGATGCGAACGGAGTGCGAGGACATTGTGAACGGGATGGAAGTATCAACTGCAAATATTTTTAGTCTGGGTCTGGAATAAACTTGCGATGCTGGTTGAGAAAGATTAGGACGGGCCTCAAGTGACTTTGCCAAGCATGACAAGCTTTGCTGGAGGTACAATTAGAATTACAGTGTTGTCTATTCTGCATCGCAGTAGAGTGAGCTTCTCCATGACAGAAAAATGGAGCTTTTGGGTAAAAACGTGCATGACAGACTTGACAGTCATGCTAGCTAAGCATGACAAACGTTGCAGCGCTCCAGACATCCAGGGAAGATATTTGCAGTTGATAGGAAAAGAAGGAAGACGCGCTGAAGGACATCCTGGCTTCGCACAAGGACATGTTCATTGAAAAAGGAATTCCAGAGCCGGCCGGCCTCTCGTCCATCATCGCGGGCCCGCTCGTGAACAAAAATACGGGAAAAATTATCGATCCCTTTAAACTTAAAGTGCTCCGGGAGAAGGAACGACAGTTCACGCAGAACTACTCGGCGGCCACCGTGGTCGCGTCTGAAGATAAAAATGCAGGAGCTGCGACGTCCACATCATTGGGAGGTGATACTAATGCGGGAAACAGCGGTGCAGTAGATAATGCTACTTCCAATAAATCTGCATCGACTTCTGGGAACAGTAAGAATCGCAAGAAGAACAAGAACAAAGACAGTAGCTCTTCGTCGTCCGCTTCCAGTGCTGCGACCACCTCGGGAGCAGGTCCGGCTGCATCCTCCCCGTCTATGACTTCCAACACGCCCACTACAACTGTCGGGGGTGAGCAGCAGCAGCTGTCGCTTCTGGAATCAGTTGATCAGCTGGATTTTTCCCAGGTCTTCTGTGGGCAGAGCAAGAAGGAAAGGGAGGAGTACCAACAACTGATCCTGGAGCAGCTGAACGCGTACATCACGCACCAGAATACGGTCCAGTCGCTGTCCCAAACCCGGTATCAACTGCAAAAATGTCGGGGTCTCGAAGAATGCGAGATCTGTCATGCTTGTCTGACATGACTCTTAAATCTGTCATGCACGTTACCCAAGAGCCCCATTTTGCTGTCGTGCAGAATAGGCAACACCTAAAAGCTCGAACGCTTGTCATGCTGAGCCAGCACTTGTGGCCTCTTCATGATACGCCACCCAGCATCACAAGTTTTCAGACCCAGACACTTTTGCAATCCATACCCGGGGGCTGCAAATGGTGAGCCAGCACAGGAACGAGGTAGGAGAAGATGAAAAAAATAGTTCTAAGGGATATGACTTGCTCAAACGTTACAATCTCAAACGTTACAATAGAATAGGGAAGTCTGTGATGCAAGAAGTGCATGATCTAGCCTACCCCCACAGCAATGCGCATGACAAGTAGTTCTGGAGTCAAAAGCCGCACTAGAATCTGGCGAAATTTGTATTGCAGAAAGTGGAACGCTCTGCGAGTCTGTCATGCTCCTCATGCATCTACTGCAACGTTTGGGATTGTAACGGTTGCGCATGTCATAAGGGAATCATAGGGATGAGTAAGAAGATACACGACCTCAAAGCGGCTGGCAAGGCAGAATTGGAAAATAAAGATAAATCGAAAAAATAGAGTGAATCAATATGATGTACTCGTGATTTGAAGATCTTCGGAAAGAACCAGCACTGGCCCTGCTGGTTCTTTGAATGAAGATCAGTATCTCTATTGACCCGCCCTCTTTAGCAAGTTATGAATATAGCACGGGAGAACTACGCGACCGTGACCTGGATTCTGACTGCAGGATCCGGGTAACAACATCAAGTCGCTGGCTGCCCGAGCACATAAGTTGTACTTACCCTGTAGTTCTAGTTGTACCAGGACGATATGTACTTGTGCTACCGCTACTGTAAAATAAATTGTCCCCATCTAATACACGGACTTTTCTATTGGTTCTTTGCAGCTCAATTTGTGGGTAGGTTCTACTTGCGCCACCTTTCGGCGGCTTGGGTATCTTACACTCAAAAGCTAGTAGCTGTGTAGGAAATAAATACTTCGAATAAATTTGGTTGTCTACCGCAGCAATGGCCAGTCCTCGCTGGTCCATGGCGCTGCCTATGTTGATATGTCTTGTTACGATTTTGGTCTTTGTGGTTGATAAAATTATTTTTCCCCCAGGATTAACATTAAGAGCGACCTTGAGGGGCACTGTAAAAGATGCTGCTGCGTGCCCGCAGTTGGAATAGGACAACCTCTCGCAACAGTAGTATATTCGTGGTCCTGATCCTGATCGAGGTCGCCCCCGCCCGGCGACAGCGATCGGAACGAAATAAAGTACTTTCAAGAGTAAGAAAGAAGAGGGTAAAATATATTTTCCAAGAAGTCAAATATATTTTTACCCCAAGACCTTGTAGTCATCTGCCGATGGAAATAAACGAAAGGCCCACCTCTGCCTCTGTATTAAATTTGTCACGCTAGTAGAAGTAGCTTTGGCTTTCTTGTGCGTGATGCGGTGCACCGTATTATGTACAGGCTGCTTTGTGAGCTGCAAGGTGTGCAAGTACCATCTTTGGCATTTGTCGCGTTTGTGATGATCTTGCCACTTCCTGCAAATGGAGATAGGGCCGCGACTTCGGAGATAAGAAACTACATTTTTTTTAGAAGCGACAGAAGCGTGAAAACTAATTTTAGTTTTCTGCTGTACTACTACTTAACTTCCCCGTACAATAACAAGAATCTAGGGCACTGAATGGAAGTTGTAAAGAAGCGAAATAGTACTAGAAAGTTGTAGTCTAGTAGTCCCCTAGAAAATCACGAAAGCTATATTCTTGCCCGCCTCTAACTATGTATAAAATGACTACTACTTTAATGTCGATACTTTGATCCTATTTCTAAGTAACCGTAAGCTCGCAAATTACAATTCGAGCCAACTACCCACTCTATTTTTCTCCACTTTTAAGTACAAACGCACTCTGTAACTTAGCGAGAGCCACACAAAAACTCGAACTGCCACCGTGAACAACAATAGACGAACTTCCTGCTCTATCATTCCCTCACTTCTAATCCTTCTGCATACTCGATGGAAAAGGAGCGGCTACGGGACGAGATTGCGGACCTGACGAAGAAGCTGAGCAAAAAGGAGCAGGAAGTGAAAAAATTGCTGCAGTTGTGTGCTGCCAGCAGCTCGAGCGCCAGCGGAAGCAGCAAATCTGCCGACAAAGCCACCGCGTCGAAATTAGTGACGTTTCTGAACGAAAATTTATGCCGCGAACACGGAGCGTAGCTAGCACTACATCTAGAGCTTTGTCAATTCGAAGTCTTTGAGTCTCTCTATATAGAAATGAATTGAGGGGCAAGAAGATTTGCAGAATTTCTTCACAGAGAACTATGCGGGTTGATGTTGATATTTGATACTTCACTTGTATGTTGAGCTTGAGCACCTCCCGCTTAATTATTGAACGCACCACCAAATAACTATAATTTTCACGCGCACAAGCGCGGCGACAGGAGGTAGGCGAACAACCAGAATCCAACGACGAGATGCCTTGCACACAACTTCTAACTTGATAGTGAATGCTGTACTTTTAATTATAGCCATCACATCCAGGATCGTGAGATGCATACTCGTTCTCTTATGCGCACGATCTTTGAATGTACAGCTAGAAAAACATTAGAAGTTAGTTGTGGATGTTGACCGTAGGCCACAGAAGAAAAAACCTGTGACAGAACCCAAGAGCATCTTGGCGGATAATGCTCGCAGGATGATGAATTTGAACATCAAGTGCCCCACCAGGCACAGCGATTATTTGTATGCATGTTGTGGAGCCAGATGCTAGCAGGTCAACAAAGCAAGGATTTTGCTGCGTCCACCTACGATGAAAAAGGCTACTACGTCTCCCAATGCAGCCTATTACAACGAAAGTGATTCTGTCTACCTCCACCCGGCTGTACCTCATGTATTCAACACCCAAGAAGTTGTCACAACTTGCATGGAATCGTACTTAAATTTTCATCCTAGGCTTCTACTTACAGAACTCAAGGAAGATGATTGAAACACGACTCTACGCAAGTTGACAAAGACCAATTTCCCTTCCATTCCCCTACAGTGGTGCTACGATTTCGTCCGGAACAAGTTCGGGCGAAAATAGCCTACTGGCTCTTACTGCCGGTGGTAGCAAGAACGGCAGCGGTACTTTTGCCTCTAGTACTTCTTCCCATTCGGCCGCGCTGTTCGCGTCGGCCCGAGCGGTGGCGGCGGGATCAACATCTCCAGGCGTGCTACAACTTAGCGCCGGCGGAACTACGTCAAAAAGCAGTTCGTCTTCGTCGAACGCAGTGTCGTCGTCTCTCAACCCCAAAGACGTGTGGTATGCGTTGGAAAAGAGATTTTCTTCGATTGTTGTGCTGTTGGGTGGCGTTTGTGGTTTGCAAAACTTCTTCGTTTCTTTCAGTTTCAACTACATCGGCTGATGGCAACGAAATTATTATCTTGGCGCCGTGTCGTGTAGTAGTACTCTTGTGTGGTTGTCCATCTTCCGGGTTAGTGCTTCTGTGTCTTCTGCTTGCTTCCGTATTTTCTTGTGATAAACAACTAGTAGGTAAAGCTTGTTTCTGAAGTATGATCTGCAAGAACTTGTGTTTGGAAATTTCGTCGGTTCTGACAAACCTATAGCGGCCCTATCTTCGTCCGCTCGTGTTGCGCTTCAAGTGGCTTTCTCGATTCTGAAAGCCATAAAAGAGAACGAAAGAAATTGCAATTCATTTTCAACATTCTCATCCAAAACCAAAACACACAGGACAGGCAGCTGTTTGTTGTACCTACAGAGACAAGTTTCACTCTTACGCTTGTATGAGTTTCGATTTCTTATTGTATTTGCCACGCATTTTCATTTTCTTCCACTTAGCGCGAGCTTGGTTCTCACATTTCTTTTTCCGGACAGGCTAAAGTATTATCCCTACTTCCGCGACGTTTACGTTTATCATAGTGAAAACTTATATCGGAAGCTGCAGGCACCTGAGACACAGTAGTTGCACTAGGGGCCATCATACTTACTGAATTTATCAGCAAGTTTTGTAGCATGAAGCTATACAGCTTGAGTTTACATAACTTTCTTTCCCGAAAAAACGCCACCCCCAACAGCACAACTTTTCCGTACCATTCCTGCCGCGCACTGATTGCCGACATGTCTAGCTTGATCGAGAGTGACGTGATGAAGAAGCAAGAAGTCAAAGACGAGGCCGTTGCGCTGATGGAGCTCCGGCTGCTCGTGAAAAACTTCATGGACAAAAAGTTGGAGGAAGCAAACTCGGAGAAGCGCGCGTGGGCGAGGAAGGAGGAGAGGCTGGAGGACATGCTGACCACGCAGAAATCCGAGCGGGACAAGCTATGAATTGCAAAAGTATCTATCCTACTCGTATGAATGCATTACAAATTTCCTCAGCATGATGAGAAATAAAATTTGCAATGCGGATTTACCCTAAGAAAAAGACTTGTGATGCATGACTGCAATTACTACGAGTGCGATATTACAAGTTTTGCAGTTCATACAAGCTGCAGAAGGACAATTTGACCTTGAAAGAGAAATATGCATTGCAAATATGTCTGGGTCTGGAAACCTGTGATGCTGCGTGACGTATCATGAGGAGGTCATAAGTGCTGGCTCAGCATGACAAGTTTCTGAGCTTCTACGTGTTGCCTATTCTGCATGACAAACTGCGTTTCTGCATGACAGAAAAACGGGGCTCTTGGGTAACGTGCATGACAGATTTAAGAGTCATGCCAGACAAGCATGACAAACATGCATTCTTCCAGACCCAGACATTTTTACAGTTGATAAGAAACTGCGGAAGGCGCTGAAGGACATCCAGCAAAATATTACAAGGAAAAATCCCCCCTCCCCATATCGTCGAAAAGGCATGTTTTCAAAAATTTGTGTTGCTGATTTGAGACCACAAATCACGTCTGTCTTGCAAGAAGACAAGTGCAGAGACTTCCACGCCATTATGGAAGCGATTTGGCATGCTGTTAGGCCCAGGGGACAGCAGTTTGCAATGCTAAACAACTAAACCCGCCAAACGCACCTACCTAGGCTGAGGATCTGGCTGCGATGCCTTGATGCAAGACAGCGCGCATTTGTGTACGGAGATCCAGCATCAGAGACTTTGTCTCGATATGGGGAGGGGGGATTTTTCACTTTGATACAAAACATGACGGCGAAAAGTGAACGAGGTTCAAGTGGAGCGGGATTAGTAGGTGCGTCTACTTCCGGTGTCGAAACAAGTATTAAAGCGCCGAAGCTGAGCGAGGAAGAAAGCTCGTCGTCATCTTCAAAGGGGAACAACAAGAAAAATTCCAGTTCCACTTCTAGCGCAACACCAAAAACCACTTCTACCAGAACAAACCACTCGGGAAGTGTGTATTTGCTGAGTCAAGAATCTTCTAAAACAACCACAACAGCGGCTTCGACGGCAAAAAACAGCAAATTGAACGTGGCCAGTTCCTCTACTTCCAGCAAGACAAACTCCGAGAACGATTGCTACTCGAGTACGACGAGTTGCGCCGAGGAAAACAGTATGCATTGCAAATATGTCTGGGTCTGGAAATTTCTGATGCTAGTTTGCGAATCATCAGCAACCTACAATATGGGAACGCGCATGACAAGTTTCTGAGCGACTTGGTCTTGCGTAAACTGCATGACAAACTGCGTTTTTGCATCACAAAAAAATAGCTTGTTAGCGCAACATGCATGACAGATCTTTCTCTCCTGTTAGCAGAGCATTACAAATAACTTCACAATCCCCCAGACCCAGACATATTTGCAGTTGATAAACACTACCTCTAAACCAGACAGCAAACTGGCAATTTTGAAGAGAGGTGGGAAAAAGAATTATCCCTCGAGTAGTAGTTCTTCGACCGGCACTGTGCAACCCGGTTGTACAACTAGTGCTGTATCAACATTAATATCCACATCGCGGCAAGATGAATCTTCCTCCCCCTGTTTGCTCGCCAACTGCCACATTGCAACCCTCGCTGGGAAGAAGTTGGCAGCGGATGTCGCAAACAGAAAGGAGCCCCGGGCAGTGCTCGGAGGTAGTGGAGTTGGACCACCATCTTCTTTGTTGAGCAATAGAACCTCCAGTGCAAGTGGTGCTCCGACCGCGATTGAATTAGAGAACAAAAACTTCCTTGACCTGGTGAAATACAGCACCAGCGCCACGACGAGCAAAAGCTGTGTTGAAACAAGTTCTTCGGCCGGGTCCTGCGACGACGCGGATAGAAGTTCTAGCAAGAGACAACAAACAGTTGCAGTTGCTTCTTCTTCTAAACTATGCATTGCAAACGTATCGTACTAGTAGAAATCGAATGACAAATTCACTCAGCGTGAGAAATGGAGTTTGTCATGCTGTTTTGCCTTGGGATCGAGATTTGTAATGCATGACTGCGATTACTACGAGTACGATACTTTTGCACAGGATATAAACAGAAAACCGCAGTGGTGAGTGTCACCCACGACGGCGAAATGGCGAAAATTTCGCTGTATCAAATGCAAAAATGTCTGGGTCTGGAAGAGTGCAAATTGTAATGCTGTCTGCGGATTCTAAAAATATCTGTGTTGCATGAGCAGCAAGAGGAGTCAGTTCTTGGCACGCGAAGAGGGCATTTCTGATGCGTAATTAGCATCAAGAAGCTCTCAAAAAATCTGTGATGCTAGCACCAGCATCACAGACCTCACTGGTCACGCAAAATGTGCATGACAATCCCAGACTCTTCCAGGCCCAGACATATTTGCAATCCATACGCTGCTTTCTGCGGAGGAATTGGCGGAGTTGGGGGTTGGAGAGGATGACGATAATCTCACCGAGCCGACTCCTTCCAACAAGGCGGTTGATGCATCTTCGCCAACTGATGAAGTAGTCCTACCTCAGGAAGGAGAGGAACAACTACTACACGGCATTTCTACTACTTCTTGCAGTACTACGTCTGCCACTTTGGAAAAGCTCTTCACGCGGAACTCGCAATTAGAGAAGGAAAACAAGGAACTGCTGCAGACCAACAAATTTTACAAGGAACAGCTCGTGCCCCAGACCGACAACACGAAGAACGAGCAGGACAAGGAGCTCATTCGCATGGCGACGTCGCAGAAGAAGTCCGAAAAGAAAATCGCTTCCTTGTGGAAGCAGAATGAGGAACTCAGGTGGCAGAACGAGCAACTGAGTCAGCAGATTTCGCTCGTGGGAAAATCCGGCGTGGAGCAGAAACAGGCACTGGCGGCTTCTGCGAATTGTGCCGTTGGCACGGTTGCGGCGTAGCGATGGATTTGAAGATGACGTGGGTTTCCTGAAGTCGACGCTCACCAGGCGATCTTCTGACTTCCTAGTGGTAATGACACCGAAGCACTTGCTTTTTACGGTAGAAATTTATTCATATTTAGATCGTTACTATTGCTGGAGGCGATGAAAAAGAGCATGTGATGAAAGATGGTTTTTTTTTTGGGCCTTGAACCTTTGACGCCCTGCCCAGGCAATGAAAGAAAGAAAGAAAGCAACCTTCTACGCCTAAGAGCTACGTCGCCAGATTCGGCCGTGCGTAAGCGTACACTTACAAGGATATGACCTTATGACGTTTCAGATATGATGTAGGTAGTTTCAATCACGTTGATGTTGATGTCACGCACTATATTTACTATTTGATCCACGGTTTGTTTTTCGTTTGCTCGAGAATTTACAATGCAACGGGCGCAAGATAGAACTAACACTAGCATCGTGAGAAGAAGGTAAATCCTTCACACGGAAACCACGATTCCATCACTAACAAACAAACAAGATAGATTTCGTTTGATATTAATCTGATATTTGATTTTCGTTTTACAGCATGAAAAAGGGTCAAGTAAGCTGCAGATTATCGAGAAAAGAAAAGATATTTGTTTCGCTGACATTTAATCGGAATTCCAGGCACAGACATCTTTGCATGGTCCAACGAGACCAGCTGAGTCAAGCCCTTACAGGCAGCGAAAAACAGAAATGGCGCTACGGATTTTTAGCAGAATACTGCGACGAAGCAAACGCTGCAGCATTATAGTACATTTTTCTTCTTTATTTTGTTTTTCAATTCCCTTTTGTTGGGGCGAAAACTTCTTGAAAAGTCTGTGTCAGATCCGTATTCTTCTTTTTTTGGTTTCTTCCGTAGGTGTCTTTTTTCTTATTGAGTTTTTTTTCCAGTTTACCAGCAACGAAAAATCCTCGAGTTGTCAAAGTGCAACCGCGCTCATGGTTTCGATTCAATATTTTACCTTTCCTATATCTTTTCTATCGTCTTTGCCATTGGCATCAATACCTAGACGTTCACCTGACTCAATTTTCCTCTCAGGTTTCTTACGGCAAGGAAGAGAGGCATTGCTCGACGTCTGGCGTTTTATAGGGTTTTTTCATTATGATGAAGAAAATAAAATGCTCTTGCTTCGAACAACGGCACAAAGTTGCTGTATTTCACTCACGCCACTCCGCCGCCGATGCGTGTAAGTAGTTTAAAAAGGAAGTTGCGCAGTTTCAGGCTGAAGAATAAAGAACGAAGATGTTACCAGATTAGGGTAGTTTCTATTTACACCACGCATTTCTTCTATTTCAACAGAATTCAAACTTGTTTTTGATTTTATATATGATGTATCTCCTTATTTCAGTAGAGTTTCATTACAAGATGAATACAAAGCAGTGCTGGCCAAGCCACGTGAAGAGCTGAAGCGTTTTTTTCACAAGGGATACATGATAAAGAGTTTCCAGTAAAACGAACCCTTTTTTTTCACATTGTATAGAAGAGTAAAACAAGCATCAGTGTCGCAGCTGCGATGCAGGAGCAAAGAAGGAGGTCGCCCGGCGACCCTCCCCGGACACTTTTGACACGGCATACTGAAGAACTATCAACATTACTGTTCTTCACAGCTAGCACCTAGTGCTGACAGGAATTGCACCCGGAACTACAATAAATCTAAGATCCTAACCGACCGGGTTGTGTTGAGAATGTTTGAGTCGAGTGCAGACGAAGAAAGAACCGAGCGGCAGAAGGTGTACCATGCGTCATTTCCAATTTTTTTGTTTTGACATAGCACAACTTGCTTCACGACAAGGTAATCAAGGAAAAACGCACAGGCCCTCCTTGTAAAACAGTAAAGTTAGTTGTGTATGATTTTTTCGATGTCTAAAGGTACGAGTACAACAATATTCACCCCCTCACCTCCGCAGCATTTGAAGTTGTTCTAGCGATCATTTATTTCTACCCTGCCGATCAGTTTTTTCTTTTCGCAAGAGATGCTTGCATTTTCTTTCCATTATGATGCGCACAATCCTGCTGACCACCCGTCTGCTCCGCCGTGGTCGGTGTCCTCTCCGTCCGGCTCTGCACCTTGATTCAACAGACCCGACAACAGTAGATCGCGTGCCAAGCTGCACATCGACCGGAGTCGCCTTCGCTTGTTTCCGTCACCTGAGTAGTACTTAAGTGCTGCTGGTGCTGTGTAGTTCTAGTTTCCACTACCCTCATCATCATCATCAATCTCCACAACCATGACTGGCGTCATCGAGTCTGTCGTTATCGGCGGCGCGGCCTGGGGCGCCCTGGAGACGTACCGGGATACCAACGAGAAGAAGAAGCAGCAGCGGAAGCTGATTCAGGAGCTGTTCGCGAAGTTTTTCCAGAAGGACTTTGAAGCCGTATGCATTGCAAATATGTCTGGGTTAGGGAACTTGTAATTCTAGTTTGTGCATGGTGGGCACACTGCGTTACGCAGCCACGCATGACAAGTTTCTTAGCTCCTATGTGTTTCGCCTCCCGCATGACAAACTGCGTTTTTGCATGACAGGTAAGAGGCTGCTTTCCTGCTCATGCATGATAGATTCCAGAGTCATGCGAGACAAGCATGACAAACTTGCATTCTTCCAGACCCAGACATTTTGACATTTGATAAGCCGTCGCGCCGGACAAAACGACGCATTTAAGGACGCTGAAATCAGGCACCGACACCGATGTGATCTCCGCCTACCATTTCCTCCACCACTACCAATACCAAATGCAAATATGTCTGGGTCTGGAAAGATGGAACTTGTAATGCTGATCTTGCATTCCTGTGAAATTTGTATTGCGCGACCAACAATAAAAGTGGTAGAAGCCTCTCGTGTCACACAAAAACGCAGTTTCTCACGCGGAGTTCGTATGGGAAAGCGTTCTGCAAACTTGTCATGCTGTCCTGCATAAGGAAGTGTTTTCCTCTTGCACATTTTAGCATCACAAATTTTCAGACCCAGAGATATTTGCATTTGATAACCAAGAGAAGAGGACGAAAAATCTACTGCAGGAAATCTGGTCCGGGGGGGAGGAAGCGCGGAACGACACGTTGACCCTATCGCAAGAAAAAACTGTTTCACTGTAAACTTGTGATGCATAGAACGGAACGCGAATGTGTTTGTCTTGCTACACATGCAAGACATTGGATTTTTAGCTGTGTTTTCCCTTAGGAAGCACGCATGCCAAGTTTTCTTTGTCATGTGTAGCAAACTTGTGATGCAGATCTTGCAAAATCATCACGGTGAAGCAGTTTTTTCGTGGGATAGACCATGGTGACAGAGTACTTGAAGCAGTGGCTGCAGTCGTTGCCCAAGGCGAACGAGATTAAAACGACGAAAACGGATTATGAGAACGTGGTGGAGATAAAAAACCACATCGAATTCTCCCGACAGTTACTGATGCGCCCGAAGTTGTTTAAAAACGGGAAGGAAAACAATTTTGGCGTTGCGATAGCGCATTTTTCCGAACATGTGGAAAAGTTTTACAACAAGATCAACACATCGACTGTCAATACGAGCAACGTTCTGGATCAGATTCTGACCATCGGCAAGGAGTTGATATCGCAGTCGTGTTTGCCGATCATGCTGTTCACTATCGCCAACGTAGTTTCCGACGACAAACAGCTGCCCTGCTTCGACGCGGTCACCTTGGTCCAGGCGTTCCAGCAAGATTGCGATCGGGTCCGGAATGTAGGAAGCAGCGCTTCAGGTGCAGCTGGGGACCAACAGGGCTCCTCAATTACTGGCGTAACTTCATCATCTTCCAGAATCGCAAAGAAAGACAAAAATGGTGCCCCATCGACTAAAAACCTCGCGAAGAATGTTCTCGCGTGGCACACGCACGTGGGGAAGTTGTTGTATCTGTTTCTGCGCACCAACCATTTTCGAAATCTGATGGAAACCGCAGAGGGGATATCGCACCCGGACGAATTTCCACAATACCAGCCGGGAATGATGATGAACAATTTAGAAAACGGAACAGCAGGTGGAACACTTCCCCTTCAGCTGCAGAATGGTGCAACTCGCGACATTTCGAACACAAACACGGATCAAACAGATCAAAGTTCTACTGTCAACAACAACAACACTTCTTCCCCCTCGAGAAACAATAACAAGAACCATCAAGACGTAGAAGAGGACTCCGAATACCCCTGTTATCTGAACGAAGCGGACATAAACGGAGACTACTTACCCGGGTACAACTTTGAGCCGACTTCAATGGACAAATTAAGGGCGGAAAATCTGAAGAAACAAGAACAGCTCGACCTGGACGGTGGTGGTGACCACGGCGATACGACAGGAGATAATTCTCTAGGTGCAGGAGCGAACAAAGCAGCCAACATCCTCCAAGACCTTTTCTACCGCAAGCCAGACCGACAGAAATTCGACCAACTTCCCCCCTTCAAGGAGTTTCTCAACGTCGTGAAACGCGCTTGGGACGTGCACTTGGAATTCGAAGAATCGGGCTTGTTACCGAAATACCGGCACCAGGCGTCGGGAATATTGCTTGTGGCACAGAGTTCAAGCAGTGGCGCATCTTCCATCAACGCCGACCCTGCTTTGATCGTCCGGACGCAGTACCTGGATTTTTTCCGAAAGTGCGACGACTTAGTGTATTTTCTGTCCATCCTCCAGATTTACGCACGGTTGTCGGCTTTGGGGGGCGATCCTCTGATCTGCTATTTGTACTCCACGGTGCAGCATTTGCTGCACGAAATGGAAATTTTGCTGACCGAACTGTACCGGATAGCGGACCACTTATGACAGTGCGCAACTCGTCTGCCTCCCCCTCATTTGTATAGCATGGCCGGCAATACAAGCATCAGCAAGAATGCCTGTTCTGCATGACAAATCTACAATGGAGTATACGTATAGTGCTATAATTTGGGCTACCAGAACTTGTCATGCAAACAGTGCCAAGAGGCACATACTGGATTTGGGATAATTTTGCATGACAAATGAGTGGGATTGGGAGTTGTGCGCTCTCATACCACCTGAGCGAAATCGCGAAGGAGACGCTGCAGGAATTCGCGAAAAACCCCAGTCAGTACTCGAAGGAATCAGATTTGCGGTACATGCAATTACTGCAATTTTTGGATTTCGAGTCTTTCAAGCAAAATCACAAGAAGCTTTTCCTCTTGTTCACGGAGCTCCGCTCGTTATCCGCGAACGAAAGAATCCCGTATCTGAAGCAAAGCATCGAGGCGAATTTGTCAGTGTTGGCGAGTTATCAAATGCAAATATGTCTGGGTCTGGGAGACTCCGATTTTGTCATGCAGTTTTTCCAAGCTCCCCCACGCCTGGAATGCAGGGCCTAGCATCACAGGTTCTGCAGCTCCTTGGTGATGCGTATTCTGCATGAGAAATGCCCTCTCAGCATGGCCAGAAGTGGGCACCTTTTGGACGTTTATGCATCACAGATCTTTGTAGGATCCGAAACATGCATCACAAGTTCGGATCCTTCCAGACCCAGACATATTTGCAATGCATACGAGTACCATGCAGTCGGAGAACTTCCAGACCCGGTGTGCTCTACCCGTCGGAAACCTCGAGGCCGGGTTTGGTTTGTCGTTGACCAATATCAAATAAAGTAAAAATGTCTGGGTCTGGAAACTTGTGATGCTGGGCGGCGTCTCATGATGAGGCTACGATTACTGGCTCAGCATGACAAGTTTCTGAGCTCCTAGGTGTTGCCTATTCTGCATGGCAAACTGCGGCTCTGCATCACAGAGAAACGGAGCTCTTGGGTAACGTGCATGACAGATTTAAGAGTCATGCCAGACAAGCATGACAAACATGAATTCTTCCAGACCCAGACATTTTTGCATTTGATAACCAATCAGCAGAGAATCGGGAACATGCTGAGTGACATGGTGGGCGAGAGGAGCTTTAGCAGGGAGAACAATCAGCAACTCTCGATGAATCAGCAGCAGCGTTCTGCGATAGGAAACAACTACAACAACTTCTCCCCTGCAGGACGCAGTACACCTGGTGCTGCTAGTGCAACAACTTCTAACTACCCTGCTTCAACACGCGGCGCAGTCGGAAGCTCCTCTGCAGCACACCACATTAACACAGACCTGGAAGACGGGCGACTCAGAGCCGCGCTTTTGTCCAAGGTACAGGAGGCGGAAGAGCTGGACTACAGTGCAGGCGGAGAGATGAAGAAACCGCTGAGCGAGATTTCCATGTGGGATCCAGACGGGGGCGCGACCGGGGAATTTTACTACGGCGAAGGGGCGGTCGAGGATGGTTTGGTGAAAAACAGGGTGTCACAGTACGAGTCAACGAGTACCGGTGCCACGCCGACATACGGGGGTAGAAATATTTCTAGCGGCGCAGCGGGAGCTGCAGAAGGACCACCTGGCGCAGCAGCTGCATTGAGAAGTAGCAACAATTTGTCGCCGCAAAGCCGCAGTAACAAGACCGCGGCGTCTTGCTCCTCATCGAGTATGCCTGTGGTTTCCATCAATATTCCCCCCGAAGAGGAGATGCGTTCCAAAGCCGCAGCAGTTGTACCATCACAAACAGCTGCTACTGACCGCACGACATCTACTTCGCTCAACAAACCACCAACACTCTCGACGTCGACCTCCGTCGGCGTGCAAACCGACAGCACATTTAACGTGAATTACGAGCATTTAACGGCCAAGGTGACGGACTTTTTTGACCAAAACGCAAACATTTTCACTACTTCGATCAACTACGCGACCGACAGGAATTTTTTCCGCAACCGAATCAAAGACCTCATCAAGTCTCTTCCGGAAAAAAATTTGACTGAGAACGAAACGGCGTTTTATCTCAGCATTTGGAATTTACTCGCCGACTTCGACTCGGAGGAATCCGATTTTCCAGTTTTAGCCTTGAATTCGGAACGTTGGGAGAAATTACTACTACGGACGGGGCTGAGCAAAAAGTACACGGATGCGGTCGTGGAGAGTATTCTCGTGGGGACAGGAAACGACAAGAATAATCCAAAAGGAGGAGTCGATGAAGACGCTCAAGAAGATTATAACAGCACGGACACACCGCGTGGAACAACCCCCCGAGGTGTTGACAATTTTTACGGTGGATTTTCGCCCGGAGGAGGTGAGATAAAAACTTCTTTAACACCACGAAGCAGAAGTGCCACAACTAGTACCATCGACTACCCGGCCTTCGCGGCGATTCTCCGACTCCTCGCTCACTCCCAGGAGCTGGAGCAGAAAGAGCACAACGGCGAAGAATTCTACTTTTCCGTGCAAGATGTGCCCTTCTACCACGCCAACGAAAGCCGGGAGCTTGTTGCCTTCTTGGAAAGAATATGAGAGTGCACAACTCCCCCCTGCCCTCATTTGTGCTGCAAAATCCTAACTGCAATTGCTGCCTGTGCCTTGTGGCTGTGGCACTGTTTGCATTACAAATTTTGGAAGTCCAAACAGTACTACACTGAGCACATGAACTCCTCATGCACAGCATCCACGTGTGCTGGTGCTTGTATTGCTATTCATGCAATACAAATGAGGGGGAGGGGGAGTTGTGCACTTTCATAAAGAACGCCACCAGAATTAGTGAAATTTGACAAGCTCGAGTGGAACCAAGATTTGAAAAGACTGAAAATTAGAGAACCGTTTTGATAGGTTTAGAAGTGCTGAAGAGTAGGAGTGCAAGAAAAACCTCGTAGTACCCGTGCTGTCGCTGTGGCACAGACACAAGTTCTTCCGGCATAATGACAAAAACAAAATCTAACGAGAAGACGACCAGAACAAGTATACCAGATCTGCTCACCAGGCGACAACATGGGTGTACGTAAGATGAAGGTCTAGAACCTGCATCACTCCTGTACAGTCTTTCGAACGGGAAAAAGTAAAAGTGTAAATAAAACCTGCACAACTACAAGATATAGGCTCAGGCGTCGGTGGTCTTTCGGTTTTTTACGCAAGGTAAAGAAAGCACGGGTTTTTAGCCGAGGAAAAAAATCGTCGTGTTCGCAGGAAGATCTTCTTGCGGAGAAAATAGACTCGTCGTTCCACCACCACATGCATCTAAAAATTTTCGCTTTTTCAAGATCAATCCAATTTGTTTGAGCTCTTTTTTTTTCCTTTGTCTTCTAGAATTGTTTTGACAGTTTTTTTTGTGTTTTTCTTTTTGTTTTTGCGCAAGGGCAAGGCCAAGGTCACCGTCACGAGTTTTCGTGTGATGCGGTTCATCTTCCCGTTCTCACAGGTCTTCCCAAAAGAAAAGGATCTACAAATTCACAGTTGTAGACAAGATCTTTCGAGTTCGTCTTGGTGGTGGGCCGCGACCGTCTATTGATCCGTTCTGATCGTTGCTGCGTCGCCGTACCGTGAGAGAACTGTAAGGAATATCATGCCGCACGTGTACATGTCCCATGAGCAAGTCGCTCGGGGTCCCCCTTCCGCCGCCGAGCTCCGCCGCTTCGCGGGCAATGTCAAAAAGGCGCAGGCTATCAAATGCAAAAATGTCTGGATCTGGAAAGTTGGAACTTGTGATGCTAACTTTGGACCCTAAAAAAATCTGTATTGCATGACCAGCAAGAGGAGCCACATTTGTGCTACGCGAGGAGGACATTTGTCATGCGGAAATGGCATCAGGAAGTCTTCCAAAAATCTGTGATGCTGGGTCATGCATTACAAGCATCATGATGGGTCATGCCAGACAAGCATGACAAGCCTTGCACTCTTCCAGACCCAGACATTTTTGCATTTGATACAGGCCGCGCCCATCCTGCATTTAAGCGCGGCCGAGCGGCTATGTATTGCAAATATGTCTGGGTCTGGAAGGTTGGAACTTGTAATGCTAGCTTTCCATACCTAGGAAATCTGTATTGCATAACCAACAAAAGTCGCAGCCTCTTTTGCACGTGCAACCACGCAGTTTCTCATGCGGATTGCCTATGAGAAAGCGTTCTGGAAAGTTGTCATGCTAAATTGCATTCAGAACCTGGAGACTGGTTGATACGCATGTCGCTCTCGGTGTGTTCTCGGAGCGCGTCCTCTCTGCTCGGGAATGCCGTTCAAGTTACGCGACGCGCTTTTTCTTCTCGGTCAAATGTAGTACTTGGTCCACTCGGAGCGCCGTATGTTCTGTTGCTGCTCGTGTCCTACACGGAGGTGCTGCGGTTGTACAAGGCCTCGTCAAGCAGCACTATCAGGAGTGCCAGCCATCGAATCGAGATGACCATGCTTTTACTAGGAGGAACGGCAACAACGTGCGGACACCGACGACGACCAGACTCGGAACTACCATGAATCGGTGGCGCAATACGGAAGTAGCTACGGACGAAGGGGCTTGAGAGGTAAAGGGGATTGCCGGCTACCCTCAATAGGTAAGTTCCGTCGCGACTCCGGCTTACGACCCCCGTCCCCCCTCCCACCCTTTGCTTCTGTTGCAGAATAAGTCAAGGGCTGCACTAAGACCGCCACGCACAAACTAAACCTTTAAGTTGTCGCTGTGCCCCAGGTGGGTTGCCAGTCAGCAGTGACAAACAACTGGCCAATGGTTTGACATCTCCGGTCCGCGGCACTTGCCTTTTTCGTCCGTGCCGCAGGTAAGGCACAAATGGTCCAGCCTCCCCTGTCTGGGTGGGGTTGCGGCTTAAGGGAGAGTCTCGCCCCTTAGCCCAAAGGGGTACGTCGTCTCTTCCGTGAGAACAAAAACTTATGGCGTAAAATGGGTCGGGTCCTGGATCGTTCTGTATGCTGGGCTGTCGCGCTCGGCTAGCTGGCCGGGCTGTACTGATCAGGTGTGGTGGGTAGCTCCCGACTGGTTGGTACTTCTATTGGGGCGACTTGCCGTGGTAGCGCTCGGCTTTTGTATGTGGAGGTCGCCGAAAGTGCTTCCTCGCCCACCCCCCGGGGAGGGGATCCTTGACCTGTGGCGCTGGGTGCGGGTGTCCACTACATGATGATGATGATGATCATCCACATTTTAGCATCACAAGTTTCCAGACCCAGACATATTTGCATTTGGTAGCGGCGCGCCAAACTGGCGGAGGCGAAGTCGAAGCTATCAGAATGAAAAATCCCCCCTCCCCATATCAAAACGAAATTTCTGATGCTGGATTTGCCTACACAGATCAGATTTGTCTTGCTGGCGAGGACTGCAGGCTCATACTAAGCCTGAGTAGACAGGTTTTGGCCTAGGCGCTTTGCATGATAGACGTCCACGCTGTAGGTGCAACACCATGACAAACCGCCTGGAGAATGCGGCGGAGCTTGTGGAGTTGCCTTCGTGCAACACAGAGACGATTTGTGGTCGCAAATCAGCAACGCAAATTTTCGAAAACGTGCATTGTCAATATGGGCAGGTGGGATTTTTACTTTTGATAGAAGCTGCGCGATCGTGCGGCGGAGCAGGCGCCTTCCATGGGAAAGATTTACTTTTCGCACCAGCCCTGGGTTAATACTTCTAACGCTGCTAACCAGGGCTGGGGACAAGAAGAACATCATTTTCATCACGGAGGTGGACCTCCACATGTAGTTATTTCTCAGGGAAGTACTAGAACTACTACTATGCCCCCGAGCAGCTACAACAACCACTTGACGTCGTCGCAGCCGAAGGTATTTCGACCGCCGCCAGGCTTGGAAGAATTTGGACCAAAAATTCCGTACCAGGTCGTGAACAAGCCGTTGGCCGCGGGGTATATGAATCAGCAGGGGACGAAGACGAATGATTCTAGCGCTGCGAAAATTCACCAGCAACGGCAAGGACCAAGCACGACGACGACCCGAGCCTACCAATATCAGTACCCGGGGGAGATTAACCATCCGGTAAGCAGGTACTAAGACGAACGTGAGTTAGTAGAGGTGCTGGGACCACCAACAGTTGTTCCTTGTGGTCGTCTGTCTACAACAAAAAATTGATAGCGGAGATGAAATAAATCTAACGAGGAGCGAGACAAGAGTGAAACAAAAAGTAGAGGGACAACGAATGATCCGGTCGGAGTGTACTGTGAAGATGCTATTATCACAGTGCAACTACTGCTTGGCCGCGGCAAAAAATATGCACTGCTTCCGGCGTCCGCCTCTGTGAAACAGGACAAAGCTAAAGAGTAGGCGTAAAGACTTTTTTACCGACACTTACAGGGAACTCTCATCTCGAGTGTAGTGGCTTTCTGAATGCACGAGCCGCAACATGCAGGCAGCTGGTGCTGACGCTACAAAGAGCACAGCGTCTTCCTTGTTGTGATCCAGAGAATATACTGTGTGTAGGCCGTCCCCGTCTTGCGATCACGAAAAATCACTTCAAAAATTGAATCATTGTTCATATTCATCCAAATTGTTGTGCCCAGACGAAGCTGTGTCGGTGAAGCAAATTGTTGCGCCCAAAGAAGTTTAGGCGTGCGCGTGAAGCAAAAAGAAGAACAGACTCGGTCTTACTTGTTTGACTCTGAACAAGATTAACAGCTGCCGAGAGCAGACGTGCAAATAAATAAACGATCCACGTCGATCTGGTGCTCAAGCCGTTCCAGAGGGCGCTGCGGTTGCTCACGTGACGCAGGCGATCATGTTGTACACGATCGTGAATAAATTACACAACTATCTATATACGAAGATCCTAGTACTGGCCAAAAAAAAATTTCTCCGGCTCTGATCCAATCTTTTGGCACACCACAGCACTCAGCATCGCATCCAAAATAAACACAGGAGTTCCCCCCGGCTGAAGATCGAGGTCGTTTTTGTTTTCAGGCTCCTGATTCATTTTATCTTAGTGATTGCCCTCGCAACGGGAGCAGCTGGATCTTGAGATCCAGAGCGAATAGGCGGGTTTACAAAGTACGACGCGGCCTAATTCACCCCTCCTTCGGAAATTTTTGCATTTTGACGACTCCTTTGATCTTTTGAATTTTGCGTCACCCTCCTCCATTATCAAAGAAGCTTTTCTCACATTGGTGGTTGGTCACAAAGAATCTTTTGATCACATTTTTGAAGCCATTTTGATTTTTTGGTCACGGTCTGGTGGCAAATTGTTGTGGCGCAGTTTGCCAGCCACTCACTCTCAGGAACTCAACAATTAGCACGTACAACAGTCACAACTCGCTCGCCTAAAGAAGCGAGCACACAACTGATTTTTTACCTCGCGATTTATTTCTCCCAACGACCACCCTACTTCTGTGTATAATTAGTGCCGTATGTTTTGTAGAAATATCTGTATAATTGATTTTTTTACGATCTAACTAAGTCTTGAGGAATCTTCAGTGTAGTTGTATTCGACTGTAGTTTTAGTTATATTTTCCCTTTATTCAGACTACTTTTCCCCCAGCAAGTATGAAAAATCTCCACAAAATGTCTGCCCGGATTACTATTTTCTCCCTGGTTTGGGTCCTCGGGCTTCAGAACGACACAGCTTACTCTTTTTCCCTTTCGCCGGGAACAAATGAGGAAAGTGAAGAGCAGGCTGGTGTCGTCCGCCGAAGTAGAAATACGAGAAGCTTTTCCGTCTTTTCCCTCTTTTCATCGAAATCGAGGGCGTCGAGCTCCACGTCCTATCCGGGCGAGATCGAGCTGACAGAATTGATGAGCTTGAACAAAAATGGTGCACGAAGTAGAGCTCAATCGGAGTTGGTGCAACCGCCAGGATCCCGCAATCGCATCGACACGGTCTATTTCGACGTGGACTACCAGCACCCGGAGGAGGTCGAGGCGGCGGATCGTGCTGCTGGACGTGATCTTCGTGAGCAGGGGAATGATGAAAGTGACCAACCTAACTCTTCCTTTGGACGAACATCAATTGATATTACCACTACTTTATCAAAGGCAAATATATCTGTGTCTGGAAGGTAGGAACTTGTCATGCTAAATTCGAATCATGCAAAAATCTGTGTTGCGTGACCGTGAGTGCCAAAAGCTGTCCACTTTCGACCAAGTTGATGGGCCGGAGTTTCTCATGAAGGATAGGCATGACAGAGACCTCGCAGAGTCTGTCATGCTATGTCCCGCATTCCAGACCTCATGGGTCATGGAAAGCCTGCGTGACAAGTTTACACTCTTCCAGACCCAGACATAATATTTGCAATGCATATACTTTCAACGTTCTTTATGACACGCAGGAGGTGACTTACAATATGCGCGTTTCGCTCCCGACGGACGCGGTTGTTTACATTCCACAATCGAACGACAGGATTTGGAAAAAACTAGTGAAAAAGCACATGAACAAAAAAACCCTGTCCGCCCGCGCGTGGGACCAGTACATGCGGCCGGCGATAACGCAGGCCAAAAACGTGCAGGATTTTTACTCGCAAATTGCGACAAAGCAGAAGGAGCAGGATAGTATGGAGGACTGGGCGAAAAAATACAACCTTCCCATCAGCCCCGACGGGGTGGACGACGACGAGCAATTAGAAGACGCAACTGACGACAGAATTCGTCTCCTCGAGTGGCAACTGGACGGGGTGACGCCATCGCAGCTAAGCCGCCAAAAGCGGAAGGAAGAGGACCAAAACGAGCGGGTGATGCTGGATTACCAGTGCGGGCACTCCGCCAGCCAAATGTCCATGTGGGCGGCCTATAACGCGAACCACGACTTTATCGACCGGAAAAACTTCACCGAGCGAAAATACTTCAAGGACGGGCGGTTACTGGCCCAGGCGGTGTGGCTGCGGCACAAGGGGCTGAAACTTGGGAAGCAGTCACTGAACGTCACGAAGACCTTGATTTACGCGTTGACCGGGGCGAACAATTCAAAATCCTGCAACTTATTAGAAAAAGACATGGGGAAGGACGGGAAAAACAACGACCGGTACATGAAGTGCTGCGGTATGTTTTCCGCGGGTATGACGGGGAAGTTAACCGGAAAGTCGGATAAACACTCCACCGCCGCGGGATATAAATGTACGGGGAACAAGCAGCTGCAATCGAGTGAGGTGCGGCAGTGCCTGCAGTTTTTAACCGATACGTTCCCCATGGACAAGCCGCACAAAGTGCTTTACTCGGTAGGTGCAGCGGCACGGGGCGCGTTGACCGCGGTCGCGAAAACGGCGTTGTTCTACTATGGAGCGCAGTACGCGACTGAATTTGCCGTGAAGTACTTCGTGCCGAAATTTGCGGACTGGTTGTTTGCCAACAAGGACATTTTGAACGCCGTGTCGGCCGTGGCGATGGATGTCTGCCACAATTTGATTTTACTCCTCCAGGGGAAGTTAGATCCGAACGCCATGGCGGAAATGGGTCTCACCGCTGATCAGATGCAGAATATGCTCGAGGCACAGAAACAGATCAAACAAGCCGAGGAAGACGGTTTGGAGAAGATCAAAGACGACGCCGCGAAGGAATCCGGCGAAAAAATGGACGGGGAAAAACCCGACCCGCCGCCCGAAGACCCGCACGCGGGCAAATCCAGGCCGACGAGCATGGGGGATGATAATTTCCCCTTAACAAGAAACGACGAAGTTCGGCCGGTGTGCAACGCGATTCTCGGCCTGCAGTCCATGGGTGCCATGACTGCGGCGCTCGGCAGTCTGGGCGTCGGAGCGGAAGCTATCGGGGTTATCCGGGGGATGGCAATGGCTGCGAAGGCCGCGGACGGAATTGCGGCTGGTGCGTCTGCCGCTGCCGGAATCGAAACGCTCGGCATGTCGCTCGCCAGCTTCTTGGCGACCTGGGCGGGGCTGGTAGTCGCTTGCAACGCCATGACGGTAATCCCCTGGATCGGCACCATGATGCGGCACCGCGTGAACAACATTTTGAATCTTCTCTCCGCCTCGGAGCGGCAGGTGGAATGGGACGCCGAGGCGAAAAAGTACGAAGAGGAAATTAACAAGTGGCGCCAGGAGATGGACAAGTGGAACACGATGGACGCCGCGCGGAAAGCCGCGTTGGCGCAACTGGTGAATACAATCATGCAGAAGATCAACGACGTACAGTTCGCGGATAACATGCAGGCGAAAATGGAGCAGGGCATGAAGGATTTGGTCAACCAGCTGGAGGACCCGGCGAACAAACCAAAAATCGAGGAGGAGATGAAGAAAGCCATCGAGCCCCACCGAAAGGAAGCCGTCGATTGGGCCACGGGGAAAGTGAAGGCGTTGAACTTTTTGCACGAAATATGCAAGAAAAAAACTGTGGAAGTGTAAATCTGTGATGCAGAAAATGCAAAACAGTTACACTTGTCATGCTCGACATGCATGATCGGCTCGCTTCCTATGTGTTTTCCCTTCCTATCTGCGCATAACAAGTTTTTCCTGTCATGGCAGACAAACTTGTCATGCTGTTTTCCCAAAAGACTTACGCTAACGCAGTTTTTTTCTTGGATACGAAACCTGGAAGCTGCGCACGAAGGTGAAAGACATCTGGGCCGTGAAGTCCGCCGCGGACATTATCCTGGGTAAAAACGTACCCACACCAGAGTTGTAATGCAGATTTGCAAAGACAGGAAGACTTGTAATGCGCATCACCATGAGAGCCATTTCCAATCGTGTTTTGGAATTTGTGATGCTGTGAACAGGATGAGCCGATGAATCTGTGACGCGGCTGCACTAGCTAACCTGCACTACACTGCAGAGTGCAACTTGTCATGCGTGACTCACAAAACTCCTAGGTTTGTGTTGCAAAATCCCCATCCTGACTCTGGTGTGGGTACGTTTTTACTCAGGATAGACATGCGATGCAAATTAGCCATGGAAGATAGTATCAAGCGGCCGTTCATTTTAGGTGCAACTTTGAGTCAAGGCCCGGCGACGTGCGAGCGAAACCCGATGACCATGATTGCGGAAAAGGAAATCGGCGCGGGCTGGGTCCCCGAGACGGACGCGGATTATTACAAGAAAGACGACAAAAGCGGATCGTTTTTAAATGGTTTGCTAAAGTGGCGCGGGAAGCAGACGCCGAAGAACAAAAAGTTGTCAGATGCTTCTTCTTCTTCTAAAAGTGAACAAGATAACGAAGACGACAATATCGGGTACCACGAGTGCTGCAAATTTCAGGGTTTTTTCTCCGCGAAGGGCACGAAAAATCGATTAACTGGGCACTGTGGGTTCCGCTACACCGAGGGCATATTGCAAGGAAAAATCCCCCCTCCCCATATTGAAAAGGTGTGGTTCCGAAAATTTGTGTTGCTGATTTGAGGCCACAAATCACATGTGTCTTGCAAGAAGACAAGGGCAGAAGCTTCCGCCCCATTTTTATGGAAGCGATTGGCCATGCTGCTCGGCCTAAAGGGGGGCCGTTTGCAATGCTGAGCAACTACACCCATACGCCCCTACCTAGGCTGGAGATCTGGCCGCAATGCCTTCCTGCAATACACAGCTGATTTGTGTACACAAATCCAGCATCAGAAATTCCGTTTTGATATGGGGAGGGGGGATTTTTCCTTTCAATAGGGCATGACCGCGGACTACGGGAGTTTGAACGATAGGAATTTTCTCCTCGCGAACCAAAAGGAAAACCCCTTGTTCAAAGACATGAGTTTGGAAGAGACCGAGACCAGCCTGCGACGCAGCATGCGCCAGTTATTTTCGCGGAAACTGGCCTGTTTGAAAAAGCTCGGGATCGAATTCAACGAGCAGGCGGTTATTGACCAATCCGACAAGGAATCAAAGCAGCTGGGGCTTTCCGGGTTAGTCACCCAATCGCCCGAGCAGACATTAGTGCTGTACCGCTTCTGGAAACAGTTCCGGAACAGGAAAACGGGGAGATTCAGTCTGCAGAGACCGAAAATTTTTCAGGATTTCTCCCGGCGCGGGCCGGTGGTGCAGAAATTGCGGAAGCAAGTGAAGGCATTTCGGAAAAGAAAAGGGAAAAATCCGGACGTTTTTGTCACGAAAGACGGGATTTTGACACGGGAAAACCCAAAGGAGAACGAGAACGAGTTCCTGCTGAACAACGATCAGGAGACATTTGGCGAGGAAATCGATATCGAGGCGGAAGTCTTTCTCTGGGACAGCAATCTGCAGTGGCTGTTCGACGCGAGTATGAGAAAACAAGATAAAGATGACAAATCGAAGAAACCTCTAACCGTGTATCAATTCAAATTCACCATGAACATCATCCAGAAGCTGATCGCCAGTAAGAACAATACACCCATCCCGGAAGCGCACCGCGGGCAAAAACTCCTGTTCCACCTGCGCTGTAAGAATCCAGAGCACGCGCTGGCCTTTGTGAAAATGTCCAGACCGGTCTTGGAGCCGTTGGGGATCCGGTGCTTCATCGCGGAGTTGTACGATGAGCTGAATGAGAAACTCTCCGACTCCGATCTAGCCGAGGAGCGGAAGCGCATGGGCAGGAGTGCGGTGCAGGCGCTGCCTATGGAGAGAAAAAAGTTTGTCACAGTCACTAAGTTGCAGGTTTTGCATTACAAATTTTTTTGCATCACAACTTCTCCTTGTACTGCAGAGACACTAGGGAAATCCCTTATGAAGTCGTGAGGCTGTGATGCATTTTTACGCATGACAGAAAATTTTGTCTTGCAAAAATGCCCATGAGTGATCGTGACGAACTTTTTCTTTTGATACTGCCCGAGTGGTTGCAGCAGGAAGCGGACCCCAGTGTGGGGGAGCTGGAGGAAGAGGACGAATTGGAAGATCAGCATTTAGCATTTCATCACGAAGATGAGGACTCTGACGACGAAAGTGGTCATGCAGAGGGCCACGCCTCCGAACAAGCCGGTGCAGCCTCGTCCTCGACCGCTCCCACGACAGAACAAGAGCCCTCGTCTAGTACAACAACCAGCTCTGTCCATCCCAGTTCTATCCACCGGAAATTCCCCCGTAGAGGCCGAAGTAAAACCTATCCACCGGATCATGCTACTACGTCTCGAAAAACCAAACCTTCCGACAAGCTGAAACAGCAGAAGAAATGGAGAAAAGCGTACATGAAGGCGCGGCTCAAGGCGAAGTTGAAGCAAAAGTTGGCGGAACACAAAGAAAAAGCGCTGCAGCAACTGGAGGAAAACCGGGACGAGTTGCACGAGAAAGCGACGGATTCGAAGCAGCAACTGCAGAAACACGTGGAGGAGGAAATCGAGAAGGCGAATTTGAAGCCCGAAATCGCGGATAACAAAGCAGAAATTCACGACAAGCTCATCCAAGAAACCCTCCGGATGGCGGCTTTTGAGTACGCAGGGAGAAGAGATTTAAGTGTTGCAGAAATCGAAAAGAAAATAACAGAAATGTATGAAGATCTGTTGAAGGAAAGCCGCGACAGCAAGGTCGTGTTCGCCGGACACAAAGGGGAAGAGGAGGAAGGTCTTGAAGATGCAACGAGTTCTTTCTCCACGTACGGCGGGATTCTGCCCGTTGATCAGAAACCCCTAGGCCCGCGGAACGACGCGCTAGAGCAGGAACTGGCGGAGAGTTACTTCAAACACCTGGACATGCAGTGCAGCGCGCGGCCGATGGAGATGAGCTGCGGAGTATTGGGCACGGTGAGAAAGGAGGAAAATCCCTTCATTTTGAAGGAGAAGGAGCAAGCGGTTGGTGAAGTGAAAACTACCGACGAGAGAAAAATCTTCCGGGCTTCTGAGGACGGAGATGAGGACGGGGATCATGTTGTCAGCACAGGCGAAGAAGATGATGATGATCATGTTGCTGTTCCAGAGAGTACAAGCATAAAAATTCCAACCACGAAGCAGCGCCCGTTAAATCCGGCTATGAAGTACCACATCGAGCATTCCAATCTTCCGACTCTTCCCTTCACTGGCATCAACGCCCTAAGAAAAACAGACATTCGAAACCGAGCGATCCAGCTGGATTTTGAAATGTCCCGGAAACTCCTCGCGGAAACGCTGCCGCACTACGACAATGAGCTGGAAAAAAGTGGTCTGGTACAAAACCTCGGCGAGGACTGCTATGAGCCGTGCCGGAAAGACAAGCCCAACGGGTGGCAGGGCGGTAAGTGTTTCAAGGAACAAGAAGTTGTAGCGGAGAAAAAAGAAGATCATGTTGACCACGCGCAGGAAGGGGAGCAGGGGGAGAAAAAAGAGTCGACTGCATCCGAGGAAGCTGCTGGTGTGGCGCAAGACGGAACTACAAATGGTAGTACCGCTGGTCGTGCTGTTCCACCTGCAGAAGAGCCTGAACAACCGCAATCTACCTCGCGTCTGGCTGGTTGTTTCTCTTTCTTCTGGAAGAAGCGCAAGAATAGCCAGCAACAAGCTGGTACGACGTCCACATCGAGTTCATCATCGTCGTCCTCAGAAGCTGTAGTTGCAACTCCTACTACACCACCACCGCCTCCTTCTTCCTTTTGCGGCACCCAAGGGTATTGCTGTCGGCACCGTTGGGGCGGGTGCGACGACTTTGAGTGGCCGGATACCAACCGAATTAGTTCCCGGAAGCATACCTGTATCAAACCCCCGAACCCGAGGATGGAAATCGACCAGTTCCGGCTGTTATGCATTGCAAAAATGTCTGGGTCTGGAAGGTTGCAACTTGTAATGCTAAGTCTGGATCGTGCAAAAATTAAAATCTGTGTTGCATGAATCCCAAAAGCTGTCCACTTTTTACGAAGTTGAGAGGAAGTTTCTCATGCAGGATAGGCACGATACGGATCTCGCAGAATCTGCCATGCTAGGTCCTGCATTCCAGACGACAGGGATCATGGAAACTCTGCATGACAAACCTGGCAATCTTCCAGACCCAGACACTTTTGCAGTTGATAGCTGTACAAAACGACGAAAAACCACAAGTACGACACGCAGACGAAAATTTTGCATCTAAGTTATCCTAAGCAAAAGCGTCCCCACCCCAGAGTCAAGATGGGGACTTTGCAACACAAACCTCGGAGTTTTGGGAGTCATGCATGACAAGTTGCAGTCCGCAAGGTAGTGCAAGTTAGCAAGGAAAGCCGCATCACAAATCGATCTGCTGATCCTGTTTACAGCATTACAAGTTCCCGAACACGATTGAAAATGCCTGTCATGGGGTTGCGCATCACAAATGTTTCTAGCATGGCAAATCTGCATGACAACTCTGGGGTGGGGACGTTTTTACACGGGATATGAGTGTGGAGGAATTAGAAGCCGCTGCTGTGGAGTACGCAAAAGCGGTTGGGAAGCAGCTGAGTGACGAACTGGAGGAACATCATGGTTTTTCAAGTTTGTTTCACAAAGATGCACCGCATGTGAAGGGGGAGGTGAGGGCTTTGGAGGATTTGCTGCAGGTCGTGGATTCATCACCTCCTCCCAAGAACAAGATGATAGCACATGAAGATCAACACACGAGCTATGGCTTTCTCCCGATGCTGGACACGTTATCCAAAGCGGAAGCTGACGTCTCTGAACTCGAAGAGAAGGCTCTGCAGAAGGAAATCCGGCAACGCTATTATACTGGTTTTCCAGAAAACCGCATCCCCAAGAATGACCGGCTGCAATTTCCCACCAGCCCGTTCCCACTAGACGAAGCGAACACCCCGTGTTGCCAGCGCAAAATCTTCGGGTGCGGCGCGGCGAAGGCGGTGAATCCGAATTTGGCGGTCGTGGTGAAAAAGTTCATATCAAGTGCAAAAATGTCTGGGTCTGGAAAGGTTGAACTTGTGATGCATGTTGCGGATCACACAAAAATCCATATTGCGCGACTTGCAAAAGGTCCCCACTTCTGGTCAGGCTGAGAGGGAATTTCTCATGCAGAACAGGCATAACCAAGGGGCCGCAGATCCTGTGATGCTAGGTTCTGCGTGCCACACTTGACGGAGCTTGGAAAAACTGCACGACAAATCTCAGAATCTTCCAGACCCAGACATTTTTACATTTGATAGCTCACGATGAATGGTAATAGTAAGGAAGAAATTATGGAGAGAAAAATGTTTGTCACAGTCACTAACTTGCAGGCTTTGCATTACAAATTTTCTCAGCATCACAGCTTGTCCTTGTATTGCAGAAACACTAGGGAAATCCCTTATGAAATGTAGCTGTGATGCATTTTTACGCATGACAGAAAGTTTTGTATTGCAAAAATGCGCATTAGTGATCGTGACAAACTTTTTTTGTTTGATAGAAATCACGTCCGTCGTGAAGAATCCGTTCGCTTTGCTCCACACGAGAAAACATATCAAATGCAAATATGTCTGGGTCTGGAACTTGTGATGCTAAAATGTGGATGATGGAAACAGTTCCAAATGCAATCCAGCACGACAGCTTTCCAGAACGCTTTCTCATAGGAAATCCGCATCAGAAGCTGCGTTTTTGCATGTACAAAAGAGGCTGCGACTTTTGGTGGTTATAATGCAATACAGATTTTCTAGGGATGGAAAGCTAGCATTACAAGTTCTATCCTTCCAGACCCAGACACTTTTGCAGTTCATAAAACAGATCATCCCACAATGCATCGCGTTGCTCAACGACCTACGGTATTCCGGCGTCGGAATGCCGAAATGGCGGAAATTACTCCGCGCGATTTTCCCGGTCCTATCCGTGGTCCTATTCTCCGTCGCGGTCGCGACTGCCTTCCCCGCGGCGTTCGGTGCTTTAGCGATATCCGGGACTTCCACCGCCGGGCTGGTTTCGGGCACGATGGCCTCTATGGTGGGGTCCGCGGCCTATGTTGGCTTCCAATACCTCTACGACCGGTCCCACGTTGGGGATTGGATCCAGCGGCAGATCCTGAACCTAACCTTGAAAGCGGTGAACTACGCCTCCGCCATTCTGATGCGGAACACCGTGATCCAGAACTTAATCGCAACGATCTTCGGCATGTCGCCGCAGAGAACTATTGTCTCCGATTCCATTACCACGGGCTTTATTTCTTTATTTCAGCAAATCGCCCGGTCCCCGGCGTTTGGCGCCGCGGTGCGCATGATGGTGGTCGCGGCCAGCAGCAAGGTGCTGCACACCATGGGCGTCACAGTCGGCGATGCGTTTGGGAAATTGTGGAAGAGCGGGCTGGGACAAGGAATTGGGTTGTTTACCGGAATAACCATTGCCGCGTATCTGATGACAAATTTGCTCCCCGGAGCGGTGCGGCAAATGTCGGCGATCGCGCAAATCCAGTCGCCAGAGGACGCGACGTGCGGAAATTTGGCGCGAATCGGTGGCCAGGACGACGAGGACGCGTGTAACGGGATTGAGGTCGTTGTGCCGAAGGTATGGGCAGAACGGGTCAAAGTCCCAGTGTTTGAGGAGAATAAGGCGGCTACATCAACTTCTTCGATGCAAGACGCTTCAGATCCGAATACAAATCCGTTCACGATTCAAGCCGCACTCGGACTATCTAACCAAGACTGGGAAGATTTGCGCACTGATTCTGGGTTTTTCGACCCGGATTCTTGGCAGGGAAAGCAATTGCGGGCGTTGGATCGGGACATGCGGTCAGCGGATGAAGAAATGATGGTGAAGCATTTGGGAGAACAACTCAAGTTGAAGCATCCGAAATGGGGAGAGGATAAAATCCAAAAAGAAGCAGAAAAGATTTTCCAGAAGCAAAAAGCCTATGCGGATAGTACTGCGGATGAAGAGGATTCAGACAGCGACTATGAAGTAGAAGATGCAGATCATAGTACCGGCGCTGGTGCAGCGCACAGCCAGAAGAGCAATCTTTTTTCAGCCGCCAAGAAGTTCTTGCGTTCCCGCAAGAAAGCCATCTCCGTGATCAAGACAAAAGTGGAGACCTTTCAAGTCTGCAAGGCGGAAAAAATTGGGATCAATTTCACCGGAAAGACGAAAAAGATGTTGGGATTAACCGATAAATCCAACCAAATCACAAAGTGCCGGTTCAACTGGGAGGGAGTAAAGGCCAAATACGGGGGTTTCGGCCCGGTAATGGGCCTCACCTGGACGAAAGACCAGAAAGCGGCCTACATTGCCGTTTTAGATTCTATGCGGCAACGGCTCGGGCTCCCGCAGACGAAGATGTACAACGTGAATGGCGGAGCGGGGCTGGAGCAAGATCTCGGCGTGGCGAGTCGGCGGGGGAGTCGGGCCAGGACGGCTTCGTTTAGAAGTAGAACCGCGACTAACGCCTCGATTTTTTCGTCCTCTCAAGCTACATCTAATAGTAGTACCCTCGTCCCTGAGCAGGAGCTGCCTGAGGATGGTGTCGATCATGTTGCTGAGGATGAAGATTTTTACCCTGAAGAGGAGGAGGACGAAAATCACATCAACCGCTACGTGTCAGGAGATCATGAACACGACGACTCAACATCCGGTGACCGCCGTAAGGTCGAGTATCTCGAGGTCAAATTGGACCTGTCGCTGAAAACAAGTACTCCGGTGAAGACCACGGATGAACATCAAACTGGCGAAGTCGTGGCGCCAAAGCTACTGCTTACCGCTGTTGGTGCACCAGCAGGTTCTACTCCGCCTGGACAGCTACAAGGACAGCATCAAGAGACAACGCCACCAAGAAAGCTGCAGAAGTTCATCTCCTGCAGCGCTGCCTTCACTAAGTTGAAACTTGAGAAAGCAAACGCCGAGGATTCGTCCTCTACGAGTTACTTTTCCTTTTTTCAACATAAGCACAACCCAGACGATTCCGTTTGCCTCGACATGCTGGTCTGGGAAAAAGGCTTCTCACAAGCGAAAGATGCCCCCTGGAAGGCCAGTCATCCGGGCTTTAGGATTGAAACTTCAACTCTCGAAGCAAAATGCGCTCACGAGCTGCACGCCGCGGAAACAGCGATCGGCCCGGACGCCACCGTTCCAGTTAACGCCTTGGGAGAAGAATGCCGACGCTGGCTGAACTTCGAAAGTGGTTGCTGCGTGCGCAGTAAGCGAGTCGCCTTTCGGAATTGGTTCAGCGGGGACAAAAGATGGCTGAATGAGGTCGTGTAAGGCTGATTTATTTTGGTTGAAAATGAAGATGTAAGATAGAAGCCTTTATTTTCTAGTGTATGTGTAAGATGATTGTGATTTTCCCCAATATTACGACGAGTGCATAATTGCGATAAGTTTTGGAGTAGTACTGCACTAGTTGAGGCAGAAGTTATTTCAGGTTATACTGATTAGAAAAAACATGAAGCGTATTAAGACTAACAAACAAGTTAGATGGCAGCTGCCCATGGGAAGGCGAAGGGAAAGGCGGGTAAATAAACAGAGTCGCAGTTACTTAGCCTCATTTCCTCTAGATGAAATTTTGCAACCATGGCCATTTATCTATGCAGCTGTCCTCAAACAGGTCGAGTTTTCGACTATGTAATGAGACCACACAACGGCCCCTGCCTGTCGAAGCGAAGTTCTCGAATAGATTTTGAGATTTCTGGACTCCCGACGTGCAGGATTAAAGGAGCGTGGCTAGACAGCTGTGTCGAGGATTTGGCAGGCTTGTAGGGGGTGTGCTACTTGAACTTGAACTTGTGCACGAAGACGACCCTGTTATCGAAGAACATTTTCCTGAAGAAGAACGTTACTTAACGAATTTTAGTGTTTTTGCTTTTCGCTGTACCGAATTGCACTACTGAACGAATTGTAGTAGAATAAACACGACAAACACGACCTCTCAGAAGTGGACGATTTGGGAACAGCACATTGAAAAATGCACTGAAAAATGAGTTTAGAAAACCCCCGAGGATGGAGAATTAGCTAGTAAAATTCTTGTTGAAAATGAGGTGGAAACAGTTCTCCGTTTTTAGAAGAAGTATACGATTTAGATTTATTTACCCGCAGCATAAAAGATGTAAGTACCTGAACCTGCTGCGGTAAACTACACCCCAGATAACGACCCATGTGTATGATTCATTTTCTCTTGGATTTAACGAAGAACAACAGAATTCAAATCGAAGAGCAAGATAATTCAAATGTTGTCGCTTCCTTCTTCATTTTCAAAAAACCCTTCACAGGATGTGCTTACACATTTATGCTCAGTTCGCTATGCTACAGTGCTTATTTTCAAACTTCCCTTTGGGATTTTAGTTTTCAATATAGTACACAACGGGGACGAACAAGTTGGCAAAGCCGAAAGCTAGAAGACGCGCCGGCACAAAGGAGACCGCGCTGACAACAGAAATCATTGGAAAGTAGGAGGATTTTTGTCCTACCGATTGTTCAACGATCATTCGTTGTGATGTTCAGGTAATCTCAAAGATCTTTTCCTCGACACTTATTACAACATAGATCGCAAAAATCTTTCACTTTCTCCAAGTGGTGCGTCCTATTCCCAACAGGCCAGAACAGTGCCGGATCCACCTTGGATGAACCAATAGATCGGTCGCAAGGCCCATTGAGCCTCGATATTAAACGCCCCAGAGCTAAAAGCAATCAGGAACAAATCGACCCAAGAATGCCTAGCTCCACCCGAGGACGTACAGTAAATAGATCGCAAAAAAAAATCTTTCTCCAAGAAGGCGTGCGCTCTGTTCGCAACGGGCGAAACAAAATAGCGCCGGATCCTTGAATGAAGTTCGGTCGTAAAAAGTCCCGATCTCGCCTGCTATGGGCGGGATGATCTTTGCCATGGGCATGGGCTTGCCTCGCCAGAGTATCAGAAAATGTAAGAAAGTGCGTCTACTTTACTATGTTCGTGTTCCTAATTTCGCAGGACTTACTTGAGATACAAGTATAGTGCAAACAATTTGAAGCGTATTTGTCGTCTTAGACAATTTGAAGCGTATTTGTCGTCTTAGACTTAGCGCTTCTAGCTTATTTGTTTGCTTTGCAGTTATTGTTTTGTAGTTGTAGTACCAAAAATAGACACTTTTAGCGCTTCTAGCTTATTTGTTTGCTTTGCAGTTATTGTTTTGTAGTTGTAGTACCAAAAAGAAAAATAGACACTTCACTCGTACTTGCTTATAGTATCGCGATTTGCTCCAACATCCGGTTTATTAGTGTATGCATTTCAAAGCCTTCCAGCCGCTTTACTTTTGAGACGACGACACTCTTCAAGTTTTACAGGAGAAGTGCTTCGCTTTGACCTAAGATTTTATTAACTTTTTCGAACATCAAAAATGCTGTTGACGCTCGCCTGGTTGATGCTGTTCTCCGGGGCTGCACAGGAGGCCGCAGCAGGATCGATCGTCCATAGTTCCGAGAAAATAGGAACAAGCCCCGTGGTTGTACAGGACGCATCTTCCGTGGTTGATGAAGAGCACTCTAGTTCCAAAATTTTCGAGCCGCTTCGAAACCGGCCGATTGTGATTGTCACCGTGACCCACCGGCTGCCGCTGACCGAGCGTGTGACCGAACTGCTCCGCTCCCTCGCGAATCACGATGGCGCGGCTGTTTATTCCGGAAGTACAACTTCTAGTACCGGTCTGTTTGAACTATTCGAAGAGTTGGACCCTTTGTATCCGGAAAAGCGGCCTGGCGAATCCAACGGCCCGCACGCAACCCGCAAGAGCCTGGAAAGTGCCTCCCTTCGGCTCCTCACTAACGCCCGCCGGCCGCAACTCGAGATGCAGGCGCGGCTGTTTCGCGGCTTGGCCTATTTGAGCTGCAAGAAACGCCGTAAGCTCTTAATCGCCGCGGAGTTGGCGCTGAATCGAGACGAGGAGAAAGAACGCAAGGGGCAGTTCGGAGCCTCAAGAACATCTTCCGCGAGTACTCGAAGAAGGGGCTATCCGCGTACAAATCCACTACTCAATTACGCAGAGGCTGTGAGCAGGCGATATCCCGGCACACAGCTGCGAATGGCGGCAGAAGAGATCTATGAGATGCGGTTTCGCGACAAAGAGCAGGAAGATTTGGAAACGGCCGCAAACGACGGACTATTTCAGCAGTTCCTGACACGGGGCGTTTTTGACGGCTTCACAACAGAGCAGCTGCGCCTCGCAAACGCGGCAATGTGCCGGGTTTTGTATGAAGAAATGCTGGGAAAGCTGGAACGCGTGTTCAATACATCTGGAGGGGAGAACCAGTTTTTGTGGCCGGAGGAGCAGCGGGAACTGAGCATCTTCCGGGGCGGGGAAACACTGAAACCAGGCGGCATCTTCAGTATGATAACTGACAAGGAATTCGAAGACCAAATCCGCCCAGATACCGCACAACTGGTACCGGTCGAGCAGCTGGCGTTAATGTCCCTGCGGTCCTCGTCGTCCCGCAAAAATAAACAAAGCGGCGGCCGTGCGGTGTTGACAGAACCCGAAGCAGCTTCTAAATCCTGCTCTAGGCAGAAGTTGCGGCAGGGGCAAAAATCTTCACGTGGCTTCAGAAATAAAGGCGGATCCTCTTCAGAGTCAACTTGGTCATCTAGGCGTTCCGCTACTTCCGAAAACACGAGTCGTGCTGAGACCACTTCCTGGGCCTCAGATTCTTCTTCAACATTCTCAGACTCCGAGGCCTCCGAGGTTATCACCGACGCACCAAGTTCTTGTTCGCCGTCGATTACGGAAGGTCGTGCACCAGATCATGAGGAGGAAAATTACAGCATGCAGCTCCTGCAAGAGCTGAGGAACCTCCGATCGCAAGGGGACGCCGGTGCGAAACAGGAAATGGAGGAGGGGGAGTTGTTGGTGAAGATTCGCAATTTGTACTGGTTGTACCGTGCTGCGAAGCGGCTGGGGAAAGTGGATAATAGTACAGGAGATAGAACTATGCATTGCAAATATGTTTGGGTCTGGAAAGTTGGAACTTGTAATGCGGGCCTTACATTCCTGTAAAATCTGTATTGCATGACTAACAAAAGTCGTAGCCTCTCTTGTCATACAAAAACGCAATTTGTCATGCGCAGGGCGGATGAGAAAGCGTCCTACAAACTTGTCATGCTCTGCTACATAAGGAAGTGTTTTCATCATGCACATTTTAGCATCACAAATTTCCAGATCCAGACATTTTTGCAATGTATAAGAACTTCTACAACTCGTAGAAATGTTTATAAGAAGCCGGTGGTCTTTCTCGTCGGCCAAGGGCACGCGGATCATTTACTTCGAAGACTCGCGGCCATCCGCGGTCTGCAGGAACCTTATGATATAATTACGCAACCTGACACACATGCCGTGTACACGCTGAATCTTTTCGGCCCGGAAAACATCACCACGACACTGGCCCAATGGGAGAAATTGCGTCAGGCGGGAATCACACTCCAGCCCGACTATATGCCGGCCGCGGAACAGGAACGATTTCACAACTTTTCCTGGCAAAATTGGTATGCAAACGCGCCGCCTTTCGCGTGGACCTTGTACCGGAAATTCTTTGTGGAGCGGGAATATTATCCTGTGGCGAACGATTTAGTGCTTCCACATCAGGCAGCAGTTGTGCCGAACATTTTCGCTTCGCACGTGATGGCGAAGGGGAGCACCATGCAGCCGGACGACGGCCCAGCGGCTCATGCGCGCGGATTACAACTTCACAAATTGGTGCCCTTCGCGCGCTGGGCTCCTGCGCAACCGTACGACGTTTTTAAGCTCTTGCGCATCCTCGCTATATGGCAAGAGGAGGCGCCGGGTGCTGGGCTACAGCTGACGAATTAAAGTGGCCTCGTCGAAAAGTGATCTACTACACTGAAGATTAATAAGCAACAGCATGGGGAGGTCGACCTCCCCGGTTATTAAGGCCGCCGAGTGAGCGAGAATATATGGCCGGTGACCGGGGACTTCTATATCAACAAGGACATCAACATCAGCACGCTTCAACTTGAACATGAACATCAGCAAGGCTGCCTGGTACAGGTTCCGATAGCTTTGTCGTTCATGTCGATCTGTTGGACGCGAACCAACTAATTAGGTCTAGATTTGTTGACGTTTGTTGAAGGGAAGGAGCGCGGGTGTACAACTTCGTGCACGAGGATACTTTTTTTCGGACAAAGTTCTTGTCCACTTTTGGTGAAGTGACTCTCAAACTCAAATCACAATTCTATACGCACCAGCTGTTTTTGAACAAGATTTTTCCACTGCATGTCTATGTGATTTCCAAAACTTCATTGAGCCACAATTACTTTAAATAAGTTGAAGGCCGCAAATAATCGGGAAAGAGACACAGAAGTAGTGGCAAGATTTATTCAGAGCACGTCCGGGCGAGTAGACGATGTAAAAAATTGTCCTGCGAGGAAGGTATAAATATGAGTCAGTCACATTTTCCTGCGAAGAATGTCAGTATTTTTCCCGATTCGTTTGTTCGTGTGCTGGGTCGCACTACCTTACTTCAAGTTCTATTTTTAAATCTCATCTACAAAGACTTTTATTTTGATTTTACATTGTTTAGAAATCTGCATCTGGTGACTGACCTGCGGGCGGCTAGAAATTGCAAAAAAGACCTTTACGAAAAAGAAAAGAACTAAAATACTAAGCACGTGCAAGCCAACACTAGACCTAAAAAGAGATAGAAAAAGTACTACGTGTTTGATTTTCAATCATGTGGTGGAGGTTTACATACAAAAACTTCAAGGGATAGAGGGGAGCACGCCATCGAGGATTTTTCGGATCACATCGCACCTAGGGCGACTGTGCTTCAAAAAATGTAAATCTCGATCGGTCGGCGACGCTTGTGGTGGAGTGTTCACATCAAAAACGCAAATCTGTAATGCAACAAAAAAAGAAGAAAGAACAAATTGATTATGATTTTGAACAAACAAACACGCTCTACCATTGTATTTGCGGCCGCTGCTGGAGTTGCGAGTGCGTGACTTCCGTTGCGAGTCTGCGTCGCGGGGCAGATAGACGCCCTCGCACGCAACGACCACACTGCTCCTTCCTAGTCGTGTGCCAGGTTGCGAACAGATGTAAGCCCGCTCCTGTCTATCGAGGGTTGGAGTAAGAGGCAACGCCAATCACCACCTAACTCCTGTCCTGTCCTCCGCAACGCCTTAATGTCAATGTCAAAGAACCTGCAACAAAATCGGAACTAAACTCTTTAACAAATCGTAGGCGAGAATGCAACCCTAACAAGTCGGCTCGTGGCAGAAGGAAGAACAGAATGTCGGTCTTTCGTACTTATGAAATCGATCGCGCAAAAAATTTGTCGCGCAGTTCTGCCAAGTGTCGTTTTCTGCAGAGTTTAAAGCGCGTTTGCAAATATTTAGCTCTTTGAAGTTGTCACGCAACTGTCTCGCAGGGTCATGTCGTGCGCTTACAGAATTTACGGTAGGCGCGAGTAGATTAGACACCACTCGAGCCCGTTTGTTAACAGTTCGCGAGTACATGACCCCCAAGTGAAATGATGCGGCAAAATGTTGCGACCAATTCGCGAAAACTGCGTGGCAAATTACTCAAGGACAGTGATGGCGATTAGGAGGCTTGCCAAAGAAAAAGAAAAACAAAAACAGCACCACGCGGTAGGGATTAGCGTTTGAAATTGATTTTGCTGCGTCTTGAATTTGTGTTCTGCCCTTTGTACTACATGACCAGTAGACACCAGAGCAAACAAGGTAAGACTCTCGAGAAATATAATGGGTCGATGTGACGAACTACATCAACCTCCGCGGAGCAGGAGCACCAAACAGAAGACAGTCATATAGTTGAAGCAAAGGTCCATCGTCTTTTCGTGGTACGTCTAAGTGCGAGCACAACTCCTTCCAAGGACGAAAGTGGCACTCTGGGCGTGGAGATGCAACTTTGTGCTTTTTGGTAGAACTACAACTACTTCAACTTGCTTTTCTAGCACGTCGTCGCTCATCAAAGATCGGATCGGGGCCTGAATGATCATGTTGGAAAGCACTTACAAGGAAACAGTCGAAAGTAGATCTAGATCAGTTGTATCAGCTCACCCATGTTGTCGTGTATGAAATCTAAACCGGGACGATTGAAGCTCGGGCCGTCATCGTGGTTGTAGAATTCGTGGTGTCGTGAAGGTGATCATACGTGAGAAACAATAGTCGATTCGAAATGGACCAATCTAAATAATGTACTATCGTATCCGCCAGCGGCTAAGTCTAAGTGTCTGTCTTCATTTCGGTCGTGTACACTTCGTGATATCGTGACAGGCATGATATTTGCATGTATTGGTCGTCACCTTATGTGGGAAATTCTGCCATAAAAAACATCGATTTTGAACTTGATGATCACAGAAAACTCAGATAATATCCATATCTCACTAATATCCTGTTGAACCAAACTTGCTACTAATAGGTCTCGCGGTGCAAGGCCGCAGTAGCGCTTGGTTTTTGTGCGTAGTGCCAGGCCTATCCCAGAGAAAAAAGCAGGCAGGGCATATTTGTAATGCAAAAATAAATACAGATACACAGAAAAATTTGCTATGGGTGGCCCCATAGCATGCTGTTTCGGATATGCAATACAGATTTTTTTGTGTATTTATTTTTGCATTACAAATATGCCCTGCCAGCTTTTTTCTGTGTGATAAGGCCGAAGCGCATTGTCGTCCAGCGTTGAGCTGACGCTACTATAGTAAAGATTTTTTTACTACTTACGCTGGCGTAGCGTCTACTTGTGCTCCTATCGCAAAGGCTCGACATAATCACACCTCTGCACTTTATTTCCGTAAAAAGTTCTGCTTGCGCTTTGTTTGGCTTTCAAAATTTTTTAACAGACATCATGCGTCGTTCGTATCCTTTTCCTTCATCTTCCCGCTCCAGCCTACGAATTTTCCGTCTCTGTGATCTTCTCATCTGGCAGCAATTGAGCTACGATCTCTCCCACGTGGTCCTCCGACAATATGATCCGCCTAATGACGTCTTCCGTACCACAACCTACTACTTCGCCTATGCGAAGCCACGCACGCTGCTCGAGCGGGTGTGGAGTGCGCGGGACCGGGTATTCACTGCAAATATGTAGTCTGGGTCGCCGGGAAGACTGCGAGATTTGGCATGCTTGTCTGGCATGACCCTGTGCTTTGTATTGCACGGCCGCGAAGCCTTCCTCTTGCCTGTCATTCAAAAACCCAGTTTCTCATGCGGAATACGCAAGGCAACTCCGTCGCAGAACCACGCAAAAGCCAAAGCCTGTCATGCCTGGCAGTGCATTACAGTGCGCTGATTACTCCCTGACTTGCATCACAAGTTTCCAGACCCAGACGTATTTGCAGTGCATACCGGGCGACGGTACACGACGACAAGGACGAATTCGAGCGCCAGCGGGAAGTGATTGCGCTGCAGATTAACAATGAGACGCATTCCTTTCTGGAGGAGGGAGAAACGGAAAGTGAAGAAAGCTTCAACAACCGAAAGTGGTTCCGCCCGCACAACTCGATCTTCGAGGGCACTCTGGAATTTGGCGGCAGTGTTGACGACACCGCGGGCAATTTTGAGGACTACTGCTGGGTCAGGCATGGACACTTGGGGGTCTGGGGCAGCCATATCGGCTGTGTGCGGTATCTGCGGGGGCCGGGCTGGCGGGGCGTGAATCCGCCGGAGATACGTGGCGGCAGCTGGGAGACGGCGAAGGAGTACAAAATAGCGGATGGCCCGTTTTCCGACAATTCCAAAGAATTGATTCAGAACTGCGACACAGATGTGCACGAAAAAAACGACGGGTTTGCTAATCTGAACCAGTGGGTGCACGGTCACAAGCGGTGTCCGGACGACACGAAGAATCACATGCACTTTCCCTCGGACTGTTGCGAGCCGCACAAGGAAGAGAAGGTCCACATGAACAACGGCGGGGAGCGGCTCCTGTCGATTTTCTCCGCCGGGTTGTACGAGCTGCAATGGGACTTGTACGACAACGACGGAAAGGAAATCAATAATCCCCACCACCTGCAGGATGTTGGCCGCATCTTGCACAAGTGGATCGGTTACGTGCTGACGCACCGGTTCCCGCACCAGTACGAGTGGAAGCACGGTTCCATGTCGAACCAGGACGACGAAATCTCCCGGCTCTACTACCGCCAGCCCCGACCGATGGGGGAGGGGCAAGAGCCCAGGTATCCCGTGTAAAAGTTGTTGTATCGCACTTGTACTTATAATGCTGCTCTTGCAACCTGACAGACCTACTTTTAGTACCATGTTCCGCGGCCGACGTAGTTAGGGTTTTAGGATTTAGCAATTTTAGGGCTCCTATTTCGATTTTACCTGAAACCGCATGACAAATTCCATTTCTTTCTTGGAAAAATTTGTAGTGCAGTTTCAATGCGGTGCTTTTGCACTGCATACCAGGCAGGTGAAAGCCACATTTGTCACCGCTACTGGGTATGAAGAGGGCTTCACAGAGGAAAATTGGGTCACGCGGTCGCACCCGTTTTCCCCCACCAGGCTTGACGAATACCTGGGGCATCTGCGAATGGCAGCGAAGTTTGAGCACGCGCCCGCGGTGTTGTTTTTCAGCTGCTTCCGACACAAGAGCCCGGAGAACTGTATCCGGAAAGACTCGTTTACGCGCGCGGTCGGAAAGTTTTTAGAAATGAACCCCTTTTCGATCGCCATCGCGTTTGCCAAGGTGACCGACGTGGATGTGGGGGAAGACAGCGTCTTGCGCTCAAAGGAAAACTCGGAGCAACACAAGAAGTGGCGAAAAATTAATCAAGATTTGTCCGAAATCCTGTCAACCGACGCACGGTCTAGGTTGTTTCTGTTTCTGATGAAAAAGGACTTCTTCGACCAGGCAGATAAGGAACTGCAAAAGGACAAGCTCGACGAGACCGGAAAAGGCATGCTGACCGATCAGAAGAGAAACGCGGTGCTCGGCTTCATTAAGGGGGGCGAAGCGGATTTTCTTCACGGTTTCGGTGCGGGTTTGGGGAGCGTTATGGGCAAGGTTCTCAACGTCGCAGCCACCATCTTCATGATTGCGTGCGCGACTGCCGCGTTGTTTTTCGTGGCCATGAACCCGATATTTATGGCTCAGATAGTCGCGGGAATCATTCTCGCAACCGTCCTGGCAGACCATCTCAGTACAACTAGCGATCCCGCGCAGGTGGCCCAGGCGGAAACGCTGATCACGCCGGGTTTTGGCGCGTTTCATTTGCCCGAAGAGGTGGGACTCGCGGAGAACGTGCGGTGTCCGGATACAAAACTGGCGCACACCGCGCAGCCCGGGGCCGGGGAGGGCGGTGTAGGGAGTTTTGACGAAAACACGCCGCATTTTTTGGGCTACGTGTACGAAAACACCATTGCCGAGGCCTTTCGGCCGGCGTCGAAAGACCAAGGCGCGATGGCGCAAGTCCTCTCGGTCCCCTCGAATTTGATCTCTGCCGCGATGGCCATGGTCACGGTGGGGGGGGATTTCTTCGAGGAGCAGCACAAAAAGGCCGAGGCGAAGAAGAAGGCCTACCGGCTGCACAACAACGACTTCCCCATCTGGGGAAAAACAATCGACGACTTCAGGCTCTTCCTGCCGGAAAACGTCAACCGTTTGGACCAAATTGGCCGGCCGGAACTGGCGCTGCCCGCGGACACGCCCGCGGAAGAGATTGTGAACCAACTGAAGGACAAGACTACGTCGCCGGAATATGAACGCATGAAGTCCGAGTGGGCGTTGCAACGGATCCTGATGGCGGATAACATGCGCTACGTGTCCCTGGGCGGCGACCGGACCACGGCGCTGCAGTATTTGCTGGCCTACCGCCGCCCCGAGTGGCGGTTCGCGCCCTGGGTGATCATGGGGGATGTGAAAAAATCGATGACGATAGACTTCACGCAGGTGGAGGGTGGTGCGGTCATGCAGCAGAAGATGCAGATTCTGCCCCACCGCGTGCTGCAAACCGCGTCGCACGTGCTGAACGCGGGGAAGAAGTGCCCGCCCAAGCCCGACGATCCGGATCAGGTCGGCTGTCTGGAGGGCAGAAACTGCCCCTTCTGCGGCGCGGGGCTCTGTTGCAAGCGGGGGGTGGCCAAGGGGTTTTGCGACGGGAAGTTGGGGAATTGGCGCCGGTACGAGTGCTATGAATTGCAAAAATGTCTGGGTCTGGAAGATTGGAACTTGTCATGCTAAAACCAAATCATGCAAAAATCTGTGTTGCATGAGCATGACTGCCAAAAGCTGTCCTCTTTCGACCAAGTTGGGAGGGAGTTTCTCATGCAGGATAGGCATGGCAGAGACCTCACTGACTCTGTCATGCTAGGTCCTGCATTCCAAACGTCATGGGGCATGCATGGAAAATATGCATGAGAAGTTTGCATTCTTCCAGACCCAGACATATTTGCATTTGATAAGTGCGTGCCCCGGGCGAACGCGAAGCCGCTGCCGAAAGCGGAGTACTTGTCGATGTTGGTCGAGCCGCCCCTGAAGCCGGTCAACGAACAG